TTCTTAACTTTCATCAAGTCAAAATTTTGTGTAGCACCTTGGTTTATGACCAAGTACGGAAATCATTTCAACATTGTTTTACGTGTTTTTTCAATTAGAAATACTGACATACGTGTGAAATCTTCAGAAAATGTACATAATGACCAACAAATAACAACAAGAAATTATTAAACCACTTTATGAGGGAAATACCTGTAATCTCTCCTTCCAGGCCACTTGTTTTACTTTCACTGGCAGCCAGCCGCATTTCTTGGACTGAAAAGAGAAAATGTTTTTTAGATCAGCCAAGAACATTTCTTTAAGAACTAAATAATACAATGAGCTCTAATTGTTCCTTAAGGGTCCAACGTGTTCTGCATTAGTAAGAGTCAAAAAAGTCAATGTATGTCATTAAACTTAATCTGGAGCAACATCAAGTCCATCAGTTCACTGACACACCTCCTAAACTGCATTTTCTTTCTCCAGCTGGTCAATCCTGGATTTGCTAATGAAAAGTTCCCTCTCTATGCTGCTCAGTCTGGTCTGTACGTCGGGATTTAATGTAAAACAGCTGAATTACAGAGCGAACTGTTAACATGCACAACAAATACATACAACTTCACTCCCATCGATTGACCCAATACTGAAAGAAACACTTGAAATACTTTAATCTAACTGTTGAAGGTCAACATTATGAACGATCTACATCAAAAGAAAGCATACTTTACCTAGGTTATCTCTCTGCAGCAGGTAAAGCTCCAACCTAACATCTGACACCGTGTCTTTCAGAGCCCTAAGCTCTGCCCAGATGTCCTGGCGTGTTTGCTTGGTTGTGTCCTCGATCGATTCATCAGCCGTGTCTCTTGCAGCCGTCTCGAGAAACTCTCCGATCTCACCAACCTTGGTGAAACCGTCCTGTTGAGCCGCTGACCCACACAGACCGAGCAGCACCAACAGCAAACCAAGAACAACCCTCATGGTGCAGTTAAACATCCTCACAGAAGTTCAGTGGTACAGTTGAACTGTCTTTTATAGTCCCCAAACGCGCTGGCTGAACTAATGGGAAAAACAACATGTGTTCTTGTTTGACTCGAGGCTTCAGATGATTCGATATGATGTCCGTGCTGGTGAGAAAATACAAGCTGCTACAAACTGGTACAACACTTTAACTATAATCTTACTCTCGGCAGATGTGAGCTTTCATTATTTTCTGGGGACCAGCGCAAGACATTAAACAACAAAACTTGAAAAAGCAGAAAACAATAGAAATTCTTTTGGCTGTATTTGTTTTGATGAAAAGTCTTCCACCATGTTTACTTTGATTCAGATCCTAATGCAGGTGAAAAGAACAAATTTAGACCACTATGTTTCATTGATGGAGATGTTGCTCTTCTATTGTTGTATTTTAATAGAACATTTTCACGGTCCATGTTCATGTGTTTGTTAATTTGGAATAAAGGTTCACAATTGAATAAAATATGAAAACCTGACTCAAAGCTTTGTTCAAATATATCATTTTTGAAGCCCATATCCTCTCAGTGAGAAAAGGTCACATTGTCACAACGTTTCTATAAATATTTTGACATAAAAATTAAAATGAAATATTAAAACTTCCAGACTTTAGCTGGCTGAACTAATGGTAAAAACATGTGTTTTTTATTTGATAGCTTGGCTGGAGGCTTCAGATGATTATATATCATCTCAGTGCTGGTGAGAAAATACAAGCTGCTACAAACTGGTAGAACACTTTAACTTTAATCTTACTCTGGGCAGATAGGAGGTATGTGTGCTGATGCAAAGAGGCTGTCGGTCAGGACCGCAGAGGGCATAGAAGTGCACGTAGTCGCTGTGATGTCACACATTGGTTTGTAAGATCTGAAGCCATGTGTTCAGCACTGGCCATCACCATCTTGATTTCTCGCAACTAGTGAACAGACACGGCCGTATCTGGAGCCTGTTTAAGAACTGGAAGTTGCCGACTGGTCGAGACGGCGTTATCAGCTGTGACCACTGTATGTAAGCAGTGCAGCGCAGCAGCTAAGCTGTGAGGCAAGGTTAGTAAAAGCACACATGGTGGGACCCCAGCGTGTCAGCAGAGAAAGGAGAAGCTGGGATAACAAGATATGTGTGACAGCGTCTTTATTCTCTGCTACGGTAAACATTAACACTATAACTGTTACATTTACAGACAATAGCTGCTTGTTGCTGTGAAAATAAGAATGTTCAATAAAGCTCCCTTAAACTCAAGACAGAAGTCTTTATCCTGAGCTAATTACCTCCATTCTCCAGCAATATACTGAACGCACAAACATGTCATTGGTTTCAACCAATCTTGTCCAATTCTCATAAAGAAATAATGAATAAACATAAATCCCAGAATATAGCAGTATTATTCTAATCCCCATAATGCTGTGCATTATACCCTGAGCTGAACATAATCCTAAATATGACTTGACAGTAAATGGTCGGATTTCTAAGACTACAAGATAAACTCTCTGTTCCAAATGAAGCTAAACATTTAAGGCAAAACGAGGACTTCCCTGAATCCATCCGCCAAAAAAGAAAAGAACTACTCCCAGCAACGAAGTCAGCTGGAGAGAGAGAGCTGACATTTCAAATTTGAGACATGATAAACTTGTTGTCCATCCACCTACCCAAAACCCACACCAACAAACAAATGTTCAGAGTCCGGCTCTTTATTCTCCAACAGAGGAATGTATTAAGTACTTTTTTGGATTTGGTTTTTATCTGTATACATGGTTCTTCACATACACAATGGTCTACAACACATCTGATTTGGTACAACAGACCTTTACACCTTTTATCCGTTCACCAGCGACTATTATCATTTTAAAATTGACCCAGATTTACATTTATTTTCATAACTTGCTGTATGTAACCTCTGTAGTTTTTATGATGTTTAATGTTTTTCTCTGCCGTGGAATACATTCTCCAAGTTCTCAATGACAGTCTGACTTGTTCTCTTGACCTGATAATGAACTTTGTTACATATTCTTTACTCTAGTTACTTTCCCCCTCATATTCATAAGACAACACCAGTTACAGAAAAATCAGTGACTTTGTTTGACATCTTTATCAATACTATGAGTGAACAAACCAAATCTGGAGTTTTATATTCCGACTTGTCTGATCATTTTGCCATTTTTCAATACTGTAATGGATATTAAGATACTACTAATACATACTAAGAAAATGAGGTAGGAAGGTAGGAATTATGAGATATAATAAAAAAATTCTAAATGTAATGATATTCTTACTAGTACTAGTATTTCATGGGAAGATGTATATGTGGAAAACAACGCTGATTTGACATATCAGATGTTTATGAGAGTTATTAGAAAGACCCCAATTGGCTTTCTGCCTCTTTCTGCAGAGGGATTAATTGAGCCAAACTCCTTATTACATCACATACTTATTCTTTGTTATTCTCCTTCCGTACAAAAGTTTGGCACGCATCTCCTCCCGCACCGTTGATCGGAATTGTCTCAAAATGTCAGTGAGTGTCGTGAACAGAGATGCTCACAAGTCTCTGAGCTAGAGTCCAAGTCAAGTCTCAAGTCTCTTGTGGTTATAATAAGTGTTGCCACACGTATATTAGCTTACAATTATATGTCCAACAAAGGTTATGAACTGAAAAAATGGTACTCTGGGTATCAAGAAAATATTGCAAAATGTATAAGCAATGACTATTTGTTTTTCACTTGCAGAGCGTAAAAATTCGTTCCCGTAAGGTTGGGTCGTAGCTAAAGCAAGAAGCAAGCTAACGGTAGATGGTCAGTGCTTGCTTAGCTAAACATGATTACTCACCTATCAGGGTGAGTTTTCAGATGCCTGATAAAATTGGACGTGGTTGAGCCCAAATCTTTTATGGTAATACCGCATAAATTTGCACTTCGCGGTTCTTTTGTTGCCGTCTTGTAGGAAAGTTTTGAACCCAAAGCTCAGGACGAATGGCACAGCAGCGGCCGGTGCATTCGACATCTTTGACAACAAATTGGCCGCGTGTGCACGCGCCGCAGCAGCCAGCAATATATGTCAATGTACGTGTTACGTAGGCAGGTATCAGAGGGAAACATCTGATGAGCTCGCTATACCGAGCTCATCAGATGTTTCCTAAAATTAAACATTGTTCACGAGTCCCAAAGCTCGAGTCCGAGTCGAGTCTGAAGTCTTTCGAGGACGAGTCTCAAGTCAAGTCTGAAGTCTGCGACTTAAGTCGCACTCGAGTCTCAAACTTGAGTCCCCATCTCTGGTCGTGACCCATCGAAGAAAGGACTTACGGTTTTCCCAAAAAGCGACGTGGACGTTACGGTGGGGGGCGGGGCGACGATGCGGCCGAGTTGCCCAGTTATTACCACATTAACTGGGAAACATCAAAACATGTTATGTAAGTTCTTTTTTATCTCAAATGTTTTCCCCACACCAGGCTCTCGCATTAAAGCGTAAGACTTGTGCAATAACTATTTTTTTGTCCAAAAAAAGAACAATTAACCAAATTTTACATTATCTTTATCAAGGGGAAGTTTAGAGGTTTTTATAAAAAAAAATATGAACAAAGAGGAGCAAACGGGTGTTCAGCCAGGCGGACTCAATTTACACAGAAACATTAAAATGTAAGATTGTCTATAAATAAAACACAAGATTATAGGACACAAACAAGATTATAGGAAAACCAGCATATGATATATTAGAAAAATTTAAATTTATCAAGCATTTCGTTTAATTTGGTTGTAAAACAGTACGTTTATTTGAGATTATTTTACCTTTTTTTAAGTGTTGAGGTGAGTAGTATGAGGTAGAAAATTACTGTCCCATTTGTTTATACCTTTGCAAGTATTAACCGGGTGACAGTTAAGTCCCTCGGGACATTGGGTGACTCACAACAGCAATAAGTGGAGCATTCAACCAGATACCCCAAAGGGTGGTCACAACACTCAAAGGGATATATTTGCTAATTTAAACCAGTTTTAATATGTGAAGGTCAAAAAGAAGATTTCCCCTTTAAGATTGAGAACTTTTGTATTTATTTAAGTTTAAGTTATGTGACGACACAAAAAGCAGATCAGATTCATAACCACATTATCTGATGCAGTAAATCATTGTGTAGCCAATAACAGCAGCAGCCTAAAGCCCATCCTTACAGTGGGAAGAGAAGAGCGCCACTGAAGGTGTTGTGGTTATCTGAAGTGTCTTGGAGATAATTGTTTGGTGGGAGAACAAGATGAACTTCGTCTCCTGCTATCAGCTCCAAGACAACAGAGTTGGTGAGGTATTTGTAAGCTGAACCATCCATGAACTCCCCATTAAACATGATCCTTTGGTTGTTCTTGAACACCTGTACACCCATGTAACCTGTGCGGTAAGAAGCTGCAGTGAACTGCAAGTAGTAAGCCCCTTTCACTGGTGCAGTGAAGAAACCTACAGAGGAAGAAGAGAACATGAAAAGCAATAATTGATTTATGTACATTTACAATTTCAAGTGTGCTGAAGTATTACCTGTCGATGGACTGTAAGCATTGCCAATGTTGGTGAAGACCTTGCTGTATTTCAGTGTTACGTCTGCATTGTAGGGTCCAACCTGTCCTGCATCAGTAAGAGCTGTGTAAAAGGCCACCTTTGGTTTCTCTGTTAACACAAAAAAGTCAATTTATGTCATTAAACTTAATCTAGAGCCAACATCAAGTCCATCAGTTCACTGACACACTTCATCACCTGCATTTTCTTTCTCCAGCTGGTCAATCCTGGACTCGCTAACGAGAAGTTCACTCTGACTGCTGCTCAGTCTGGTCTGTAAGTCTGGAGTTAAAGCAAAACAACTGAATTACAGAGCAACCTGTTAACACGCACAACAAATATATACAACATCTTGACTCGTATCTTATCTCGAACAAATAATGAAAAATGTGCTTGAAACAAGTCCTCATCTCATTTGTTAAAGCAATCTGAAAAAACACATTAAAACATGTATGTTACTAATGATTCGGCAGTCATATCTCATCTGGTGTCTGTGTGGGTAAACTTTGGTTATATTTAGGCAACTAAAACCCTTCAGCCAATTTTGTAATGAAGTAAAAGTAACAGAGTGGTTCTTAATATTTTGAATGTTGCCTTAAACATGGTGGTTAGCACTGTCGCCTCACAGAACCCTGTCTCTTGCCCAAAGTTGGCTGGGATTGACTCCAGCCCCCCCGCGACCCTGTGTGCAGGATAAGCGGTTTGACGATGGATGGATGCCTCAAACATGCCTACTGGATGCCTTAGTGTGAACTTTTGAACATTTATTGATTTAATCGGAATTATATTTAGTAGCAATAATCCCGTTAATATTATGGAATTTCATTTAGAAGAGGGTCCTTGCCAAAATCCAGTGGTAAAAGTTAAACAGAAAACACAGGAATAAAAAACAAAAATAACAGAATAAAAAAAACAAAAAAGCGAAGTGTCAAAAACTTTTGGGAGAAAATGACATAAAACAAACAAAAGACTTAAAACATACCACCAAATTGCATAAATAAAGAATTGTCATTAATTGTCAGGATGAGTACCTTCAGTAACTGAATGATCCTACATCAATGTTCACAAAATAAGTTTATTTCTGTACATTAAAGAATGACGTTCCAAAAACCTCATCTCTCAACTTCCATCAGGTCAAAATGTTGTGCATCTTGTCTTGATGACAAATACGGAAATCATTTTAAGATTTTTTTTTAGGTGTTTCTCAATTAAAAAGACTGACATACACGTGAAACCTTGAGAAAAGACCAAATGACAACATGAAAGTCAATAAACCACTTTGTCGGGTACCTGTAATCTCTCCTTCCAGGCCACTCGTTTGGATCTCAGTGGTATTCAGTCTAGTTTCTTGGACTAAAAAGAGAAAGTATTTTTTAGATCAGTGAGGATCATTTCTTTAACAATCTAAATTACACAATGAGCTATAATTGTTCCTGAAGGGTCCATCAGTTCACTGACACACTTCATCACCTGCATTTTCTTTCTCCAGCTGGTCAATCCTGGACTTGCTGACGAGAAGTTCACTCTCACTGCTGCTCAGTCTGGTCTGTAAGTCTGAAGTTAAAGCAACAACAACGAATTACAGAGCAACCTGTTAACAAGCACAACAAGTATATACAACATCTTGACTCGCATCTTATCTCTTGAACCAATAATGAAAATTGTGCTTGAAACTTTAACTAATATTTAACTCTCACGGTCAAACAAGTCATCATCTCATTTGTTAGAGCAATCTGAAAACACAAATTAAAACATGTATGTTATGAATGATTAAGCAGAGTTAGAACTCATCTGGTACCTTTATGATTAAAGTTTGGTTACATTTAGGCAACTAAAACCATTCTGCAAATTGATTTGTAATTTTGTTAATGTGTCCCGAGTCTTGCACCGTTTAACGCTGCTCTCACTTCTCCCATCACTTTTTGCAAGTAAAGTTGAGTCACGGCTCCTTTACTTGTTTATTTTGTGTCAATGTTTCACCATTCTAGCAGCTCTTTGTCAGTCGGTTCACCACTTTAGTCCAGACTGAAACTCCTTAACTACCGGATCCCTTAACAAGAACTTTTGTACAGATATTTATCTGAGGGGATGAAGCCTTCTCTTTTATGATGCCCCGAGGTTTCCTGCAGCCTAAATTTCAGATTGACATTTGAGGTTTGGAGTGATTTTTAGGTTTGCATTTTTAGAATTTAGGCTAGACTTGAGATTATTTCTGTAAATTCAAAATTGGTTCATGCCGAAATAATTTCAAGATTCTTATGGATGTTTTTCAATTAAAAAGACTTACATACATGTCGAACCTTAAGAAAATGTATATAAAGACCAACCTATGACAACAAGAAACCTTTTCAACTACTTTATCAGGGAAATACCTGTAATCTTTCCTTTCAGGCCACTTGTTTGGATCTCAGTGGCATTCAGTCTAGTTTCTTGGACTGAAAAGAGAAAATATTTTTTGGATCAGCGAGGATAATTTCTTTAACAATCTAAATAATACAATGAGCTCAAATAGTTTCTTAAGGGTCCAACATGTCCTGCATCAGTAAGAGCAGTGTAAACGGCCACCTTTGGTTTCACTGTTAACACAAAAGAGTCAATGTATGTCATTAAACTTAATCTGGAGCCAACATCAAGTCCATCAGTTCACTGACACACTTCATCACCTGCATTTTCTTTCTCCAGCTGGTCAATCCTGGACTTGCTGACGAGAAGTTCACTCTCACTGCTGCTCAGTCTGGTCTGTAAGTCTGGAGTTAAAGCAAAACAACTGAATTACAGAGCAACCTGTTAACACGCACGACAAATATATACAACATCTTGACTCGCATCTTATCTCTTGAACCAATAATGAAAAATGTGCTGGAAATTTTAAACCACATTTGACTCTCTTTGTGCAACAAGTCCTCATCTCATTTGTTAAAGCAATCTGAAAAAACACATTAAAACATGTATGTTATGAACGATTCGGCAGACTCATATCTGATCTGGTACCTTTGTGGTTAAATTCTGGTTACGTTTAGGAAACTAAAACCGGTATGCAAATTCAGTAATGAAGTAAAAGTAACAAAGTGGTTCAAAATATTTTGAATCTTGCAACAGTTTTGCACCATTTAACGCTGCTCTCATTTCTCCCATCAATTGTTGCAAGTAAAGTTGAGTCACGGCTCCTTTACTTGATTATTTTGTGTCGATATTTTATCATGCTAGCAGCTCTTTGTCAGTTAGTCCACCACTTTAGTCCAGACTGAAACGTAACTACTGGATGCCCTGATGTGAACTTTTGTACAGACATTTTTTTACTGACACACTTCATCACCTGCATTTTCTTTCCCCAGCTGGTCAATCCTGGACTTGCTGAAGAGAAGTTCACTCTCACTGCTGCTCAGTCTGGTCTGTAAGTCTGGTGTTAATGCAACAACACTGAATTACAGAGCAACCTGTTAACAAGCACAACAAATACATACAACATCTTGACTCGTATCTTATCTCTTTAACCAATAATGAAAAATGTGCTTGAAACTGTCCAACAAGTCCTCATGTCATTTGCTGGAGCTACCCTGAAAAACACATTAACACATGTATGTGAAAAATGATTCAACAACGTCATATCTCATCTGGCACCTGTGTGGTTCAAGTTTGGTTACATTTAGGCAACTAAAAGCATTCGGCATATTCAGTTATAAGCTTAAAGTAATAATATTTTGAATGTGTCCCGAGTTTTGCACCGTTTAACGCTGCTCTCACTTCTCCCATCACTTGTTGCAAGTAAAGTTGAGTCACGGCTCCTTTACTTGTTTATTTTGTGTCAATGTTTCATCATGCTAGCAGCTCTTTGTCAGTCGGTTCACCACTTTAGTCCAGACTGAAACTCCTTAACTACCGGATCCCTTAACAAGAACTATTGTACAGACATTTAATTTATCTGAGGGGATGAAGCCTTCTAACTTTCACGATGCCCTAATTTTTCCTGCGGTCCAAATTTCTGATTGACAATTGTGGTTTGAAGTGAAATGTTTCATCAATTATTGGATGAATTGCCTTGAAATTTAGTTCACATTTTAATGTCCCCCTCCAAATTTTGATTCATTTAATCTGAATTTAATTCAGTAAAACATTGGAATTTAATTTAGAAGGGGGTCCTTGCCAAAAAATCAGAGGTAAAAGTTAAACAGAGAGCACACACATAAAAAACACAAATAACAGAATTAAAAAAAACGAGCAAAGTATTAAACACTTTTTTGAGAAAATGACGTAAAACAAAAGACTTAAAACATATCACAAAATTGCAACAAAAAAAAAAGAATTGTCATTAATTGTCAGGACGAGCACCTCCAGTAACTGAATGATCCTACATCAATGTTCACAAAATAAGTTTCATTCTGTATATTAAAGAATGACGTTCCAAAAACCTCATCTCTCAACTTCCATCAGGTCAAAATCTTGTGCAGCACCTTGGTTCATAACCAAATACGGAAATCATTTCAAGTTTATTTTGAGGTGTTTTTCCATTAAAAAGACTGACATACATGTGGAACCTTGAGAAAATGTATATAAAGACCAAATGACAACATGAAACTTAATAAACCACTTTGTCAGGGAAATACCTGTAATTTCTCCTTCCAGGCCACTTGTTTGGCTCTCAGTGGCATTCAGTCTAGTTTCTTGGACTGAAAAGAGACAGTATTTTTTACATCAGTGAAGATACTTTCTTTAACAATCTAAATAATACAATAAACTCAAATTGTTCCTAAAGGGTCCATCAGTTCACTGACACACTTCATCACCTGCATTTTCTTTCTCCACCTGGTCAATCCTGAACTTGCTGACGAGAAGTTCACTCTCACTGCTGCTCAGTCTGGTCTGTAAGTCTGGAGTTAAAGCAACAAAACTCAATTACAGAGCAACCTGTTAACAAGCACAACAAATATATACAACATCTTGACTCGCATCTTATCTCTTGAACCAATAAAGAAAAATGTGCCGGAAACTCTAAACCATTTTTGATTCTCACAGTCAAACATGTTATCATATCATTTGTTAAAGTAATAATATGAAAAAAATTGAATAAAATTAACAAGTGTATTTACTAATGATTAAGCAGAGTTATAACTCATCTGGTACCTTTGTGATTAAAGTTTGGTTACATTTAGGCAACTAAAACCATTCTGCAAATTGATTTGTAATTTTCTCACTTCTCCCATCACTTTTTGCAAGTAAAATTGAGTCACGGCTCCTTTCCTTGTTTATTTTGTGTCAATGTTTCATCATTCTAGCAGCTCTTTGTCAGTCGGTCCACCACTTTAGTCCAGACTGAAACTCCTTAACTACTGGATCCCTTAACTTTTGTATAGACATTTATCACTGACACACTTCATCACCTGCATTTTCTTTCTCCAGCAGGTCAACCCTGAACTTGCTGACAAGAAGTTCCCTCTCACCGCTGCTCAGTCTGGTCTGAAGGTCTGGAGTTAATGCAACAACAGTAAAACACAGAGCAACCTGTTAACATGCACAACAAACACATACAACAACTTGACTCCCATCGATTGACCCAATACTGAAAAAAACACTTGAAATACTTTAATCTGTTGATTAACTGTTGAAGGTCAACATTATGAACGATCTGCATCAAAAGAAAGCATACTTTACCAGCGTTATCTCTCTGCAGCAGGTAAAGCTCCACCCGAACATCTGACACCGTGTCTTTCAGAGCCCTAAGCTCTGCCCAGATGTCGTGGCGTGTTTGCTTTGTTGTGTCCTCGATCGATTCATCAGCCGTGTCTCTTGCAGCCGTCTCGGGAAACTCTCCGATCTCACCAACCTTGGTGAAACCGTCCTGTTGAGCCGCTGACCCACACAGACCGAGCAGCACCAACAACAAACCAAGAACAACCCTCATGGTGCAGTTAAACATCCTCACAGAAGTTCAGTGGTACAGTTGAACTGTCTTTTATAGCCCCCAAACGCGCTGGCTGAACTAATGGGAAAAACAACATGTGTTTTTGTTTGATTCATGTCTTCAGATGATTCGATATGATGTCCGTGCTGGTGAGAAAATACAAGCTGCTACAAACTGGTACAACACTTTAACTATAGTCTTACTCTCAGCAGACTCAGCAACAACAAAACTTGAAAAAGCAGAAAACAATAGAAATTCTTCTGGCTGTGTTCGTTTGACGAAAAGTCTTAATTGTTGAACACCATGAATATCTTCCAGCATGTTTACTTTGATTCAGATCCCAATGCAGGTAAAAAAGACAAATTCAAATTCAAATTCATTATGTTTCATTGATGGACTCCTTGCTCACCTGTTTTTCTTTTAATAGAATATTTTCACTGTACACGTTTATCAATAGTTCATTTAGAGTGAAAGTTCATAATTGAATGAAATATTATAACTTGACAAGACTGTTCAAATCTATAATTCTTTAAGCCCATATCATCTCACTCTGAGAGAAAAACTTGTCACGTTTATATGCATATTTTTACAGGTAAATACAGTATTTTAGAAAGCCATGTTTCTTTCAAGCAACTGCTAATTTCAATGAAATTATTTAGTTATGAACATTGGGATTGTGATCTACATTTAAAACTCATCAGCTTTAAGACAAAGTAAATTCTGAAAGGTTGGTAAAAATGAGCCATTTGGACATTTACAATATTTTTGAGTTTGGAGTTCTTGAGTTGTTACTTCGGTGTGTTAATGTCACGTCTTTGTAGTTGTTCGATGTGTTATAGTTTCTTATAGAGGAACACAGCTCCAGATATGTAGCCGTCCTCTGACACCCCTAAAAAAGCCCACAGCCCTTCGTCCTCCATCTGCTTCAGCTCACGCTCCAGGGACGCTTTATGGTCCACATTGTCACGACTACTTAAAAGGTCTGTCATGCAAACGTGGCCACCTAGTGGATCAGGTAGTGATGTTTATGATTGATTCAAAATCAACCACAGTGAGGACGTATTGATTTACAACCCTGAATCAGAACTGTCCGGTTAAACCATGTCTGTAAACCTACTCTGCTTTCCAGTCCTGTACCACAAAACAAACAAATACAAATTCAGACCATTATGTTTCATTGATTGTTGTTGTTGTTGTTTAATAGAATATTATCACTGTCCATGTTCATATGTAATTTGGAATAAGGTTCACAATTGAATAAAATATGAAAACCTGACTCAAAGCTTTGTTCAAATCTAGCATTTTTGAAGCCCATATCCTCTTATTGAGAAAAAGACACATTGTCACAACGTTTCTATAAATATTTTGACATAAAAATGAAAATGAAATATTAAAACTTCCAGACTTTAGCTGCCTGAACTAATGGGAAAAACAACATGTGTTTTTTGTTTGATAGCTTGGCTCGAAGCTTCAGATGATTCGATATGATCTCAGTGCTGGTGAGAAAATACAAGCTGCTACAAACTGGTAGAACACTTTAACTTTAATCTTACTCTGGGCAGATAGGAGGGAATCGTTAATTGGAATAAAAGTTTGCAATTGAATGAAATATTAAAACTTAGCTCAAGACTTTGTTCAAATCTACGTTTCTATAAATATTTTGATGTAAAAATTGAGGGTTTTTATCCAAGTAAATACATAATTTTAACAATCCATGCTTGTGTGTAGCAACAGGTAATTTAAATGAAATGATTTGGTGTTTTTACTTCAAAGCCTTTTTTCTAATTATAAAGCCACTTTCATTGATAATGGGTTGCCTGGGATTTAGTAGACTACTGAATTACAAAGTCAAAACGTCATGTTCATATTCAATTTTCATTTCAAGGTTATCATGTTTATACTACAATTTTCTATTAGGAAGCAGTTATTGGATACTAACAATCTAGTCTACATATATGCAAGAATCTTGATTCTTTCTTTCAGTTGCCAAGTATAAAGCATGCCTATGAATTAAACATGAATATTGTTCAAATGGAAAACTTTAGTCATGAACATTTTGATTCTTATAGCTCTGCATCTTGAACTTTAAGACAAAGTAAATTGTGAAAAGTTTGTAAAAATGAGCCATTTGGACCTTCACAATCTTTTTGAGTTGTTCCGTGGGTGTGTTAATGTCACGTCTTTGTAGTTGTTCGATGTGTTATAGTTTCTTATAGAGGTACACAGCTCCAGATATGTAGCCCTCCTCGTCCTCTGACACCGCTCTCTCCCACTCCTCCACCTCAGCCACCTCTAAACAAGTCCACAGCCCTTCGTCCTCCATCTGCTTCAGCTCACGCTCCAGAGACGCTTTATAGTCCACGTTGTCACGGTTACTTCTGGTTGTCATGCAAACGTGGCCACCTAGTGGATCAGGAAGTGATGTTTATGATTCATTACTAATCAACCACAGTGAGGACGTATTGATTTACAACCCAGAATCAGAACTGCAGAGGCAACATCAAAACAATAAAAAAAACATTCCCACCTGGTTTGGTGGACTTGCACAACTCTCTGATGACACCAACTGAGACCTGACCAATACTTAGTGCTCCAACGATCACAACCACGTCAAACAAATCTGTGGGACAAAGTGAAGGGAAGACGATGATAAGAATAGTTTGCAGCATTAGAAAAAACAACATGACCGATCAACAATATTAAATAGCAGTAATACCATGGAAGATAAAATATTTCTTCATAATAACCTTGTCTGTTAACCTACTCTGCTTGGGGTCACAGTGACAAATGACCCACGTGATATAACTTGAACCATAAAATTACCCTTTTGGACAGGTAGTGGCTCCTCTCCCAGCATGGCCTGCTTCAGGTCCTGGTATAAGCCGCTGTCTCTGGCCATCATCAACATAGCCTCGCTTCCATCGATCCCCACAAAATGTCCAAATCCCATGACTCTTCATCTGTACAACGCAGACACATTTAATTGTTAAACAGTCATACTGGCCAAATTAATTGAGCATTTTAAATAATAAGTGACAGGATTTGTCCTGTTTTGATCCCAACATGAAAATGTTGAGAGAGGAAAGAGGAAATTATTCCAAACGGAAATAGACCGGGCAATACAGCGGTCTTATTTCATTGAAAATAATATTTTTTAGTTGATCTGAGAATAGATTTCTTTCAAATATATAAATATAATATATACTTTCAAGCCTGTATCTTGTGTATTACCTGTCTGGCCACCAGTCCTGTACCACAGGCCACATCCAACACTACAGCTGCTTCCCGATCGCTGCTGAAGTGGGATGAAATGATGTTTGCTGCCAGACTTGGAGCTCGATAGTCCAAAACAGCCACATCCTACTCAAACCAGTTAAGAAAAAATAACAGGGGCTTTAAGCGCCGATAAAGAAGGTGAACGTCATTGTTAGAAATATACATTTGGCTCATTTAAAAGGAACTAGACTTCTATTTAATGCTCCCCTCCACATTAATATCAGTTGAATCGATCCTTTAATTTAACAGGAGAAATAAATATAATAAAAAATACTGACAATATTTTTGCTCATATCCTTTTATTTTCCTTCTGTGAAGCTCACCTGATCATAGCTCTCTGCCCAGGAGTTGTAGAAGGTGACCTTTTCTCCTGATAAGGTGCTTTCATGAGCTGATAAGATGGTTTTTTTTACATGTTCGAATGCTTTACCGCCAGCTGCCATCAGGCCAATAACAAACCTGCTCAACTGAAGGAAGAAACAGAGACCATACTGTTAAAGTACTAATAATGACGGATATCAGAACGCTCATTATTTAAATTGTGATTAAACCCCGAATGAAATGTGCAGCGCAGTTACACTGTGCAACTACTACATCTAGTGGAACATCCGGTCAAAATCAATGTCTCTTGAGACCACTTTACCTCGCCCTGGACGAAAAACTGGTCCTGTGACAGAAAGATGTGATCGAGGATTCAGAGCGACAACAGTCGTAGCCTACAAAGTTCCTTCTGCGCGTTCACTAACAACGTCATTGTAATGCGACGGCGGTTGCTAGTGACGTCGGCTGTTATGATACAATTTATTTTTCGAAAATGGGGGGTATTCCAGAGGGGAAGGAGGTTCAACAAACTCTGAGTCTATCGCTGAACTCCGAGTTGACTTACTCTGAGACGGGAAACTCTGAGTATCCGGTTCCAGAACACCTGATTTGCGTCAGTTCAATCAACTCTGAGTATGTTCACCTTGAGTTGAGCACGTGCATGACGATTATAAAAAGCCATCATCAATGGAGCCCCGATACCACGAGTCACCACGAGTCACCATGACAACAGAAAATAAAAGAGCAACACTTACAGACATATTTTTATTTTATACCTATCGAAGTCATTAAAATGTGCCGCTGTAGCCTACGCCAACACCCATTAAAATACTAATTAAAAAACAAAGAAACATTGAGTTCTGCTCAGCCAAGAGAAAGAAGGCAGAGGCCCGAAAAACAGATGGAGGGCCACCTCCACCACCTCTGACAGAGGCGGAGGAGCTGGCCCTCAGCCTAAGCAGTGGTCGCCTGGTGGCTGAAGGTAACCGAGCCTGTCACCCTCCAGGACACAAGTGCCTACATCAGATGCAAGTATATACTTCTTTAAAAAAAATACAATTAATATTTACACTACCGTTCAAAAGTTTGAGGTCACCCAGACAATTTTGTGTTTTCCATGAAAACTCACACTTTTTTTTGTTAAGAAAATATAGTCAAGACATTGACAAGATTAGAAATGATTCTTATTTGAAATATTAATTTTGTTCTTCAAACATTGCTTTCGTCAAAGAATGCTCCATTTACAGCAATTACAGCATTGCAGACCATTGGCATTCTAGCTGTTCATTTGTTGAGGTAATCTGTGGAAATGTAGACAATTAGCAAACACTGTACCATTAGAAGACTGGAGTGATAGCTGCCGGAAATGGGCCTCTATCCACCGATGTAGATATTTCATTCAAAACCAGATTTTTACACCTAGAGTAGTCATTTACTCTGTGGTTGAATGCACTTATTGTACGTCGCTTTGGATAAAAGCGTCAGCTAAATGACATGTATTGTAATGTAATGTAATTTACCACATTTACAATGTATAGCGTATTTCTGATTAATGTTATCTTCATTGAAAAAAAAAGTGCTTTTCTTTGAAAAATAAGGCCATTTCTAAGTGACCCCAAATTTTTAACGGTAGTGTGTGGGTGTATATATATATATAGCCTAGTTTTTAATTAATATATATCCACCCACCCAACAGTTGTGGATGGTGTCATCTGCACACTTGTAAACCCTGCAGATACTCAGATCTTGCCTCAGATGGTAGTTAAAAGTATTCAGAAACAGTATCTTTTCCTGCATCACAGGAGGATGATGATGATGAGGAGGTAACGCTGTCAGCTGCCACAGGGAGAGATCCAGAGGGGCCTACTGAAGTGTGTCTTAATATTATCCACTGGCAGTGCTCTGCCCATTCACATTCTAGAGTGGAATTTGGAGTTTGACTGAAGTGATGAGCATACTCTAGCTAACTAGCACATTCTTGTCCTTGAACAGAACATGGTTGGGCATCACCAGGAGAAGGGTCCATCAACGTCCACAGCACAGCTTGAAACAGTGAGATTTTCGGTCAATACCATGTTAAATCTGTATGTGGAACTGTAGGAATTAAATGCCATCCATATGTTTCCTTACCAGTAAAGCAGTATCATTCTAACAGAATTTCCTCTGATATGATAAAACGTCTAATCTGGGTCGGAAGACTCTCTCGCGACGTAAAGCATTTCGAATCACTAAGGCTTCGATGTCAATTGGATTTGGTAGGAATGGGCAATTCATGTCTACCAGCTTTCTTCATGTGGGAGGAGACGGGTAGAAACTCTGGGTTTCTTATAGTAAACCTGCCAGCGAGCAGGTTATGTTCACAGAGTCTGTTACCATGGTGATTGACTCAGAGTTTCAGTTACCTCTCTATCTGGAACGGATAACTCAGAGTTTCCCTGATCTCAGGGTTAACTTACTCTGAGTTTTCACATAACCCGGTTTCTGGAATACAGTACCCCCATGGACTACAAAAGCAGAGCTACATAAACTGCTATTTGAACTGCATAAATATGATAATTTTCTATGTAAAAATAATAAAATGTTCAGCTACACTTAACTTGTAAGGTTTTGAGTTATTTTTAAAAGCCTATTTTAATTTGTTAACTGGTGCTTTCGATTGCACTGTCGCCATTGCTACCCTGACAATGTTCCCACAGTGGGACTGAAGGGATGTTATATTCTTAAGATTGGAACCATTTGACATATTATTTATAACTAAAATGAAGAGGCAATTATTATGAGCAACATTTTGACTGCAATTTCAACGTTGACCATTATTATTACTAAAGGTCTTAATTACTCTCAAAACGACTACACTTGATGTTTGGGAATTTCTGTAATTATTCTAAATAAATCACAGCCTTCATCTGAACATGTAATTCTTCAGGAAATGTTTCCACTGCTTAATCACATTCTGGCGCTGAATATGAAGAGCCCAGATAACCAGATACGTGGAGATAAAGTGTCAGCACAGAGAAGTGACGCCTGTGATGGCAAATTTCCATTGTGACTTGTCTGTTTTTATTCAGACCATTCAGTGTTTTGGCCCTTTTTGACTTGGGACATGAAACGTCACAGGTGTAAAGTCCCAGTGATGAAAAAGAGTAATGAATGTCAGACATGGTCAGTAAGAGTTATCTAAAGTAGACTAGAATCAGATAGGGAAGCAAGAAGCAGTCACAGTAGGCTGAAGAGCAAAGAATAGAGGGGCTGCTATCGTGAACCTGTTAGTAATTGCTCACTTCGAGCACCGATTAAATGTTTTTATTTATTTTACTGTTGTACTACTTCATTAACAGTTTGATGTTTGGTTCATTATTGGTGGCAGAGATGTTCTACTTGGCTTGGAACCGATGTATTTTTATTAATTTATTCCCTTGGTTGGCCAGCAAATGAGCGGAAAATATAATAAATAGATAATGAATGGTCTATTTATCGTTGGCTTCCTCGTCTCATAGAAATATACTTGCAAATGAAATCAGATTTCTTTTGGAATAATTAATGAGGTTCGGACTTGTTTTACATTAGCGTCGTGCTGCATTCATGACCCCCACGCCAACTGCCTGGAAACGTCTGGAAATACCATATTTCCGACAACCATTGAAGGCGGCAAGCTTAGCGTTCGCACATGCGCAGTCACATGGTTCCAGGCTGTTATTCGTGTTCCCACCTGTAGAGTGACTTCAGAGTCAAAACAAAACTCTTCTGGAAAGTCCTCCTGATATGAAGCTAAAAGCAAGCTAACCCGCTAAAGCGCGTTAGCTACGAGTAACGTTAGCAAAGTTGTTTCCAAGTGGTATTTTGATATAACTTTATTAGTGTATTTTGGTGGATACATTTTATCATGGAGATCTCTCCAAAGTTCCGATCTTTCTACAACTTCTTTTGGTGCGTGTTTGTGGCATAGCTGAAAAGCTAACGTTTTTCTAGGCATAGCAGTTAGCTTAACGTTGGACCAGCAAAAAAAGTGCTGCCCCCTCGGAGTCTTTCCAGACGTTTGTGACACAACGTTAACTCGCTGGTAATGGACCTCATCTGCACGTCTTTCTGCATGTTGTATTTAGCTGAGAACGTTCTAGTGTAACAGCTTAGTTACGGCACATGGGCGTATAAACGTTTTTAGTGCCTGGATGCATCATTCTCGTCACCTTGTTAAATAGCACGCTTTATCCCGTCGTTAAAATACTCCAAATGCGTTTCCACGGGTTTCGTTGACAGTGGCAGCCTGAAGATGTCCATCCTTGGATTAAAGAAGAAACAGCCAAAGACTTTCAAAGTCAAAGTTATCACCATGGATGCTGAGATGGAGTTCAGCTGTGAGGTATGGATGGATCAGTGTGGCCTCGCATATGATACACATACACACATGCAACCATTAACTGTTTGAAGAAAAGAAAAGAAAACAACTTCCTTGGAATCACTCAAGATGAAGATGACAGTCAGTCATTAAATACGTGGCCTGTGCTGTGTGAAGTGGTGCCTCTGCCTGGTAAAGTGCACCAAGGTGTTCCCTTAGTTACATCTTTATTTCATGCATGGTAGAACACCTCCGCCCTAAGTTAGCAAGAAATTGTCCAAAAAAAATCAGTGAAATCAAGTTTTGTAGCAATATTCTGTTCTATACAAAAGGAGCATGAAATATAGGTTTGAAATAATTCTGCTTTAACTGAAAATGGGTCAAGCAGCTACAAAACCACACATTTTCTCACTGGTCTCTATATCACTTACGTTTTTTTTCCACAGGTGAAGTGGAAAGGGAAGGACCTGTTCGACCTGGTGTGTCGCACTGTTGGTCTGCGTGAGACTTGGTTCTTTGGACTCCGGTACACCGTAAAGGACACTTACGCCTGGCTGAAACAAGAGAAACGGGTGAGTGAAGCAGTGATCCTGTGAAGGTGAAACTGGCTAAAGACAATTCAAACACACATGACAATATGGTAACTGTGGTTACAATGGTTGGCAGATGATTTGTGTCTCGTCAAGTGCAAACTGTCATGTTTGCTTGACAAATTACAGTAATATATTATTTCAATTGTTTCTACATTATAAGTCGAAAAGCAACAATGAATTGACCAAAGTGTCGCAAGTAACTAATTAATCATCATGTTACTAATCAGCATGTGACATTCCAGCCTTACCAAGTGTGAGGTCTAATGAACAAGTTATTGTGCATCTTTTGTGTTCACCAAGGTCTTGGACCAGGAGGTTCCCAAGGACTCTCCTATAACATTTCATTTCCTGGCTAAATTCTTCCCAGAAAAAGTAGAAGAGGAGCTGGTCCAAGAGATAACGCAGCACCTCTTCTTCTTACAGGTAATATAACTGACAGCATTTATTGTAAAATAACCTCTGGATTTACCTTCATCAGACCTATTTCACTACCGGTACCGAGCCTTGGGCTTTGTGTACCTGCCGATTTTAAATACCAATCCGACACAAGTGTGTGGAAGAACTATCATCGTCCTTTTACGTGTAAGGCAATGCCAGTCTTGTCTTTATCGGAATATGACAAATGAAATACATAGATATGAATGTACTAATTTGTTGTTTATTAAAATGACAGCACCAGATCGATCGATTGTTGCCAATACCCGTTCCAGCCATTTGAGTCAGTATTGGTATTGATGCATCTCCATTAGTTATCTTTTTGTCACACTTCTAGTAGACAGATTTTGATTTTTTGTTCTGCTAGGATAATCCATTTAAATGATTTCAAAACTGAATTAAATAAATGTACAATTTCTTGTATAGGTAAAGAAACAGATATTAGATGAGGAGATATTCTGTTCCCCTGAAGCATCGGTTCTGTTGGCGTCATATGCAGTCCAGGCCAAGGTAAGAAAGCCACACAAGGAGAATGTTCTCATACCAACATTTACTGCACCTTCAGTCCCACCTGAATCTAAAGAGATTTTGTCCTTAAAGCACCTGAAATTCAGTTTGTTCTTAATGCAAATACACTTGTAATAAAACGTTTGCTCATGTTTATGCTAAGAAGTTCTCTGTGTTTGGACACAACAGCACAGATGTGACAATTGTAATATATATGTATATGTGTATATATATATATATATATATATATATATATATATATACACACACACACACACACACACACACACACACACACACACACACATATAAATGTCCCCCTACCGGGTAATCTAGTGTCCACAAAAGGAGACCATATGATGGTGCGAATGTATTTAAGCCTTACTTATGTGCAACATCAACCAAAGGTTTATTTTCTTGTTTTCCGTCGTCTCCTCCTTGATCTCATTCACAGTATGGAGACTATGACCCAAACTTTCACAAGCCCGGCTTCCTGGCACAAGATGAGCTTTTGCCAAAAAGAGTGAGTTTCCATTTCCATGTGCACATTTCAACTTTTGCTTTGTGTGTGTTTGTGTACAGTACGTAATGTTTTTCCTGACTGTGTCCTAGGTTTTGATGCAATACCAAATGACGGCAGACATGTGGGAGGAGAAGATAACCGCTTGGTATGCAGAACACAGAGGCATCGCCAGGTAGGACTGACCGAGAAATAATACTGAAATTAAGCATTAAGAGAAACAACCCTTTTACAAATGTGTCGTTTGGATTCTTCCGTTGAAGTTATTTCATGTATCGTGCTTTTTATATGCGTCTTTTATTTTTAACACATCAGAGATGAGGCTGAGATGGAATACTTAAAAATTGCTCAGGACCTTGAGATGTACGGCGTCAGCTACTTTGCGATTACAGTGAGTACAAATGATGCCTTCATGGTCTGTCCATTAGGTTGTGTTCTGCATTGTGCTTTAAACAAATGCAAACGTAAACACTGTCATCGTGTTTGTTTACATTTGTTTTATACTTTGACTTTGACAGCAAAATAAGAGGGACACAGACCTGCTCCTTGGAGTGGACGCTCAAGGTCTCCACATCTACAACCCCAACAGCAAACTCAACCCCAACAAATCCTTTCCTTGGAGCGGCATTCGCAACATCTCTTACAGCGAAAAGGAGGTAAAAGCCAGCAGTGGTCTTCAGTTAGGACCTGCAATTTACTGTCAATTTGGAGAAAGCGGAGAAACCTCAAATCCCACAGCCATCATTGTTTTTTTTAGGGAAATATGCTTGAACCATTGTTTTGACTTTAGACGGGCGATCTGGTAAAGTAAAAAGCTGTTGCTAACCTCTGCAGCCATTCAGTGCGGGTTTGGGCTGAAAGGCAACAGAGCTGTGCGATCGAAATGAACCTTTTAACGTTCCCGTGTCGCAGTTCACAATCAAACCGCTGGATAAGAAGAAAGAGGTTTTCAAGTTCTACTCCTCTCAACTGCGTGTCAACAAGCTGGTTGGTTCTTTTTCATGGAAATATTCAAAGACAACAAAGTTTGATTTAAGAAGTAAGAAATTGCCCTTTAAAAAAAAATTGCCTTTTGTATTTAGATCCTGCAGTTGTGCATCGGTAACCACGATCTATTCATGAGAAGAAGGAAGGTCGATTCCATTGAAGTGCAACAGATGAAGGCTCAAGCAAAAGAGGAGAAGGCCCGCAAGAAGGTCAGTGCCACTAAAGTAATAAGAGTAACAGGTTGGACCTGATGTACGTGCATACTAGAGTGAGAATCGTCATTGGGGACTCAAATTGAGTTTCACGTCATCCTTCTAGATGGAGCGTCAAATCCTGGCGAGGGAAAAACAGATGAGAGAGGAAGCAGAACGGGCAAAAGAGGACATGGAACGAAGACTCTTCCAGCTGCAGGACGAGGCTCGACTGGCCAACGATGCTCTGGTGAGTGCGGCGTTTTTGACCTCTAAATTCCACTGTCTCAGAGTATTTTACCTTTAGTTTTGTTGAAAAATGCGTTGCAAATGTTTCAATGCATTTTGTCTAGTTGCGATCTGAGGAGACCGCAGACCTGCTGGCAGAGAAGGCTCAGATTGCTGAAGAAGAGGCCAAGCTGTTGGCTCACAAGGCTGCGGAAGCTGAGCAGGACAGGCAGAGGTTAGAGGTCACCGCCATGAAGACCAAGGAGGAGAAAAGGCTGATGGAGCAGAAGATGAGGGAAGCGGAGCAGCTGGCTGTTAAACTGGTGGAGCAGTCTGAGAGAAGGTCTGTCTTCATTGGTGTTGCTTAAAGCATTTGTTTTAATTCATCATGACTCATTTTCAGGTTGTTTCTATAGGCATCAGATTGAGCTCATCCTTCAGATACAAACCAAACTTTTAAACGTATGTTCCTAACAACGTGTTCCATCAACCTCAAAGTAAACAGAGCTTTTATTCCAGGTTGAAGGAGGCGGATCACCTGAAACAGGACCTGACTGAGGCAAAGGACGCCGAGCGGAGAGCCAAACAGAAGCTGCTGGAGATCACAAAAACAACATACCCTGTACAGTGATGCTACTGCTGCATGTGTGCTCTTTGCGATGCCTTTTCTATTTCAGCCAATGGATGTAGCTTCTTTGACTTTAAAAGGGTTATTTCAATAGCTCTCAAATATAAATGCACCTTTCATATCACCTTTTCTTCAGCTCATAGCAGCCTACTCTGCTCCCCCTGCACCTCCTGCCCCTCCCGAAGCAGCCGACACGGCCTACGATTCAGCACCGTCGCGCCTCGACTTCAAGGACTCCGACATGAAAAGGCTGTCGATGGAGATCGAGAGAGAGCGGTGAGCATAAATCCCTTGCACAGACAACACGGCACAGACCCGCTCGTGCGTGACATCTTGACATGCGTCAACGCAGGCTGGAGTACATGGAGAAGAGTAAACACCTGCAGGACCAGCTGAAGGAGCTGAAGACCGAGATCGAGTCTCTGAAGCTGGAGGAGCAGCAGCAGCAGCAGGGTGGCGTGTACAGCCTCCGCAACGAGGCCAGGGGATACGTGCAGGAGCCCGCCTACGCACCTCACAGCAACGTACGTATGATCGATTGGTCTCTTGTGACAAAACATGTAGAAGAGCATATTACAAAAAAATAGGAATCCTTGAACAATACAGATTTTGCATGGCCGCTCGTTTTGACTTGCATATCACACCACAATTGCACAATTCTTTGCACTGACTTTGGGCTCCTCCGCTATGTTAAACCGCTCATACTTGCCTTGCAGCGAAACTCTGCGTACATGTCTCAGATGGGCTACTTCGAAGAGGTGTGATCGTAGGCCTGCGACACGAGGAAGGAGGGCGCCGGCAGTTGTGATTCAGTGCTTTCTACACACGTTTGGTTGTTGTTTCCACAAGGCTGAAACTAATAGGACACATACACAACAACTGTGTGCTATTGAACTACTTTAAATGTATCCTCAACAACAAAAAGCCACTACTCTGGTTTCCAGCACAGGTCGTACCACCTGCTGCACCACAGCACCTTCCATGTTACTTTATATAGAACAAATACATCAACGTTTGTATCCAACACTGATTGAGGACAATGGTGCTGAAGACGGCTGTATTCTTGAGTTGCTGGTGTATTCTTGTGGTTTTAAGGGATCCTTAGGTGTGAGATACCAGATAAAATATCATAACGCAATCACAAGTTGAACGTTAATGCTTATACATCTACAAGCTTGAGCGTAAGAAGTTTTTATATCGGCTTGAACTTTATTTTTTACTATTATGATATGAGTTACTACGGTTCTATTTGCTCTTAATGTATTAATGTGTGTTAGCGTTACTCTTAAGTACACATTCATTGCCTTCCTGCTCCCCCCCTACGGTCAGTATGGGAGACAATCACGGCAGATTGTCTCCCATACTAATGGTCTTTCCCTGAACTCTTATGGTCTCCATCGACGCTTGCCTTGTTGAACGTGCTGCTTTTGTTCAACTTGGTTAAGCATATTACCAATTCACATGGTAAAGACTGACAGCTGTGTGTGCATTGTATTTCACAAATATAGACCTGCATAAACTTTACTAAAGTTTATTCTGCTACACTCATTGCATCCTCTAAAAGCGAGAGACTGGATGCAAAACGCACAGCCAGACACACTACATGTTGTGTATTCGGATCGGCCAGTTTGATAGACTAAACAGTGACAATTTGTTTATTTTGGCTTATTAGTTTTTAAATGAGGCCAACATTGGTCTATTAAATGGTATTGTGTCAAATGTCCAAGTGGAAGTGTCCCTTAATTCAAACTATTGCATAAGTGCTTCTTTCTTTATTTGTCCTATAAATCCTTAAATAACATCGCCATGTTTTTCTTGTCATTCAGGGGAGTTTATTGAGCTATTTTTCTAGTATTGGATTCTCTTGTCAAATTCAAGTCTACCATTTTTTTTTACACCTAAAACAGTATTGTACCCATGGGGACATCTTATTATTCTCAAACTTGTGCATGTAAGTTGATTGCAACAGTGATCTTACAGCAATTTTTCTACTTTCCTGATGTCTCTGCTGACATTGTGATCTCATAAAATTTCTTTGATATCATTCTTGCATAATATTTCAGTAAATTCAGTGATCTTTATTATGGAATAAAGGCTTTCTAATGTTTTTTTTAAATAATGGAATCTACTGTGTTACAGTTACATCAAACAGCAAAACATCTGTAACTGTGGGTTTTTATCTCAAGGAGACCTTCCATCTGGTCGACCTCACACTTGGGTGGATGGCGGATTGCACAGCACCCCATTGAAGGTTTTCTTTATTATTTTTGATGCGTGACACATTTAATAAGCCTTGAGCCTCCTCAGTCCAGCATGTCACAATTCACTTTTTGCTACACTAATTTACAGGACTTGTGATCTCGTCACTGGCAAAATAACTCCACTAAGTCTTCCAAATGTTATTTAATTTCCTGCCACACAGAACGATCATGGGATCGCCGGGCTTGTTTCAAACACCATGCAAGCAGTGGATCTCTTTTTAGCATTAAAACAAACTTCATAAAGTGACATGAACCGCTTTGATTAACAGTACTCAACTGTCAAAACTGCTCTATAAAAGTCCTGCATTCTAGTTTTCACTTCAAGTTAAAAAAAGGTTGTCAGCACAATAGACAGAAATTCACTCAAAGTCTTAAATATGGAGTTTCCCATTCTAATGTGATGCTGTATTTTTAAGTGAACATTAAAATATTTTAATGGTTATGTTTCGCGTGTCTGAATCTATAACCTAACCAGTAATATTTAGCCGTTGTATAGAAGACAATGACTTTACTGTGATGTAGAAGTACACATTAAATACTATGGTTAAACAAATGTAAGAAAAATGGAATAAATGAGTTATGGGGGAAAGAAATGAAGAAATATTCTGTTCCCACAGAAATGTGCGCTTTCAAAAGGTAAAATGCAAATGTGATGTGATGTAACAGGTTAAAAACATTGTTTACGGTTGGCATTTGAAAATCTGTCAGAGACAAATGAACTCGTTTCGTAATGATCTCAAGTTGAAACGCTGTGCGACAGAGTTTGTATCTTTAGACACATTTGAAGAATGATGAAAGCCCTGACTATTTGTGATGGAAAAACATTTTGGCTCATTTGAGTTTAAAAAAAAATCTTGTTTGATTGACACCCAATTGCGTTCATTTAATTTTTTCGAATCCTAAACCTCGTTGTAAAATTGTTTTGATTGTAAATATTTAGTATGTGGAATTGGGACAAGCAGGACATGAAACGTTTCATTTCATCAGATTTTCACCACCAACCATGGGAGGGCAGTGTTTCACAATCACCCGGCATGAACATCAATCAAGTGTTTGCATTAAAATTACATTGGTTTGCACCGCTGAGTCAGTGATTTACTTAATTTACCTTTTTGTTTGGTTTGCTTTAGTGCATTTTTATTTATGTATACTACTTGTTTTTTATAGTTTGTCCCCTTTTTATCCTTAATGGAACAACACATGTTCCATAAACATGACTCACTGAAACTGAATTTACATCTTCTACAAACACACTGTGCCTTTCTCTCTCTTGCAGCTCTGTAAACCTCCGCTGTAAGGACACTCTCTGTCAAACCAGTTCTCCGTGTAGATTTTCATAGCCAAGAGCTCAGCTTACAATGTGTTCTTTAAAGGAAAGGCGGGTTTGAAGGCCATGGGAGATGTGTGAGCCCGCTAAATGCATTTTAAAAAAGGTAAAAAGAGCGTCTCAATTGAATTACAGTCATTTATTAAAACGTTTGAAAGAAAATATCCAACGATCTGTCAATAACACCTGCACATATAAAATATACAAAGGATTACATTTCACAGTTACGACCAAACCACAATCTATAAAGTGTAAGTCGTTTTTCATATATATATATCTCATCAAGTGAGTATCCTTCAATTTTAAATAAGCATCAGTATCAATACACAGGAAGCAAAATATGTTTTTGCTTCATTACGTATGTTGTATTTTTCCTCAGAAACAATCAAAGTCCGAGCTAATTAAGTCTTTTAAGTCTGTAATGAGGACGGATTAATCCTCATTCATGCATTTAAATAGCGAGACGAGTTGACATCAGTGTGATGCCTCACAACATGTCAAAGTAAATGACAACAATGTTCTTTAAATAAAAAAGATAACAGAGAAAACAACAATAGCATACTTCACTCTCACCTGGATTTAGTTTGTTACTGTTTTGGTTCACTTTTAGTGCACGCGACAATTTAAAACTGCTATTCTCCTTCACATTGAGGACGTAGTCCTCCTTCATTCTTTATTTTTATCAAAGCAACATGCACGAGCTATTAAGTGAACTATGTAAATACAATGAATTACTTTTCCTCAGTAAATTGTCACAAAATAAGTACTACTTCTAAATAACACATATATTCTTCTGTACTGCTGCTGTGAGTGCTGATGTACATGTTGCATGTAAAGTATGTATGTGTGTGTATGTGTCATATCATAGATATGTTCTTCCTGGATTTGAGGACGCGTCTTCATTTTCACTCGCCACCGATAGAACCTCTTCCAGCTCTGCTCGTTTCAGCTGAGACTTTGTAGACGGCGCCTCGCTGTATTCAGACTGTGTTGACTCCGGCCTTTTAATCTTTGTCGATGGTGCCCAAGACCTTTCTGACCCCAGTCGGGGGTCCGGCTCAGGCCCGTTCTCCCACGGGTGTCTTGTGTACAGCGGCGGCTTCGTTGATGCTCCACCGTGGCTTTGAGACCCGGGAGGCAGCGCTCTGACGCCCTGAGACGATGGCGTGGGCGCTCTGCTGCGCTGGATGCTCGCCTTGCTGGGCACCACCAGGTAGCGGACGGAGGGGCTCTTGTCTGTGCTGTGGGCATCGAGGGGGCACGCCGAGCTGATGAACAAACCCCCTCCCAGAATGAGCAGGATGGACGCTCCCCAGCCGATGTAGAGACAGGCTCCGATCTCCCTCCGCTGATCGTCTGTGACGGCGCTGTAGAAGTTCCTCACCACCGACCCGGCCGCCCACGACGTGGGAATCAGACACAGCAACCCTGTGACGATCAAAACCGCCCCCGCGGCGACAGCCACCTTGCCCTTGACCCCGCCTCCTTCTTCATCCAAAAAGCGAGTGCACTTTCCTCCGATGAAGGCCAGAACCAGGCCCGTGCCCCCCGTGGCAATGGCGAAGACGGTGAGAGCCCTGGCGGCCTGCAGGTCCGCGCTGAGAGCGAGGAGAGACTCGTAAGGTTGGCACATGATCTGCCCTGTGCTCTGGACTACGCAGGTCATCCAGATGCCCTCCCAGATGGTCAGGGAGGTGACGATGGAGCTCCCCACAAAGGCTGTGACCCGCCACATGGGCAATATGCAGCAGATGATGACCCCCGCCCAACCCAGGAGGCACAGGGCGCTGGCGAGCATCTGCATCCCCACAGAGGCCATGACGAAGGGCTGCCGGGAATATCGATGAATGGGTTTGAGAAATCCTCAAGAGACCTCCACAAAGTGCTCCAAGGCTTTGTTCTTGTCTGTGGAGCTCTTGGTGACCCTGTCTTGTATGTCGCTTTTCTTTGGCAGCTTTTCTCAAGGTGGGATGTTGCCGTTCTCTTTTGCCTCCATCTTTCTGATTTATTTCAGTCTTTTTTGTAATGTCCACATTTGCGATGTTGTAAAGTGTGAATCCCAGAAAGGCAGAGACCCGTCTGGCTGTGTCGGTTGTCCGTTCAGCCTCCGGCGGGTTGACTCCGGGTGTGTCCCTCTCAGCCTCGGTTCATTTGCTTAAAGCATACTTTTCCTTTGTCCAGGTCCCTCCTCCTTCGCATCCCTAACTGCTGCTGTCCGTTTCCTCTCCCTGTCCCCTCTCTCTCTTTATTTGTCCAACTGACAGTGGTGTTTCTTCTCTGTCACCTGAGCGGCTGCCTGCGTGCTACTGGTCAGGTGCTGATGCACCACACCTCTACAGGGAAACAAAAGGGGGAGGAGGCTGACGGAAAAACAGAGAGGGAGAGAGTTGTAGCTGTGAAACCGCAACGTCATCTACCCTCCACATTATTATCTTTGCCCGACGAATTTATTTTGGTAACAGCAAGCTTCGGATGAAGCAGAAAGAATGATTGGCCTGTGGGCATTTAACATGTTTACAAGATGCACACTCATGAGGCGCAGCATCGTTTTCTTTCTGCAGAAGTCAGATTGGATTGGATTTGAGAGTTAATACATGAGTGAGCTCAGAGTGTGTGTGTGTGTGTGTGTGTGTGTGTGTGTGTGTGTGTGTGTGTGTGTGTGTGTGTGTGTGTGTGTGTATACACATCCTCTGGCAACGCTTTTGTGCATGCGAACAGTGCGTGCAAGCAGAATGTATTATAGTAACAATAGAAAGAGAATAATGCGGAAAACAATCTCCTGGGGGAAAACCAGTTTCATTCTAGGAGCGGCCTACTGTGCAGAAAAACCAGTTTGAGACAACCAAAAAAAACTCCCTCCCAACACACACACACACACAACTTCCCTTTTTAGCGTCGGTGGAGACGTACATAAAACCGGGACTCCTCTCGCAGTCATTTCATTATCAAACCATTAATTTACTTGGTTCTGAGGAATTTCTATTCATAATGAAAATGTATTCTTGTTATGGAAAACAAAACAAAAATAGAAAATAATGCAGGCTTTTTGTTTTACTTTCAAACATTTATATTTCATAATATGACAAATGATTTGCGCTTATTTTACCAAGACAAAAATAGGGAATATTACCTACACACATTCAAACTAAAAACATAGTCATGACTCAGTCTCTTTGTTTTCTTTGCAATGTTTCTACGGCAGGAAGCGCACACAACAAGACCTGTTGAGGATTTCATCAGCTACGCCGGAAAAACCTGACCTGAAGTCTTCTGGCACAAGTCATCATAGTAACTGTTGCTCCCTCTCATTTTTTATATCATGTGACGGAAACGAAAATAACTTATATAAATAATATCAAAACAAGATTTTTCTCATGAAGCAACTGTGACAATGGTAAATATGAAGACATTTTGCTTAAACAGAGTGGGAATTTAAAACACTCCACCCCTACGGGATTGTTATAGATGACTAAAACTTCAAAAAGAACTGCTTTAATTCCACTCATACTTTAAAGATTATTTTTAAATGTAGAACAAACAAATGGAGAGGCAAGATTTTCTAAAACTCATTTAGGTAAATATCTAAATGAAGAATAGGCCTAAACTCAGTCACGAAGACTGGTCCAGGGCCCCCGCCGCCTATGGGTGTATGCTGTAAGCTGATTGGAGGCGGAGCCACGGCTTCCCTAAACCAAAAGCTGTTCTCCTCTCTTTTGCTATCAGTGGTCATTTCAGCAAGCAGCTGACACAACCCCTGACACCTCCAATCAGCAGGGGAATCTGCCATATTGAAAGAGTGGAGCAACTTATTCTCTACCAGAGGGGCGGGTGCCCAGTAGATGTAGCGAGGCCCCGAGCTCCGATCATAACGGGGGTGTGGAAATCCCGAACGATGGTGTTCGCGGACCAGCAGACGGAAATGAGCACCAAGAAGGAAGGAACCCGAGCACCCCGGCTGGCGGGTGCTCTGGCACGGCCAGGAGCGAGACTTACTCGTACTCTGGGTCCCACAGTTCACACAGTTCATCCACAAACCCTCCCACATCACCTGAGAGGTGAGATTGTTGCCAGCAGTGAAGGCTGTGACTTTCCATGTGGGGAGAACACATGATGCAGAAAGCAGAGGGCCAAACCCAGAATCAGTCGTCCACCAGACACCATGCTGACCCTCTGCTGGTTTCGTCTGTGTGCTGCAGAGAGCTTGCCGCCCTCGCCTATCAGCTGAAACTGGTTTGTGAAGACATCTCACCTGACCACATTTCTTCTCAACAGAGGGCCCTATAGCTTAGAATCCAGTCAAAGACAAAAAAAAAAACGCACTAAAGTGAAGATAAAATATTTCTCAGTCAAGTAAGACAAATGCTTGCATCATAAATTCACTGTTTATTTTTATCAAAAAGGTGCAAGATGTGGATTCGTAAATCTGCATTTTGAAAATGGGCAACATTCTCTATTTTTTTTTAAATCAGTACAATACACAAATGTAAAAAGGAAACTGATTAATTAAAATCTAATATTGGGGTAAAAAATGTGAAATTAGAGCAGAGGAAATAAGTTCTTTAATGAGCTGTACAGATGGCCGATGTTGCTTTGGCCACAGCAGTTACCTTTTTGAGCATCTGAGAAACTTGTATGTACTGTAGCTCCCTCAAAAACCACATCAAGAAGCAGTTCTCATGGACAATCACAAGAAGAGTAACACAAGCTAAACTGAATGCAGACCTGATTCGGATTTAGCTGCTTTCATGCCAGGTTTCCACAGTCCTCCATGCTGGCTCATTTAACCGTTAGGAAGACCAAGGTGCTGCTAATCACCTATGAAAAGTAGAAAGCGCTGCCTTGTGTAGGCTTTGGGTGAGGGGGACAATTCAAAAAGTAATGAAAAAGCATAATAAAAAAAAATTCTAGCGCTCAAATGAGTGAAGATGTAGATACAGAAACTATTAGTGGCCATACGAGCTTCTACCACATTCAGGTGTCTGCTAAACACCTACTGCACTAGATCAAACAGACTTCACCTACCATTAAAAACCTTTAACCAGAAGGTTTTGGAAAGTCCAAAAACAATAATCTTCAAAGAAATTGCATTTGATGATTTCAAAGTTAAATTTATTTTTAAAAAGAAATGTAATAAAAACAAGCTGAAGCAATAATAAAGTTAAGATCATAACAAGGTTTTACACATAAGCTCCGCTGGATGCTTTGCGCGGGGCAGAATATTTGACGGAGAATCGGTCTTCTTCGCACTGACGACACTGGCAGCAGAGAAGCGCCCCTCCAACCAACAAGAGTCCTGCGGATCCCCAGCCGATGAACAGAGACGCTCCGAGCTCCCTCTTCTGGGCCTCCAGCATAATCGGACTGTAGAAGTTTCTGATGACCTCGTGCGCGGTCCAGGACGCAGGGATGAGGCACAGGATCCCGCCGACGATGAAGAACACCCCTGCAGCAATGGCGACTTTGCTCTTGGCCGCGTCGTCTTCAATGCAGTTGGTGCATTTTCCTCCAACCACAGCGAGCAGGAGTCCCATGGCGGAGACTAGGATGGAGAGCACCATCAGGGCCCGGGCGGCTTGCAAGTCACTGGCGAGGGCCAGCATGGAGGGGTAGATTTTGCACTGCATCTGCCCGGTGCTCTGCATCACACAGTTCATCCACAGGCCGTCCCAATAGGTCTGCGCCTCCACTATGTTGCTCCCGATGAAAGCAGACACCTTCCACATGGGCAGAGCGCAGGTGATGATCGCTCCGATGAAGCCGATGGCTGCCAGGAAGATGCCCATAATCTGGAGGCCTGCAGACGCCATGTTTGTTTCGTGCTGAGCAGAAGCAACAGTGTAATGCGAGCTGTGGATGCTCATCTCCAGGTCTTATACTCAGAGGTAGGACGCAGCCCATCCTGATTGGATGTTCAAAAGGGTTCAAATTGGAAACACCTGTGGTCATTAAATTGGTCCCATAATTGTTGCCCACCCACTCTTAAAATATGATGATTTGGATTACAGCTGTTCTCAGATCAAATACTTTAGTTTATAATATAAACTCTTTCAATTATATCTCAAACATCTAGATACATATGACACCAGTGATATTTAATAAGTCTTTAAATTGTTTATTCTTGCAGAATTCATATTTAGCTCTGCACACACTAAAACAACAACTTTAATTTAGATTTATCTTGTTCAATCCAAACATCTAAAAATATAACAATCCTGCTATTATTGGCTCAACCAGACTTTTCATTCTAACATTCTTCACTTTGCTACAATTCCTGGTTGTACAATTTACCCAAACACTGTGCCACACTATTATGTATTTTAAATATATGACTGTAGTTAGAAAATGTCAATTAAGTTTGAAATTGAATTAGAAAACTAAAACAAAGTCCGTCACAGTTCATATATATTCATATTGATGCACATCTTCAAATGTCTCGTTGCCTTTTTGCCGCCACATCCTCAGCATCGGTAGGTGCTACACAACACCCCTCCTCCAATGACCAGCAGAGCTCCAGACGCCCAGCCCACATATATTGAAGCCCCGAGCTCTCCCCTCCTCTCCGAGGTGGGTAGGGGATTGTAGAAACCTGTGATGATGCTGTAAGCCGAAAGACTGACAGGAATAATGCACAGGACACCTGCCAAGACAAACACCAAACCTCCAGCCAGGCCGATATTAGCTTTAGCCAGCCTGTCGCGTGAGAAGAAGTTTGTGCAGCGGGCCCCGACCACAGTGAGTCCTAGGGCCACCACGCTGACAGCAATGGAGACGCAGATCAGAGCCCTGGATGCCTGCAGATCCCGCGGTAAGGCCAGAACGGAGTCATAGGCCTTACACTGAGACTGTCCCGTGCTCTGGATCACACAATTCATCCACAAACCCTCCCAGAAGACCTGAGCGGTGATGATGCTGGCCCCGACAAAGGCCGTCACTTTCCACATAGGCAGTCCGCAGATAAGGATGGTGCCAATAAAGCCGATGATTGCCAAACCCACACCAACCAGCTGGGTCTGCATTTTGGGGAGGGAAAAAAGGATCCAAGGCACGTATTTAAAGTTAGCCAAAAAGACAGGAACAAAATCCACCTGTAGTCGAGCGGAAGATCATTTTTGGCCACAAAGTTCCACACGGCTGTAAACAGAGTGGTTGTGTTATGCTGTGTGGTTTTGTGCCGCAGGTGTGAGCAGGAAGAAGAAAGGGGAGGGTACTTTGCTACTTCGCATATCAGGTTTCCTGCTTGTCCTGATTCCTGCTCACGATGAATAAGTGGGAGGAGAAAAGTGATAAAAGCCCCATGAAAGCAGGCTTTGTGACCCAATACAAAAGGCTTAGATCACAATGTTCAAATGGATTGTGGAGCAAATTTTGACCAGTTTCAGAAAATGCAAACTTTTACAGATCTCTGGGTCGGACTTTAAAGGAACATTGATATTTTGTATGAATGCATTAGTTTCTTTAAAGTATACTACTTGTATGGAGCTTCAGGAGAGGGGATTACATAACAGTAGCAAAGAGTAGACTTTAGAATTGGGCATGCTAGCTCACAAGTACCAGGTGCAAACACCTGATGCACCAGTTTAACTTCAGGCGCTCACCCACCATGTAGACACTTAACCAGGGAGAAGTAGTTTAAGCCTGAAGTTACACTTGGAAATACTAAACTAGTTATTTATACCAACTAGTTTAATGTACCCAAAAGATTAAGGGAGCCTAAGACCACATGCTTAAAATGTACACAAGATAGCAGTTATGTCAAAGTTTAACTTAAGAAATGAATAAAATAAATTTATAACAGCAGACTTCGACCAAACAGTACAGACGAGAGAAACCGTAGTAATTTTCAAACAGTAATTTTTAATAAAGAAATCAATAACTTAAAACACTTTTAAAAAAGTCTGGTTTCCTAGAGAAAGATAAGGCAGACATTTTACACGTAGGCTCCTCCGCTGGATGCTTTGCGCGGGGCAGAATATTTGACGGAGAATCGGTCTTCTTCGCGCTGACGACACTGGCAGCAGAGAAGCGCCCCTCCAACCAACAAGAGTCCTGCGGATCCCCAGCCGATGAACAGAGACGCTCCGAGCTCCCTCTTCTGGGCCTCCAGCATAATCGGACTGTAGAAGTTTCTGATGACCTCGTGCGCGGTCCAGGACGCAGGGATGAGGCACAGGATCCCGCCGACGATGAAGAACACCCCTGCAGCAATGGCGACTTTGCTCTTGGCCGCGTCGTCTTCAATGCAGTTGGTGCATTTTCCTCCAACCACAGCGAGCAGGAGTCCCATGGAGGAGACTAGGATGGAGAGCACCATCAGGGCCCGGGCGGCTTGCAAGTCACTGGCGAGGGCCAGCATGGAGGGGTAGATTTTGCACTGCATCTGCCCGGTGCTCTGCATCACACAGTTCATCCACAGGCCGTCCCAATAGGTCTGCGCCTCCACTATGTTGCTCCCGATGAAAGCAGACACCTTCCACATGGGCAGAGCGCAGGTGATGATCGCTCCGATGAAGCCGATGGCTGCCAGGAAGATGCCCATAATCTGGAGACCTGCAGACGCCATGTTTGTTTCGTGCTGAGCGGAAGCAACAGTGTAATGCGAGTTGTGGGTGCTCACCTCCAGGTCTTATACTCACAGGTAGGATGCAGCCCATCCTGATTGGATGTTCAAAAGGGTTCAAATTGAAAACACCTGTGGTCATTAAGTTGGTCCCATAATTGCTGCCCACCCACTCTTAAAATATGATGATTTTGTAAGAGATTTTGGCAAGATTGCAGCTGTCCTCAGATCCAATGTTTCGTCTACAATACAAGCTCTTTAAATAACATCTGAAATAACACATTTTCCATCTTTTTTTAAATAATCAATCTGAAATATTCGTGTTACAAATTAATCAATTAAAATAAATTAAATATATCAATTGTTCGTTTCAGTATTTGTTCTTTTCCTTTGAGATATTCCAAGAAAATTCAAACCATTAATGGCTTTGATTGGTGCAAGTGCAAGAGATGGCTTCATTCTGAGTGAATTAGCTCATTTGCAGTCCTTGATTTCATGAACACATGAACACATGACATCAACTATTTACAAATTTAAACAGCAGGTTACAAGAGGAACATTCTACATTACTGAACAAAGAACTTATATTTTGCTTGTTTTTACACTTTGAAGCCCTTATTGATAATATATTTCTTTTTTTTTTTTTTTTTTGACCAGAGCAGCAATCAAGCTGAGTGATTTCACCGGTGCTGATTAGCCAGTGAGCCTTGGTGACCTAAAGAGTGACTTTAATGCATACTGATTTCAATGAAACAACAGCACAATCTACAGCTCTTAAACTTGAATGCACTTAAACACACATTTTAAAAAAAGATTTTAATGACCAAATATTGAACTCCGAAATCGCGCTCTGGCGGAGTTGGCCTTCCACTTTTGTTCTTCTCTCTAACAATCGATGTTGGCCAGATCCGGTCCTGGCGGCTTGTTTTTCCAGGGTATGTACAAGTTGTTTGCTGGTGAAAGTACTAAATGCATCAATGTTGTGTAACAAAAACACCTTCCTATGAAGCTGATGTCAAAGTTTTTGGCCTAGTCACCAGCACGGCAGCCTGCTGACTTGACAAAAAGTTCTGATTAACGATTGCTCATGTGTAGAATCCTCTTTTGGCAGTTTAACATATCACCTCTCAGGTGGAGTTTTAGTTCGAATTGTATTTCTCAACATAACCCCAGGTTAGTAATCTCTAATGATTCATCCATTATTGTTTGATATGATTGGTTTGAAGAAGTTCAGGGTATAATTCTCTCCTCTTATGAAGTCCAGTTTTATCACTTCTCACAATAGCATTTACTGTAGCAAACCTTTGCCTGAACCACACTGTTTGAAGCTCTCTTCTTTCTCAGTGCTCTGCTCGGGCACCAGAGGGCCTCTGAACTCAAAGGCAGCTTGATGGATATTTGTATTTGAGCACTGAAGACTGAGCCCACCCAGGGCTACTCGGGGGGGGCGGCATCTGTGAGCTGTATAAAACTTCCCAGTGGCATAGCTTTTCATTGGCAGACCAGTGAAGAACTGAGACGGAGCAGAGAAGAAATAACACTAAATTACAATGGTATCTTTAGGGCTGCAGATCCTGGGCGTCGGGCTGGCGGTGCTTGGCTGGATTGGAAACATACTAATCTGTATGCTGCCTCTGTGGAAGGTGTCCGCTTTCATTGGAAACAACATTGTGGTGGCTCAGACCATCTGGGAAGGGCTGTGGATGTCCTGCGTGGTGCAGAGCACCGGCCAGATGCAGTGCAAGGTCTACGACTCCCTCCTGGCTCTGCCTACGGACCTCCAGGCGGGCCGCGCCATGGCGGTCATCGCCATCCTGTTGTCACTGTTCGGCCTGCTGCTTTCTGTGGTGGGAGGGAAATGCACCACATGCATTGGGGACCAGGTAGTAAAAGCCAGAGTGGTCATCTCCGCGGGAGTCTTCTTCGTTTTGAGTGGGGCTCTGTGTTTGGTGACCGTGTCGCTGCCTGCCAATACCATTATAAAGGACTTCTACAACCCCATGGTCCCTGACTCCCAGAGGAGAGAGCTGGGTGCATGTCTGTACGTGGGCTGGGGAGCATCAGGACTCCTGATGATCGGCGGCGCTCTTCTCTGCTGTCAGTGCCCGTCCGGAGGAGACCGCTACAACGGAGCAAAGTACTCTGCCCCTAAATCCACAACGCCTGGGAAGGAATTTGTCTGAGTGGCTTCATTATATGAGAGGAAGCACTCTTTTAAGTGGCATCAGACTTTACACACAGTACAAACTGTTTCTTATGAAATTGTGACTAATCTTTATGCAAGACATTGTGTGCTTTAATTTATGTGCCATGTTGACATAATGCGACCTGGAGTTCGGATTGAAGCTCAATTCGTTTCTTAAATGTTTTTTGTGTATTAAATGCAATACTAATTACTAATTCTGTCACTGCTTGTGTTTCTTATTTACAACTTATGAAAGACTTGAATCATTTGTCATTTTTTTGCATTCAGATAATCAACAGATATTGTTGTCACAATTTGTTGTTTGATGCAACATAAATGAGGGATAAATCTAAGCTTTGGTTTTTCAATGCTAAATTCTAGAGACAAATATTGAACACTGCTATTTACTACAGTAGTTAATTTAATTTGTTGCACAGTGCATTATTGAACTAGCTCATTTTATGTTGTAAAGGTCGTCAAGCTGTTTGGCTAAATAACCGCTTAATTTTGCAGCAGTTCAGCTGAGACATCAAAGTTGCTTTTAAAATGTACATATTAATCGAAGATGCATATAGCAAAGTCTGTGGGATTCTGCAAAGTGCTTGCTATAATTTAAAAATGTCTTTTACTTACTATTTTGAGGGGTTTTGCTACGGAGTAAAAGTAAATGGAAAAAGTTACAGGTGTGATATGTTTTTCGTTTCAGACTGGTTTTATTTGAAAGTCAGTTTAGAAACCAAACAATTGAATCGGTTTAAAATATATCAATCTGACAAGAACTGGCAGATGTGCTCTCACTGGGCAAAGTGTGAATGCCCATTCTTTGGGGATGTAAAATGGTTCCTAAGCAACAGGAATCCGAGCATACACGGAGCGCTGTCGTCTCTGCCAGTGACATCCATTCTACTCTAGAGCGAAACTGTAAATAATCATCTTAATACAAGCGCTGTGTTTTACACCACGGCAACGTCTCAAATGGTAAATAAATCACCAAGAGTCCACCGCCCTGCATTCCTAAGTGCCTTGTCCCAAATAGTTATTGAGAAACCGCTTCATTCGTGTTTTCTGAAGGTGCAGAGCAGACAATGGAAAGCAACATGGACAAAGAGCCTTTACTTCCTGCATTTGGAAGTTCTTCAGGGATCATATCATACAAGAAAAAGTCTGATTTCAGCACTATATTATTTATTAGAAAAATCTCTTACTGCACTTTTTTTTTTTTTCTTTTCATATCTTCTGAAGCAGCCTATTGTTTCAGAGAAACATTCCCCCAAACAACAAAACCATTTACGCTACTTAACGGCACTGTTTTTTGTCGTTGTCTTGCTACAAGAGTTCAGAAATAAATTCAAATTTTCAGATACATTTGATCAACCAAATACACAAATGTCCTGCTGAAATACTCCTAAAAAACTAATTCTAATTCTAAGAAACAGATCTTTCTGTCAAGCTGTTAATGAGAGAGAATTAACAAATTGTATAACGAATTTCCAGACATGTAATGCTGCAGTTCAAGCCAAAACACTCACACATAGTCAACGTTTGAAGACGCAGCTCTAACAGGGGTGAACTTGGTGGGGTGAAAGTGTCTTGTGCTGTTCTGCGGGGGGCAGTTGTTACAAAGCAGACCTCCTCCCAGCAGCAGCAGCCCAGCAGAGCCCCAGCCGATATAAAGTGCAGCACCGAGTTCCCTCCTCTGAGCCGCAATCACCAGTGGGTTGTAGAAGTCCCGGATAACCGCGTGAGCCGACCACGACACCGGGACCATGATCAGCAAGGCGGCTATTATGAAGATCACTCCGGACACGATGCAGGCTTTGGCTTTGGCCGCTTCGTCCTCCATGCAATTGGTGCACTTTCCTCCCACCACGGCCATGAGGACGCCGAACACCCCGACGATAACTGAGATGACCACCATGGCCCTGGCGGCCTGCAGGTCCTGAGGGAGAGCGAGCATGGAGTCGTACACCTTGCATTGCATCTGGCCCGTGCTCTGGACCACGCAGGTCATCCACAGGCCTTCCCAGATCACCTGGGCGGTGACGATGTTCGCCCCAACGAAAGCGGTGACCCTCCACATGGGCATGGCGCAGGTGATGATGGTGCCCAGCCAGCCGATGAAGGCAAGCAGCACACCCATGATCTGGAGGCCCTGAGAAACCATGACAATGCCACTGCAGCGAGTACTCAAAAGGTCACGTATTGAAGATTTTTAGATTCTCACACCGGCTCGAGGAAGAGTCTGCTGTGCTCTGAGGTCCCACTGTGAGGAGATGACTGCTTCCCACTGTGGTTGGAACCTTCGGGGGGGGAGTATCTGCACCCGCAGACAAAAGGGGAAAGCTGAGACTTGATATCCATAAAAGGTGTTCTCTCTGCATATTGTCCCCGCACAAATAAGCTTTGTTTCCTCAAGCAAGACTTTGGGACAAGGAACAATGACCCCAGATTCCCACCTGTGCTCACACACACACACACACACACACACACACACAAACACGCTCCTACACAGACACACAGACACACACATACACACACACATACGCACAAACAAACACTTACAGGCCCATTCATATCCAGCCTTGAGTAAACACTAAACTTCACACTTTGGGTCAGTATATCAGATTTAAAACAGACCAGGAAGTGGATGTTTTTGAAAAGAAAAAAGCAAAAAACTAAACGTTTTTATAACAACCCAATGGACCTTTGAAAAGCTTTTAGCATTTTATAGCTATCTGTGTTTGCATGTTCGATGAAGGGACTTCATCGATCAAGACGGATTGTTAGAGGAATAAATTAGTATATTCTTGGAATTATTTACTCTCTTCACATTAGAAAGGTTGGTCCAGTGAAGCACAAAGCGCTTTGCCTTGCCTTGCCTACGCTTGAACAAAGATCAGGTTCCAACCAACTTGCCTCTTTTCTTCTGCCGCACCTAAACCGGATTAACAAGAAACTCAAGACTCTAAACTATAGATGACTCTCAAACGCTATGAGGCTATTGGGTTTCTAATCATCCCATTTAAACATTTGTCTATACATCAGGAGTTTGTGTAAGTATTTCATTGATATACTAATTTGATCCATTTTAGGAGCACTGGATGAATCCTGTTGATGAAAACAAAAAACAAGCACAAAAATGTCTGATTTCTAAACAAAATATTTATTTACAGTTTAACTAGTACATCACAAATCTCATACACAGAGTTTATAAAAACAACCCATCATACAACTCAGAAAACATATGACTAATATCTTTATCAACAACCACACACATACAAATAACTGTTAACATGTCAAATGGAATTTAGTCTTTGGGTGTGGTTCTGTTTTCCATGTTTATTCCCATCAAATACTTTTTGCTCAAGTAACATCATGAAATATCAACACACACACACACACACACAACCCAGTAGCACCAGTGCATCTGTCCCAGTTTACATGGCTTCGTGGATCTTTTTACAGACTTTCAGATCTGTTTCAGACATAGTCTTTCCCGGACGCTGGCGCTGAGGCTTCAGATCTGGCAGCTTTGTACTTTGCAGTGTAGGAGTCTTCCTCCTTTGGGGGGCAGTTGCAGCAAAGCATCCCCCCGCCGATCAGCATCAAGGCGGCGGCTCCCCACCCGATGTACAGCGCGGCACCCAACTCTCTCTTCTGGGCGCCGACCAGCAGCGGGTTGTAGAAGTCCTGGATGATGGTGTGGGCCGCCCAGCAAACAGGGACGAGGCAGAGGACTCCGGCTATGATGAACATAACTCCAGCTGTGATGCCCACCTTGGTCTTGGAGGATTTATCCTCAAGACATTTGGTGCATTGCCCCCCTGCCACGCTGAGCAGGATAGCCAGGATGCCCACCACGATGGAGATGATTGTCAGGGCCCGGGCGGCTTGGAGGTCAGAGCTGAGGGCCAGCATGGAGTCGTAGACCTTGCACTGCATCTGGCCCGTGCTCTGGACCACGCAGTTCATCCAAATACCTTCCCACGTGATTTGCGAGGTCACAATGTTGCTGCCGATAAAAGCACTGACCTTCCACATGGGGAGGGCACACACAATGATGGCGCCGATCCAGCCCAGGACCCCTAGAACTGCGCCCAGCATCTGTAACCCAGCGGACACCATCGTGGAGGGATGATTTTCTTTGAGTGCCTTCAAATGAAACGCTTTTAAAACAAATTCCTCTCAAGCGCTGACGTGATCCCGGGTGTTGTTTGTCTCCTTCTGTGATCGAGGAAAGTCCTTTGTTAGTTGTGTGGGATTGCTGAATGGGAGAGGACTGGTAGAAGCAGGTACATATGATTTCCTTACAGAGGGGGGAGGAGCCGTGGAGGGTAAACAGCTCACCGTCATCCGTTTGTGTTTTTCAGTTTCCCTCCCCCAGACTTCAGAGATGAATAACCTGTTCTCCCTCCTGAAACCATCCTGGCTCACTAAATGTGAGTGAAACAAAAGAAATAACGTGAAGCGGCTTTGCCTTGCGCTCCACATTGCATTAAAATATTAAAATAATATGAGCATCTTGATATAGAAATAATGATGGTAACTGAACATTTGTTCACGTCATCTTCCCTCTTAATTCTCCCACTCCCATTCTCAGTTTCACCTGAAGCAGCAAGAGGGTGGAGTAACATCCCGAGTGACGGAGATGACGTCTTTCTCTAACGATACTTCAGACAGAGGAAATATTGTCGGCTAGTCGGTGATTTTTCTGTATAGCAAGTAAACAATTTGGTCTCTAGGCATTCTGCTTCCGAAGCATTTAAAAACAAATTGGCAGTGTTTGTAAAATCCTTCCGCGATTATCTAAAAAGAAAGAAATAACTGCTCAATCAGAAATGTTGGTACTAGGAAGAACTAAAACTGGAACATTATTCAACATGATGCTCCAGAAAAATACTACCTTTACAAATTGTAAATTTAATAAATCTTTGTCACATTCTACAAATCTTTGTCACACATCTACAAATAAAAATGTTGATCAAATTGAGTCCACAATATCCATCCTGTTTTAAAAACGTAGAGCAGAAACACTTTTGGGCTTCAGTGTCACTGTATTTAAAGGCAGGTTTTTTGTTATTATCATTCTGCAGACTATACTACTATAATACTATACTACTGTATATGATAAAATGTTTTAACAAGGAAACAGTGCGAAGTGGCCTTTAATTGTTTTTTTTTACATTGAGGAACAGAATTACGTTTCTCAAAACAAAGGAGTGAAACGTGAAGAGGCCTCGTGAAATGAAGGCTGTTGTGTTCAGTCTGTGTGTGTTCTGTGAATCAGACTGAGGGCCGATTATACATGTGAACATATACGTTTTTTTTGTTCATAAAAGATCACAGGAAAAGAGATATTTCAGGGGGGAAAAGTGGGGGAGGGCTACAAAAAAGTCAAGAGTCAGTGTTTTGATGTGTGGCGTATCTGGGAGGTCTGGATTCAACAACTTCTAAATGTTGTAACCCGGACTTCAAAGAAACGTTTGAACCCTGTCTGCTATTCACTGCAGTGGCCAAATGGAGGCAGCAACTCCTACTTTCAAAACGTTTATTGTGTGTGTGTGTGTGTGTGTGTGTGTGCGTGCGTGTGTGTGTGTGTGTGCGTGTGTGTCCGTGTGTCCGTGTGTCTGTGTGTTTGTGTTCGCTGCCTTGTTAACCCAGGAAGTCACCAGGTTTAAAAGTGACAAAAAAACATAAAGCATAAAATTAGAATTTTGTTTTTCTTATAGTGTCAGTTTAGTGCCATGATGTCCGGTGTCCTGTAGATTTTTTTTATATATGTCCACCGTGCAGCAATAAAATACACAACTCTGGCTTTGTTTTGAACTTTTGGCACAAAGGGGAAGAGGGAGGTCTGGGCTGGTGCAGCACCGCCCAGTGTTCAAATAGCTTTTAATGTGTCCATAAATCTTGAAGCAGCCGTTAAATCCAAGTCTTTCCAAATACTTATTACTTAGTAACGGAGAGTCCGCTTATAGAGCAGTATCGCCGCTGACCAGTGACCTAATAAAGGCTGCCAGTGGAAATCCCCATCTTCCTTTGAAACGGACAGTTTGAAATGAAAAACTGCTGATGGGCTTGGAGGTATTCGTCCCATATTATTGTAAGTGGGATTAATACTAAAAGATTGGTGTTAGAGTTAGTCAGTTATAGGAAACTGTTTAGCATTCTTTAAAAATGGGATTCAAAATCTTTATGAGGTCCTCTTACGTCAACAGTTTCTGTTGAATTTTACTGCCAGTATCTCATCTTGATAAACGGTTCCGCTTCCCTTCTTTCATAAAATCAAAGAAGATGGATGTTTCTAGTTTGTTCTGTTCACATAGAACCTTGAACAGATGCACAAGACTTATTTAAGTCTACATCATTCAATTTTACCCAAAATGATTAGTTCTCTCTCATTATTTATTTTCTTTAGTCTGAGTAGAATTAAATAACTATTATTTAATAAAAATATAAAAAACAACTTTTTTTTTGTTGAATAATTTAGTACAACAAAGCGTTCGGGCCATTGCAGGTAAAACAAATACATAAAGCTGGGAAGGCGGTTATCTTCAGGCTAAAAAAACATATTCACCAAGTGAATGGAGAAAAAAATATAATACATATGACACAAAAAATGAAAAAGTGGTCTGAAGCCAGTCATCAGAATTAATTTGCTCTCAATGTGTTTATGGGATGGACAGTATGTGTAAGGCCAAAGTCCATAAAGACATATCAGCTTGTTTCCTGTCATGTTCATTCTGTAAATAACATCATTAAAGGCTCAGTGAACAAAAGACTTACAACGTCTATCTTTTACTATAAAGACGTGGCTTTCATCTCAGCAGATCAACCGTTGAGTACATGTTACTCGCACCACACTTCGGTACCATGGCTACAAACTGACGCTTTTATTCTATACATTTGCCATTTAAGATGGCATTTAAGATCTTCACGTATAAGAGCTAAAGAAATGGAATCAACAATGACAAAATTCCCCTGTTTCTTTTGCATGACCTGCACAAACAGGGACTGACAATGCTGGGTTAACACAACAATAACGCAGTAGATTAAGTAGCAGAAACTACAGCCTGTTGCTCCAGCGAGCGTGCAGGAGTGACTCTGGTGGCGCCCATGGGCTACACCATACAAGTTAAATATAAATCATATAAAATCAAGTCGAGATATAAAATGCACAACTCAGAGGTAAAAGTATGAGTCAGTTACTGATACAAATGAGCGATTGACAACAACAGAGCCATGAATTTTTCTTTCCTTTCACGAGTGAGACTTAATGCTGCATTCAGTTGAGTTGAATTATTGTCGGCACAAGTTGGCTCAAACTGCAACGTGTAATTTATGTGACTTTTATTGTTGCGCATGTATAGCAACCCTCCTCAAAAAACACAACAACAGCAGAAGTAACAACTTGTATCAGACTTCAAACTTGTTTTAAGCTCTGGATCTTGGAACCACAAATAACACAAATAATGAATCTACTTCAGGTTCCGTCTTCCTCTTGCGTTCAGATTAGTGCCGTGTGCTGTACAGTGTGTACGCCGCTTTAGTCACTGAGTCATGCATTCAACTGAATTTGGTTTGGCAGTTGACCAAATAGATAAACCTTCTATATACAGTAGGCCTTCTGAAATATCCTCTGTACGCTGAGCTGGATGACAGCGTTAGTGTTTGCTGCACTGCTGAAGAGAAGGAAGAGATCACATTTTCACAAATCCAACAACCCACACAAGGAAACTACAGAGAAACGGACATATGTCTGCAAACTGAAACTCATTCATCATCTCTTGTGAAAGAAAGAGCTGTTTCGATACAGGAAATATCTTAATGATTAGCAGGCTGTAAACATTGTGTATTTTACGACAGACTTACATCTAGCCTGCCCACATTACCACATTTTTCCAGCAGTTTTATTTTGTGTAATGCTGATCTCACTGAAACCTGAACAAAGAATAACAGAAACCAGTTAGAGTTCCGCAGGCAGCATTGAGGAAGCAATAGGAATGTCCTCTTCCTGAGTCAAAACAATGGCATCAGAGAAATTGCGTGTGGACAGGCCATGAATAAAGAAGTTAAATGGCAACTGATGTGTAAGTGTCTTCATTACAATTGCGTACGGAGGGCAGTTATTAAGTAGGCTTCACAGTGTATATTTTAAAGTTCTGAAGCGCAGCTGATCCGCATTTTCTGTAGAGAGCATAAGGTGAAAGGTCGGGGAGCACATTTCAACCTGAACCTCATTCTCAGATTATTTCACGTATGGCAATAGATTTTTATGTCATTCCTAGTCAGTGTGATTACAAAGTTGAGTAAAGAGCAAGGTAAGCTGAAACAAAAGTGAATATTGGACTTGAATGTGTCAGTTAGTGAAGAAAGACAACTTTGTGTCACAAGTGTCAGGTTTATCAGACAATAAATCAGAGCTTTGTCTTTGTTTTGAGCGCAGACTTAGCTTGCTGTAGTACACTGTAGCTGTGCTATAAACCAGCAACTCCAAAGTTAAATCATGCTTGTTTAATCATGCAAACAAATAATCAGATAGTATTGAGAATCAAACATGATTTGAATTGTTAACATATTGTTTGTTAAGATAATCTCAATGAATGGCCTTTTATCCGGCTGTATCTTATCATGGTTACGGTGTTAACCATTCTCCAGCGGACGCTTGTGTTGACTAATGTGGAAGTATCATAACGTGTTCACGTAGATAACGTAGAATAATTCACTGTTTCACGGTGTGATAGGGGCACCGGACTGATGACTGGAACAAATTACAGTCAACCATGTAGGAGAATATTACTTTTAATAGTTCAACATCACCACCATGAAACACTTTTGTTTGTTCAGCCATTATTTATCAACGTTTTGCAATCTAATGACTATAAAAATGCTCAGAATCAATTATCAATCAAACAACATAATCAGGAACATTAAATTATAACATAGTAACGTCAGTTACTGGAATTGTTTTTCCCAAAGTGTTGATGCAGGATGAGGATCCCACAAACTCAAATCCAATCAATGACTTACAGTCTGCCAACGACCACATTTTTGGATTTGTTATTTTCTTGTGACTCGTGCCTCAGTTCAGTTTTGGCTGAAATTTTGTTTTTGTTTCTCCGCAACATGAAAAGAAAACATTGGCAGAAAACGGTGGGTCACAGAAGTCGCATCGATAAAATAGTTTGTCATTAACTAGAATTGTACTTCATGATTTCCCGTTGCCTGGGTGACCCAGTGGAGACGTTACAACAGCTATTTCCCGAGCAACCTGAATGCGTTTAGCGATTTTATTTGTGAGACGTGAGCAATAGGGATGTGAGTCGGTCCGTCTAGTCGGCCGGATGGGTTGTGGGCCCGACGAACAGCTTTAGGAGCCTACGAAAAGGTAGAAAGAGAGGAGGGAGGGGGAAAAAAGGGGGTGTTGGGAGGGTGGTGTTTGCAATGCGTCAACGGGACGTGAAGAGGGGGTTTGGTAGGGAGGTATTTACGGGGATACCGGAATAGGCGTGTTGGAGACGTGGTCCTGCTCCCGAAATTACGCCAATTAGCTTCAAAAACACTGTCACATCATGTTTGCGTCGAGGCTACGAAAACATTGCATACAACAAAACAACAAAAAAGAATGACAAGCCAAAATATATAGCAGACAGGTGGAGGAAGCCGACGTACCCCTCCTCAGCCTTTCTCAAACACAGTCCTACGCTGTGCAAACATGCGCACAAAAAACAAACACACAGACACACGTACATACAGCCATTAGGATACGGGTTTGCATGTTCCTTACGGTCTCATGTGGTCACGTATCAGCGACATAACAAGCTCAGCTTGGTCACTCATTACCTACTGACAGCAATAAACCCGACACACCCAGAGCTACCATGGGCAAAAGGTTAAACCATAAAACTACTCATAATTTAAAAAAGCACACACGAGCACCAACACACCCAGGTGGTAAATGAGGCCAATGCCCAGACCTCGCCTGATTGGTTTCGTTTGACGAGTGATGTCATCTCTGAGGAGGGCCTGACCACTTAGTAATATACCACTGCCCGGATAAGGGTAATCGACGACTTAAGAGCAGAAGAACGGGACGTCTGAACGGACACGTACGCACAGCGGAGAGCACAGAGTTTTTGGAGGAAGCTCGCTGTGACAAATCGCTCTTCTAGGTTCAGCAGCCGGTGCAGCAGCTACAGCTAAAGGACAAACCTCTGGGAAAGAAGGGTCGACGAAGAGAGGATTGACGGGCAAAAGTAAGAAGGCCTTTAGATATTAACTGGAAAATAAAAGGAGGAAAACCGAATCAACTGAAGAGCAATCGAGAGTAGAGGAGGGTCCAACAAAGGAGCTTTTGATCCAAAGGGGGCACGCTTTGTCGGTGCACTATGGTGTCTTTTGGACTGGAACTGGTCGGCGTCCTTCTGTCAGTGCTTGGCTGGGTGCTGAGTGTGACCAGCTGCGCCTTGCCAATGTGGAGGGTGTCGGCCTTCATTGGCTCCAACATTGTCACAGCTCAGGTGTACTGGGAGGGCCTGTGGATGAACTGTGTGTTCCAGAGCACGGGACAGATGCAGTGCAAGGTCTACGACTCCATGCTGGCTTTACCTCAGGACCTGCAGGCCGCCAGGGCGCTCACAATTGTCTCCATCATCGTGGGGGCGGTGGCTCTCCTCATCTCCATGGTGGGAGCAAAGTGCACCAACTGCATCGAGGAGGAAGGGGTCAAAGCCAGGGTGATGGCTGCCTCGGGCGGCGCGTTCATCACGGCAGCTCTGGCCCAGCTGGTGCCGGTTTCCTGGTCGGCGCACACCATCGTGTTCGAGTTCTACAGTCCACTCGTCCCCTCCGGCCAGAAGATGGAGATCGGGGCGGCGCTGTATTTAGGCTGGGCCGCCGCCGCCCTGCTGTTGGTCGGAGGGTCCATCCTCTGCTGCAGTTGCCCTCCACGGGAGGATAAGCCGGCGAGGTACAGCGTGCACCCCCAGAGTCGCATGGCGTACTCTGCCGCGCCGAGGTCAAACGCTCCGAGCTCCTACAACAAGAGGGACTACGTGTGAGGGAAGAGGACAGGTGACCAAAGAGGGGGAATATATTTGCTTGCGTGGACTTATTTCTAAATTGTCAGGAAATGAGGACAGAACTGAGCTAAATAATAATTAATGGTAAAGCAGCCAAACAGTTTGAGAATGTTAAGTGTAAATATGCAGGCAGTTTTCTGAAACCTTTGAGAAATAGATTGGACCGCTCCGTACAGATGTTTGATGGTTCTGTTTACATTCACCACTGGTCTAAATCAAGTCTTGACCGTGAGCAAATATGGTAACAGATGTTCACAAATTTTGTCTCTGTGGCCCGTTAGGAGACTTTATCCCATATACATATATTTATTATTTGTGGGCATAATATTTACATTATGAATGCGCCTCGTTTTACTGATCAGTGTGTAAATATCAAGTATAGCCAATTATTGTAAAGGAATTAGAGACACGGTTAAGACTGGAAACATAGGAAATATTTTCCTTGCTATTATTACAAAACACGGACATCATACAGTTTAGTAAAATGGAGCTCACGTTGGTCTCCAAAGCAACGTGGTGAAGTGGATTGTAAAAATAATTTATGCAAAATAGATATTGGTTCTATCTCATATTTTCCATCTCAATAAGAGACCGTGTTTGGACATCGTCCCCTGAAGTTGATGCTGTTATGGTGTTTGATGCATTCAGATTGTATGTGTTTGCTAATAATGAGACAACATTTTGAGTCTACTTTTCGGATGCAAATGTTGTGGTTCTAGATGTACTGAAATTATTGAAATAACTTTAAAATGAAGTAATAAAGATTTTCACTGTGAAACATCATGGAGGCCTACTTTATCTGGGTTTAACTTAACAATGATAAACATGATAAATAAATGTTTATTAATTAAGAGAACAGGCTGTAATAAGAAGTGACAAGGTTTTAAATCAATATACTTTAGAAATAAAAGTTGAAATTCAAATAAGGGAATTACTGTAAGATTTAACAATAAGTTAAAGACAACATGAGCACAAACACTATATATTTTTTTTGCCTTCTTAGGTTGTTATCTGTTATACAATTTTACAAAAAAGGCATGAAATGGGATGTTGATGTTTCAGAGAGTGACAGCTTTGTAGGTTGGACTTGTGTGTGACAGGTTCTCTTTTTAGAGTTTTGATATAATGGCAAGGGAAGTGCCATCTGCTTAGTGTTCCATCAGCAGAAACCAACCTCTTCCTCTTTTGAATAGTAAAATCCTCTGTCTGTGGTGCGGCGGGAGGCCTGTTAATCCTGATCCAGGAGCATCGCTACACACAAACGATTTTTCTGATCCTCCAAGCAGCACTGGAGAAATATATTTACAAAAGGTTTAAGTACTTCTTCCACTACTGGGTGTTGTTATTTAGTTTCGGCCCCTTATATACACAGAAGAGTGTTAAAAAACGTATGTAAAAAAAAAAGCAATATCAAAGCATAGCCCTGCATTAAAATGTTGTATTAGGATTGGAATATACTTAAAATACCAAATGGAAAAGTAGTGAAGTAGTTTGAAAATGTTATAGTAAACATACTTGATATATTATAATATAAAGCTAGAATTATATTATTGGATAATAGTTATTGATGAATTAATATGTACATACTTTAGGTCAGTTAGTAAAATTCAAACCCTAATAATACATCTTAATGTTGGAGTTGATTGCATATCATAGCATTCATATCCATATCCATATATATTTATATATAAATTGTATATGAAAACTGATTCCTCCTCCAATAATAACTCTAAAAGGAAATACAATATATATGACATGATTTTAGAGTATCAAAAATGAAAATGCTAAGTACAAGATTGTACTCGAGTAAACCTCCTGAAATACATTTCATCAGCGGTGAATCGATCAGTTGTACACATAAAGATGTGTTTCAGTGTGAGCTTGCATTCTTACACTGTGACAATAGCTGACTCGATAAACTATGGACAATAAACATTTGGACACAGAAGCAGCTTCGGCTCTTGTTTTGGAATCACAAGCAGCTGGTGATCACAGTTGTACTGACACAAATCCCCTTCAGGTCGTCACTGTTATCTCTGTAGTTGCATAAACGCGATGGTACGACAAACAGCCTCCCTGTTGTTCAGCCTTGAGGATTGTGTGTGGCCTTTTTATCTCTGTGAGAGCTACTTTGGGCTCTACACTCTTAATGTGAAGCCATTTGTTTCGCCCGTGTGTTTGACGACAACATTGGATCAGCCTGACGGCGATGAGCAGACGCAGCGCTTTGAGATTTAGGTTTGGAGACGAGAGATGTCTGCGAGAAGATTTTAAAAATGGTTCCGACGTGTAGTGCTCTTGATAATGAAAAAATCATAACATCGGAGGTGCTTGTGTTCTAAATCCAACACATTTACTCGAAAGAACACTGTAAATTGGTAGTGATCTTTGCGAAAATGTTTGTAAATTTTCAATTAAATAGATCATTAAATAAATCATTCACTTTCAGTTTGCTCTCTCCTTAAGGGAATTCTTTATTTTTATTTTTTAAGTTTTCCCCTTTTTTAGGCAGAGGACTGCTTTTTGTTCTCCATCACATACAAAGTAAATAAACAGAAAGATTGAGAAATGGGTAAATCACTTGTTTTACAACAAACATTTACAGACCTTTACAAACATTAAATGTGTCTGCAGGCAAAAATAAAAAAAAGAACATCTCCGCAGAACAAAGTTGCAAATAATAAATTAATAGTCCCTTCGGTTAAAATGGATATTTTCATTTCATTTTATTGTGATGAAATCATTTGTCTACATAACCCCCCAAAATGTTCTAAAATTAATTTACAGTAAATAACAATCTGAATTCAGTGAATAGATATTTTCCAATTTATTTATATCTTCAACATTGATTAGCATACATTTTAAAGCTACTTTTTTATTCTTCTTTTAAACAGAACTCTCAACCTCTTTTGTTTTCAGCAATAATTTGGTGAGTGTAAAGGACTTAACCGATACTGACAAGATCCCGCTGTCTGTATGCTAAAGGAGTCTGAGAATCGGCCGGTGGTGTTTTCTCTCTGCTCATATTTGCTCTTGGGGCAGTTTTTCTGGTTTACAGCAGAGCTTTTCGATTGTTTTACCAACACGTAGTCCTATTTAGAGACTGCATCCAGGAAGCAAGGCCTACTCATTTGTATCGCATCGTTTGCACCGTTGTGTGTGTGTGTGTGTGTGTGTGTGTGTGTATCCATGCTTACTCACAACAAGCTTTTACAAGCAGAGCCAGAGGCCGAAACTGCTTCTCAGTTCCGGTGTGTATGTTTGCAAACCAGTGTTGACGTGACAAGAATTACATCTTCTTCTTTTGTTGGACTCTATCAAATAGAACTTGTCCTTCCTTTTTCCAGAGAGACATCTTAATGGTGATCAACCGCGACCGACCACAGCCACACCCTGCCGACGTCACATCACTTCTCCCTTCCCTCCTGCCTCCAGCTCGCCCCGTCCATGACACGTGCACAGGTGGTGTTTTTTTGTTGTTTTCTTTTTGGGAAGACAGCCTACTTTTGACATCATCACCGGGGGACTCCTCCTTGCTCCCCTGAGGTATAAAGGATTTCTTGTTTCCGTGGCAGCACGTCATAGCAACATCACACCCTCTCACAGGTGCTCCCACTTTTCAAGGACGCCAGAACCACAGAGGAGGAGGAACCTCACTGCGATCTCAGGACTCTCGATCCACGTTCTGTTCCGCCGTCACATCACGAGCCGGCATGTCAATGGGCCTGGAGATCGTGGGCATTGCCCTTGGATGCATTGGTTTCATCATTGCAATAGTTTCCTGCGCCCTGCCAATGTGGAGGGTGACGGCTTTCATCGGAGCCAACATCGTAACTGCTCAGACCATCATGGAGGGCTTGTGGATGAACTGCGTCACCCAGAGCACCGGCCAGATGCAGTGCAAGATCTACGACTCGCTGCTAGACCTGTCTCAGGACCTGCAGGCCTCGCGAGCAATGATGATCATCGCCATCATACTCGGGGTGCTCGGGGTCATGATCTCCATCGTCGGCGCCAAGTGCACCAACTGCATCGAGGACGAGCCGTCCAAGGCCAAAGTGATGATCATCGCTGGAATCTTCTTTTTACTCGCCGGCCTTTTGGTTCTCATCCCTTGCTCCTGGACGGCCAGCGTCATCATTCGGGATTTCTACAACCCCATCTTGAGCAGCCCACAGAAGAGGGAGATCGGGGCGTCGCTCTACATCGGCTGGGGAGCAGCCGCCCTGCTCCTGATTGGGGGGGCGATGCTGTGCACCAGCTGCCCGCCAAAGGAGAAGAAGTACAAGCCGCCCCGGATGGCCTACACCGCCCCGCGCACCGCCAGTGCCGGTGGAGGTTACGACAGGAAAGACTATGTTTAAACAGGAGTGTTTGAGGGAAAGGTTCGGAGAGCAGGATGTTTGTTGCGCCCGGTGGGGGTTTTTGTTTGTCAGTGTTGTGTTTGGCTGTATGAAACCACGGGTGAACCCCACGAAAAGACTCCGAAATGAAGAAGCGTGTATGCTAAAGATTTTTTTCTGCTCTGCGTTCGGCCGACGTTTTCGTTCACAGAACTAAGGTTCAGCCCTGCTATGATGCAGCAGCTGTGTCTTGTTACAACGTTTTTTTGTATATGAACATTTTGTTCTGCTTTCTAGAAAGAGATCCTTTAATTTTCTGAGAACGTGCTGTATTTATGCTTCACTTTCTGTGACATTTTATGAATCCAGAACACCTACTTCTGGTGATTGTGTGTCACCACATCATTAGCAGCCAGCCTGCTGGTGTCGTGTTTCACTGATACCTTCAGTTGAAATGCTCTGTGTCGCTGACAATGACAAGAAAAGGGTTGCTCTCATTTTACATGGATTTGCTTGTGTGATTGTTCAGTGTGTGTGTGTGTGTGAGTGTGTGTGATAGTGAGGCTCTCTGTCTGTGTGTGTATGTGGCTGTGTGTGTTTTGCATGTAATATTTGCTTAGGAGAGTTTCTACAGAGACAGAAACTAAAGACGGATCCATGATATGGCTCCAGGAAACACCTTTATCTCCCATCCCACAGTTTCACTCTTTACGGAAAAGAAATAGCTTTTTCAGTTGCGTCACAAAGACTTTGTGTCTATAAATGCAAGTTTATTTTATATTTCTTGTAATGTGTTGTATTGTAACACTCCACTGTGTGTCTGTGTTTGGAATAGATTGATGTTGGCTGTTTCTTTGTAATATTTTTTTTTTTTTATTATCATTAGCAACATCCTTTACAAAGAGCCAAAGGTCCTCTGTCTGTGTGTGTGTGTGTGTGTGTGTGTGTGTGTGTGTGTGTGTGTGTGTGTGTGTGTGTGTGTGTGTGTGTGTGTTGCCTGAGGCAATATGACTAAAGGTTTGTTTGTTTTGTTTCCACGTGTGTTATTTGGTCGATATTTTTCAGATAATTCCAATTAATTTCCATCTCTCTGGTGTTCAGTTTAACAAGGTTTTGTTCTTTAGTATCCAAACATTGTAAAGGGGCGGATTGATAAAATAGTTGCTTCGTTGATTGTTTTGTAGTAGTTCTTGTTGTGCGTGTTGAATATTTCAATAAAAGTCAAACTAAGAATCATATAAGGAGTTTCTTTTCTTCCTCTTCGATCAAGAAAGATAGATTAAATCTAATCTTAAGAAACATTAAGTGCTAGAATCATTTATCTGGGACATCATAAACAATGCTACCAAACAAACAAACATCGGTCTACATCAAATAATTTAAAAGGCTGAATTCAGGGTTGGGTTTTGGGAGGGTTTTTTCGTTCAGCCAGCCTTAGAAGTGACTTCAATTGATCTCTCATTTGAATGAATGAATAATACTTGGGTGTGGCCAGTACAGCCGGCTTTGTAAGGCTACTGTACACCTGTGAGAGATGTTAGGCTTTGGCTATAGAAAAACTGGAATCAACTGGAAAAGGTCAAATTGGGAGTGGAAATTGGAAAGATGGAGCGAGAGACAGAAAAGGAAGACTAAAGAAAACCTTGTCCAATAGTTTTGCCTTTTTTTTATTGAACTACAAATCCACACAAGTAATGTAAATGTAATACTGTTTTTTTACAAATTTAGTTGTAAAATTAAATACATAGTACACAGATATGACACTTGTCAATCAAAGCATGATTTTGGGGGAAATATCAACATTTTCCAAACGTCACACAAGGGTTTTAAACTACGAGTCACAAAATGTTACAGCTTTGTCAAAGATTTTTTTTAAAAGTCAGTCACATATAAACAGCCACTTCCCCATTGCCCTGTAATCACAAAGGGCCGTGTGCAAGCGGGTCAGTTTGTAGAATTTGACCAATTCAACAAAAAAAGATTCCAAAGGGCGTCAATCCACTTTTATTAGACACTGATGGGAGATTCACCTTGTGGGCAGCTCAAGAAAACACAGGGCTTTTCCTGGAAACTCCTTTATCCTCAGAATGATCTCTGTCAAGTGAAACCAAACAAGATCAAAAAACATGCAGTGCATGCTGGTTGGGTGGCATTTTTCCCAATCGTTTGCATGTAACAAGTCGACTATAAAAAATGTGTTGGTTAAAGCATTTACTACATTGCCATATTTAAAATTCAATTAAGCTGCTTATATGGGGGGTTAGTGAAGACGGGTCATTTTGACCCGGAGGACATGGGGTGTAAACAGGAAATGAGGACAACAGGAGGGTTAAGGCTTAACAAACTATTTAGCTAAATTCAAGTTGCTTGCATGCTGATACAATACAAACATTATCCTATAGTGCAAAAGTTGTTACAAAACTGCACAGAGTACCTTTAATGAGCTTAAGCATGCAATAAAATAATCGATTTAAAGGAAGAAGAAAGAAGTTATGACAATAGAATGGACGCCCTTGTACTTTTCCACAAAGGTCATTGGTTGAATATTTGAATGTCAACTTCCCTTTCTAGTGAAGTTGACAGGAAGTAGAGTTTCCGAGAAACACGACGAGGACCGAACAGCAAAGTCCAACAGGTACCTGATAGAGGCTCTAGAAAGTATTGGCCCAGGTTATCACTGAAGTCTTAACCTCACCGACTGATGGATTGTAAACTTGTATAAAGCAGGTATACAATCTGTTGCAAACACTTCATCCGGCGGAGGTCAATTAGCATGTTATATTTGAGATGTTATCATTCGAACATAATCATGTGTAGCAATTATTTGATTTTAGATATTTTAGTGACAAAGATGTTCTGGTATTGTTGTATTTTTGAGTTAAAGGTGCAGGTCTGGTGTGAACATGATCGCTCACGCTGTGACCTTTCACAACCAAAACTTTAGTGATTCCATAAAAAACATTTAAGAGTTTCCACCTCAAGGTAACTAAATGAATATCCGATTTACTACAGCACCAAATGCACAAACATAACCTGAATCCCCACAAAAGAGAAATGTTTTAGAAAATGTGTTTTATAATAAAAATCAATAAGGATTTGGGCGGAAGGTCCTGGAGTATATCTTAAGTGTTTTTATTCTCTCAAACCAACCGTGACGGTGACGTTGGTAATTCTTTTCCCTTGTGAGCCTGTGTGCGTATTGTTGTGGCAGGTGTGGTCCTATTTCCTTGGTTGTTGTCACTGATACCATGAGAGGAAGTTCAAAGCCAACAAATGTGAATGTACATTCAAGCAACCTTTTTAACTTCTGTGATGTTCAATTCGGTCCAAATATTCTGAATGTTTTCAGGAGGACACTCTGCCCCCCGGTTGTTACTTACTCCCGTCTGTGGCTACAAATCATGACAGCCGCCTCTTCCAGTAAAGGACCATGTGACAGTTTAGTAAAGGACCTTGAACAGTTTCTTCTGCTGAAACAGCGTTTATGATTTAATCGTGTTGCTCAGTGGTTTAAAAAGTTTTTCCAAGATAAACTAAATGACCCCAAGCATGATCCCTCTGTTCCTTTACTTGTATGTTCTGTCTTTCTTGTGACGTGTGCCACACTGTGGCATTACTTATAACTGTGTTATAAACTATCAGGTGCATTTCTTTTACGTAGTAGATATCCATTTTATATTATTTTTCGGTTGCTTTTTTAAACATCTTGCATTCAACTTGTGAAATGTGGCTTTTTGCTATATTTTGTGACCAATAACCGATGGACCGAACTGATATAAAATAAACATGCTGCATACAGAGTGTGGGACAATTTAAGTGGGTCAACTAAAAGAACACCTTTGTTTTCATTAATCAGACTCTGAGAATACGGAATAAAGAAACACATTACTATGCATGGGAAGGCTCTTTGAAAGGAGCAGGTTGAGAACAAGGACATTCTTTGCTGCGCTCTGTGTAGCATGAACAAGAGCTGACGTTTACTGTCTGACGCTCAGCTTCATTACGCAGTCAAGAAGTAAAAAACAGTACTCGTGGGTGGAGGGTGATGTGAAATGTCAGCGAGATCTGGCGCTATTCGAGTCAAATGGAACAACTTCAAAATAATCTATCTCGACAATGATTTTGTTGCATATTCTGTCATAAACTCTTCTTTTTCTTAGCACAATCAATATTTTTTCATATTTCCATGCAAGATTCAACATATTGTTGACAATGGTCCATTTGCATCAGAAGCATAGTATTTAATACTTGGTTTAAAGCAAACTGGAGCTTTGGCTGAACTTTGGCACAGTTTTGAAAAGAATGAAAAGGAGAGCAAACTCATCCACCAATTCCCTTTTCTCCTCGCACTTGGGTTTGTATTGTGTGCTCCCCCGGCGTCTGTCTCATGCAATCACTATGGTGACAGCTCACAGCATGCTTTATCCCAGAAGACCTCTCCCATAGCAATGGATGTTTGCAAGGGAGGCCAGGCTCTCCAGCTCCAGCCCCATGGTTTTTATGTTCCTGTGCATGACATGAGCCATGCATACAGGCACCAAAATATAATACAAAAAAGTAGAAACCGCAGAAACGAAATATACAATTCAGCAGCAGTCACACATAGCACGTGTGTTTAGGCCTGTTTTTAAATGATCGAGCAGCTTGTTCAAACATCGACATTTAGAGACTTGTGTGTCCTCTACAAGGTAATGGAAGACCTATTCATGCAGGACGAGCTGTTCTTGCGGCGTACAGCTCTCTACTCCGTGCAGGAAGGGAATCATTTTGTTGGGAAGGAGAAGGTGTTCCTCACATCGTGCCGTTCGGGCGCCACCTTGTGACCTAACAAAGCACGGTGTATATTTTTATTTCGTGGCAATTTTATTGTTGTAGTGACCATTTTGCCTATCAAAATAATATCAACCGGTTTGCTTCCGAAATACTAACCCTTGTGGCATACAATCCTCCCTATTATGTAGACATTGCGGCCATTTACGCAGCAAAACATATCGAAATGGATTTTTACAATTGTCTAAATGCAAAATGCATGATTTTGAGGGAAAATGTGTGTTGACTTCAAGAAATACATTATTCAAATCCACGTCTAGCGTATTTTTCAAATAATAACAACTAATAATGCCACGAAAAGAAGAGGTTTTACACGGTTTTACATTAATCTCAACTCGTGTCTCTCGTGGGGATTTTGATTAATTTGACTATACAACTGTGACGGCATTTCATAATAGTGGATGTAAAACCATTCTTTTTGACTAAAGTCCAACTAAATATTCCTATTAAATCGCAGCAGAGCTAGTGTCATGCTTCTGATGCAGCCTGCGAGACCAGACTCGGGGAAGCGCGTCTTTCCTCGCCTGTGCGTGCCACGTCATGACGCAGCCTCAGCTGCGCTCTTCTCGACCTCCGCGAGCTCCGAGGATACTCTCTCCGAGTCCCCGCCGTCATTTAGACGCTCATGCGGTTTGTCAATCGCCCGCTACCGGAGCATCTGCTGCTATGAGTGCTTTCTGTCGCCTGATCCATAGAGGGCTGTTGAGCCTCCGGCCGTCGTGTCGTTTTTTCCCCGGGCAGCAGGATGCGTGCGCGGTGGCTCCTTTGGCTCACACGGTCCGGACGGCTAGCTCATCCAGGTACCCGTGCTAGCTCCCCGGCTAGCAGATGCCCTCTGTCTCCCCGAGCCGTTAGGGCGGTGTGATGGTGCTCGGAGGACATGACAGCTCAATGTTTCGGTCTTTGAAAGCCGCCCGTTCCATTGGGATTCATCACCGTGACTTCGTATCTCTCATCAGCTCGCGTTCATATAACGGTTAACTTTAAACATTTTAAATAAATGACATTCAGGCGGTTAGCAAAAGGCTTCCCCGGCAGTTGAGCTATTTTCATGTTTAGTTATGGATTCTCCCCCTTATTTCTATTTGGTTATTGTGCATTTAGCTACATAAACACCGTTTGGTGATAACGTTACATGTTGTATGTGGGACGCAATGCTAAACCACTGCTAAGCTGCAAGTGTATTAACGTTAAGCTTAGCTAAAAGGAATGCAGCCAGCAACCCTTCCAATAAATCCTATATTTATGAATGTCACTGCGTGACAGTGGTAGGTCTGATTTTAAAAACTAATTTAGGAAGAAATAGAACTTGCCGTTTGTTATATTTTATGTAGAGAAAAGTGTGCTGTATTTTGTCCACAGCATTAGTATTGAGAGTATATATATATATATATATATATATATATATATATATATATATATATATATATATATATATAATTATTGAGGCCTGTGGTATTCGACATGGGACACAGCGAGGCGCACCGGGGGTAGTTATTACAATATAATATACCTGCAAAGTGGAAAAGAGTCCTAGAACATGTAAACGTACTGCTGTAAACCGTACTTAAGTAGGTTAGGTAAATTCTCTGTATAAAATGTAATATAAAACTACTGTTAAATTAAGGAGTGGGCTAAGAACTAGGTTGCAGTTACTCAAGTTCAACAACAAGTCCCAATTTGTCCAAACATGTGATTTGTCGTAGCTGTCATGTTTACACGCCCCTCTCACTGGACGCCACGCCCCCTTCGCCACATCCGGGCCACAAGTCTCAATGTGAGCAAAACGATCTGAAAGTTTAAAAAAAGATTTGAAACTTGAAAATATATGTTTTGAATCTGAAAATATAATATCTGCAACCCACAAAAAAACCCACAGCAAATAACAAAAATCTATATATTTAAATAAAAATATTTTATTCAAAGCAAATGATAGAACTGAGCCAAAACTATATTGAACCCAAAATACTTTTTGTCTGCTTTTTATTTTGAATACATTGTTATATTTTTCAATAGAACAAAACCTTTGCTCCGTATATTACTACATTATATGCAACTATGCCACTGTCAACAAACTTTGAAAGCTTCACACGGCTTTTAGACCAATTTTGTATTGTATTACTTAATTGTGTATAGGTGGCAATCTGGCTGTAACATCAACAGTTGAACATTGTAATTTTGAAGTCCATGAACGTTGCAAATTATGCAGTCAAGTAATTCATTTAAAACCTATTTAAACATTTATTTAACAACAATTCTCTACACTTAATGTTAGCCTATATGCACAGCGGTTGCCACTGTATATAGTATGTCTCATGTCATTGAACAGGGCTGCCACTGTTGTCTTCTCTTTGTATAATCTGTGATATCCTATTTGAATCTGTCAATTTTGGAGAGTTAGGTACAGCGTTTTTCCCTGTTTCATGGGTTTGCAGGGTTTTGTAACTCATTTCTGTTCCTGTAGTTTCAATTCTCACCCCAGACATTACCAGAACCTACTGGTCTCAACTGTTTTTCTTTCCTCAGCCCAGTCAACTTGACCTATGATGTCTTCGACGGGAAAGGGGAGAGCACTCCCCTGGTGTTTCTTCATGGCCTTTTTGGCAGCAAATCTAACTTCCACTCAATAGCTAAGTCCTTGGTGCAGCGCACAGGCCGGAAGGTAATGCAGTGATGAAGATATCCCACCTGTATGCCCCAAAAAAACAATATAGCTGACTTAGAAGTTTTCTCGTCTCTACTCAGTTGCCCCCCACCCCTCCTTTCCAAGTGTCCTGACTGTCCTTTGTCCAGTTAGGTGCTGACTGTAGATGCCCGTAACCATGGCAACAGCCCTCACAGCTCGGAACTGACCTATGAAGCGATGACCGATGATTTGAAACACCTCCTCGCCAAGCTGCACATCGAGAAGTGCGTCCTCATCGGCCACAGCATGGGAGGCAAAACGGCCATGACGACCGCCCTGTCGCAGGTTTGCAGCCAAGGAAATGTCAACATGACTTAAAAATGACGCCGCCGCCCGGTGTCACCTGATGTCACATTCCTGTCCTCTCGGACCGTAATGGCAGAGCCTCTTTGGGTCTAAATTTCCCAACCAGCTGTTGTGTTTCTATTTTGTCATTGGTTTCCTCCGCCCACCTACACATCTCTCCTTACCGGTTTACGCCCATCTACCTGTCTCTGTTTGCAGTCTGGTTTAGTGGAGAGGCTGGTGGTGGTGGACATCAGTCCAGCCCGGACCACATCGCGAACAAACTTTCGCTACTACATCCAGGCCATGCAAGAGGTGAAGATCTCCAGCGACATCCCCCGTTCCACCGCCAGGCGGATGGCTGAGGATCAGCTGCGCACTTTAGTCAAGGTCAGGACTCCTTCTCTGCATGTAGTTTCTCATTTGAATATTGCTTTAACTAATCTGCTTGGAATTTTAGGAATAATGTATGCTGAAATGTAAACAAAGCAAGGATAGCTTGAATATTAAGAGAGAGTAACTTCATTCTCTCTTCAGTTAGACATTACTCAGGGTTCTCGCGGGTCCTTAAAAAGTCTTAAAATGTCTTCAATTAAAATTCGGGTAATTAAGGTCTTAAATTGTCTTAAATTTCACGTAAAGTTGCTGTAGGTATTAATTTTTTTGCCGGTGCGCTTAATGACGACGAGAAAGCACAGTGGCGCATCGTAAAACATCTAAAAGTTGTTTAATTGAGTATTGTGCGAAATGAGTCTCCGCAATTGAATAGCTGTTTACGGTATGTCGGCTACAGACGCTGACGTCAGGCTGCGTGTCACCATTACGCGGTTGTCGATGTGAGGTTGAAAATGCAAAGAAGATGGAGAAGTGCAAATTTAACGACAAGTGGATGGAAGAGGATGCATTTAGGAGGTGGTTGGCGCCGATTGAAAACAACAATGAGGCAATGTGTAAACTATGCAAAAAGACCTTTTCATTAGGGACCATGGGGCTCAAAGCCGTCGAGTCGCACATGAAAGGAGGAAAGCACCAGCGATATGTTGCAGCAGCTAGCCATAGCGGGGCCAGGTTAATCCCTGCATTGTTTGCAGCACGACCTAACGACGTTACAAGTTCAGACGCCACCTCTGAGCCGGCTGTGACAAGTGTGTGTTAAAAAAGTTTTGATTTCCATTGTAGGAGGCAATAAATTGCGTATTCCAAAGAAATTGTGACATTTTGGGGTCTTAAATTATATTTGTTGAGGTCTTAAAAAGCATTACATTTTACTTTTGAAATGGTGCAAGAACCCTGCTACTATATATGGACATAGATAGTTGTTTAGTACTGAATGTTGAATACAGATCAGAAGAAGCTAGATTGTTGCTGCCTTGAAGTCATGAAACACATGAAACGTGTTTTTGTTTTTAAAACAGTCTAATCATTAACTGTCCTTTCCTCCCCCAGGAGCGCTCCGTGCGTCAGTTCCTGCTGACTAACCTGGTGGAGCAGAATGGTCACTACGCCTGGCGGGTCAACCTGGAGGCCATTGAGGCGCACCTAGAAGACATCATGAGCTTTCCCAGCTTTAACACTGTCTATGACGGACCCACATTATTTTTGGGGGGAGCCAGTTCTGCATATATCAGGTATGAAACACCAAAGCAGATTTTTTTTTTATAGGAACAGATACATAGGCTTAGAATACTGAAAATTGCACCTATTATATCATTTAGAGCCGAGCTGCTTCCTTGCTCCTGCATGGGCTTTTTATGATTTCCTTTAGAAACAATGCATGAACAACTTTTTTTATACGCGGGTCGTTCCCACCAACCTGCATTGTCCCAGTCCTGAAGGTGAGTCTTTATTTATTTATTCATTCATTTATTTTGCAGGGACATTCACACTAATCAACAGCCAGAGAGGCTCATTTCCATCTGCTGCCCCCAGCCAGATTTTTTTAAGGCAGCCTAAAAAAGTCTAGAGGTCTTTGTCCTCGCGGTTTATTTGAGGGTTGTGATTGGATTATCAGAAGATTTTGGCCGTTTACCTCTGGAAGCATGAAGGAATTCACATGACCATTCACACATTCGAGTTCATACTGCAGCAACTGAATGTGTGAACACACCAGCTGTTCATCTTCACCTCTCGTCTCTCCGGTCTCCTCGTTTACCTCACATTGTAATGACTCCCCTCCCCCCCGTGTCTTCAATGTTGATTCAGCTCCGACGATTACCCAGAGATCCAGAGGCTTTTCCCGAGCGCGGACATCCAGTACATCCCTGACGCGAGCCACTGGATCCACGCGGATAAACCCTTAGATTTCATCAGCTCCATCAGCTCCTTCCTCCAGTCCTAGCTGACTTCTGCCTCCGCCTCAGGACTTTTTTTAATGCTCAGCACTCCTGAGCAGATCCTTACTGAAAATGACGGTTTGTATTCTGCAGCCTCAACAAGCGCAAGTGTCTTTAATGATGTCATTGATGATGCTATTATTTGCCAACACTGGACCAAACTTGCTCATGACAGCAGCAGAAGCCAATCCTCCTCTTAACCATTTTAATGTAGTAAAAATAAATTTGTACCAGACGGGCTGATTTTAGATGTGTCTTCACGGATGTATTCCTCGCTAGGTAAACAAAATATAATTTAATGTGGTTTTAGAGATGATGTACTAATCCAAAGAAACTCTCATGAGTGCTTTCTTTATGTTACTGCATTAGAAAAGGTGGCACCAGGCCAAGTATAATCTGGTGAGGGGGACCAGCTAGAGGATCGTTGGATATGAACGTTTTGGACAGCACTGGAATGAAACAAATACTGTATGTATGAGAAGATGAGTTAAGAATATTCTAAGCAAAAGTTGTTTATTTGCCCGAGGGAGTGTGCTGTTGCGTCAGGATGTTTGAGCTGAAGACAAGAGAGTCTGTCGTGCAGAAATTGTCTGCATAGATGGTTTGTTGTAGAGACTTATTTTGATGTTGATAATTGTAATGTGTATTTAATATTTTGGCCTGTAACTATTAAGGTCCTCTCCTTTGTGTGCCTGCTGTACGCCAGAGATGAGGATTTACAGGTCAATGACTGAAGGTCACTAAGAGTGCTGGTTATGTTTCTTTGGCAACATAATGTATAATCTATAAACATGATATATAAAAGCTAATCTGAAACACTCATGTATGGTGTAGTCACAATCTGTCTCCTGATGATCTCAGTGTTTCCTCTAGGTTTACAGCTTTGGGCGGGAGGGGGCTCTCGAAAAATGAAGTTGTCGACCCCCCCGACGCCAGCCGCTGCGCAGGCAGAAACCGCTCACACATGGGACACCCCCCCCCCCCCGTTGCCCGGTCTGTCCACGTATGCCCTGGCGTGGGCGGGGTTCTACAACTCCATTTTCTAGGCGTTTTCTCTGTGCGCAGAGATCAGTGGATAATTGTAAGCGTAAAAAAAAAAACCGAGACTGCATTGGGGGTCCGGGGCACCCCCCTAATTGAACGGTGGGGGAGACACTGTCTCAGGTTGCAAGTGGAAATGCTAATTATTCAAATATTCTACTATTTTCCCGTCTGTGTGGCCGAAAGCCAGTGTAGTAATGTCAATGTATTTGTCCACAGTGTTTTGATTAAACCTGTTTCATAAAGCGTATCTCGCTTATCTTTACGAGACGAGGTTATCTCACGAATATGCTGCAGCATCGTATGTTGTTACCTAATCGTAATAGTGTTGATATAATTTCTGTTTCCTTTGTTTGGGGTGGGACAGTCCAGTGTGAACCTCCCATCTGTATGAAAAAAGCAGGGTGTTGTAAGCGTGTGCCTCTTTTGTTAAGAGCTCCTTTTCCATTTCTGTAAGACTTGATAAGAAAAAGAAAAAAAAACTTTTATTCTTCAATAAAAACTAGCAGACTTTGGATTGGCAGCTGGGTTGCCAGTTCTGTGAGAGTTTAGAGTTCTGTCCCGAGGAAGCTTGGGCGGTGAGGGTGTATCCCTTCACGGCGTTAGATGTTTACAACAATCAGTGTTTTATGTGCGTTTGATGTGAATACAGATGTTTAAAAGGTTTTATTGATCTGAATCTATTTGAAAGAAACTCCTTATTTTTTTATAAATCTCCAGTTAGTGGAGAAGTCCCCCCCCACCGTCCTCCCCAACTTCCTCAACCACGAGACAGTCACGTGCTGTTGCACAATACGAAAGGCTTTTGGGGTGTTGTGTGACGCTGACGTTTGAATGCAGATCCTGATTCAGTTTCTGTGGTTGGACTGGGACAAGTATCTCTGTCAAACTGGGGAAAAATCTGTGTCAACGATGTAGAAAAAAAAGACATTTATTCAATTATATAGAAAAGTTATGACTAATCGTCTCCTCTGGATTGTATATTGTTCCACTATAAGCATGCCTTTTCTCTTGTCATCAGGTGTAGCTTTGCTGTGCTATGTACGTCTCATTCTCGATATCTGCATATATACATTTTAGATATGACAATGAATGAAATAGAAGTGGGTTACTAATATATAATTGAAAATGTACAAACTGATATTATACAATAAAATCTGCTACAAAGTTTATGGTTCTTTCTTTTCAATCTGGAAAATACAAAAATGAAAAGTGCAGACAGTGAGGAGTCAAAAAGGCAATCAACTGTCACAGTGTTAAACAATTCTATAGGTCATTTAGGATCCCAGTTATACTTCAGAAAAATACATTATAACAGTCAATGATCCAAAGCATGTTTTCCCAAGATTATCTGCAAGATCCCCTTCAATTACCGTGTTAAAATTATATACATTCATCCTCGCTTATTGAATCTATAAATATGTAACTATTAATCCTTCCAGGGGTTTAGCTGATGGATTTGATGCATCCAAACTCAGCACAAAGTCTATTTTCAGGGTTGTTGTGCCCTCAAGTCGCATACTTGACCACCATCGGCTACTTTCTGTCACAAATCCTTCACGTACGCACGCGTGTCGCACTCCGCTTTTATATCACAGAGAGACTTTCCCTCTTCAGCAACTTAGTGTGGGAACAGCAATCTAGTGTCAAACTCACTTATACGGACCATAAGACAAACACATTCGTGTTGGGGGAATTGTTACACGTGAGTAGTTTTGCTCTCAGTCCTCTCCCGTTTTAATCAAGCGATATGACCTTGAAGCCGGCGTCGCCTCTGACCTCCGACTCCAGCTCCGCTGCACCCTGGCCTCCGTCAGGACCGTTCTTTTTCCTCCTCAGCCTGTCCATCCATTTGCGTGGGGTGGACGGAGACGGGCTGGGATTCGGGGAAGTCGAAACTGCAGCTCTGGGGATGTAGATCTGGTTGTGGTTGGTTGTGGGGGAGACGGGCCGAGATAAAGGGAAGTTTGATGGCCGCTGGATGGGCACTTTGATGTTCCTGCTCAGCGTGCGCAGGCCGGAGGGCTTCTTCTGGGCCTGCTCGGCCTGCTGCTGACTCTGAAGCTGCTGGTGGAGGATACGCTGAACGTCCTCCTGAATAAGAACAAAACAAAAAAGCTTGTCAGAGCACAACAGAAAAAAACGGTAACGTTGTCACAAATGATGGGTTACTAAATGCAAATTGGTCTTTAAGAGGCGTTTGTCTGGGCTTAGTAATTCACGTCAAAGTCAACTGGCTAATAGTGACATTAAACAACAGTGATTTCATGTTATTTCTGCCAGCAGTTGTTTCCCCTTTCAGTTTAATATTTATCATAATTAAAGAAATGTGCACCTGGAAACAATGTTTAGCCTTTTATCTATTTTTTTAAATGTATTTCTTTTATAAAGTAGTGGCTGTAATATTTAAAAAGTTCCATTATAATTCCACTTATTTCGTTTTTGAGATTATTATAAAAACAAGATTATTCCACTCATGTAATAATGTGACGGTGAAACAAGTTGTATCAGGTCAGTACTATGTGTACAATGTGAGGCAATAAATATAAATTACATCCAATATATATATCCAATACGTCTGACCAAAAGAGAGTATAAAGGCACAAAGACGGGAGGGTATATTTGATCATATCCAGAAGGAACTTAGAATACATTTTTTGGGGGGGGATGCCCCAAACAGCAAACACTTTTTGCTCACAGAGGCTGACCAGATGTGGCCCTGGGCTGGAACAGCTGGCGTTAATGCACATGCTGAATGTGATGTGTGTGGACTTTAATTTTCGGTTCATTCACTGTCATTCATTGTCTCCGTCGAACATGCCACTTGTCTCAGGTTTTACCTTCCAGGTCTCAAGCTCCAGCGCCAGCTCCAGGCGCTTCTGCACCGCCTCCAGCAGCTGGTTGTTCAGCACCATCAACTCTGTTTTACTCCGTAGTAGCTCGGCCTCCATCGCCTTCTTCCTGCACAGAAACAAACGTCATGTCTCGTAGCTTCCTTATTTGCCTCTTGAATCTTGATTTATTTTTGTGTTCCTACTTACTTCTCCATGGCCTCATCTCTGTCCCGTAACGCCTGCTGCAGGATCGTGCTCTCCTCTGCTCCTTTTCCAGATTTTAACTTTTGAATGAGCAATAACGGGTGGCGGGTTATGTTTTGTCATCGGGTTATTCTTTGTCTCTAAGCTCACTGACCACTTTTTCTTATCCAGAGGATCTAGAGGATTCTGATTTAACCCCAGTCACACGCCTTGGGACTTTCTCGACAGCAAAGAGCAGAAAGACTCCGACCGCTGATACTGTTGATTGTCAACCTGTCAACCTGTCACGCCGCATAGCTGCGCTTTAACATCTACACAGCGAATAGACATTCAGGGCTTTCTATATCTATTTCTATGTATCTATATGTATAAATGGCTTTCTACTTTTTTACATTTTTTTAAACTGTAGTCTCACCACTTCTTGTATCAAGTTATCACAGGTTATAACTGACCTGTTAAATGCCCCCCCCCCCACCTTCCTTCAGGTCTACTGCTGGCAAAGAGAACATTCTTCTGGGTAACACGCCCTCTAAGGCGCCACCAAGCTGAGATCGACACGAATAACCTTTATCTCGTGGGTGTGGCCTTTACCTGCTTGGTGTGGCTGATCGCCAACTTGCGGGCCACGTTCTGCAGCTCGGCCAGCGATGTGTCCAGGTGGTTTTCCCCACGAGAGGTTTTGGGACGCGGGCTGGACCCCGACTCTGTCAGCGGGCGCAGCAGCCCCAGAATGGACAGAACCTCTTCTTTGACCTGGGAATAGGAAGGTTCACAAATGAATTGTAGCCACTGTGCCGTGGGGATGTAGACTCGGCGGTGATCATGTGTGCATCCTCACCCTCTCTCTGTGCAGGCTCCATCCCGGTCGATCGCTGCTCTCCTGCAGCTTGTCCACCTGCGCCTTGAGCCTGATGCTGCGTTTTCGAGACAGCTCCACCTCTCTGCGCACTTCTTTTAGCTGCAAACAAGAAGACTTCACATCAGTACATTTGGACCCGTTTAAACAATGTAGACGTGCTGCTGAGAGAAACTTTAGAGAAGAAATTCAGTCGCTACTAACAAATATGCACTAAAGAATGCTTTTGTGGAAAACACACTCATGGACTCGTGTGAAGATTACAGGAAAGTCATTAAGAAATAACAAGGCAAAAAGAATTTCCCACCAACGCTGTTTCCATTGTTGCACTCTTGACCACAAATCAGACTCTGTCACCACTAAAGTCATAAAGGTTCTTTGCTACAAAACTGACATTTATTGCTCTTAAACGTCAGAACATCACATTCTTTTTGATCACACGACAATATATTGCTCTGGGGACAACTTTACATCTTTATTTGTGTGCTTCTCTAAGCGATACTCTAAAGTGACAGATGGGACCAACCCCTCCCGGTATAACAGGTTTGGTTGTTCTGCAGCGCAGAATGGATTGAAATGAACACACTGTAAAAGAAAAACATGTCGTGGACTCACAAACTCTCCCTCATATCAAACACACACACACATGAAGACTCTTAACCCACCGTCTCTGAGACGTGCCCCAGAGTCCGACGCCTGCTGAGCGGCTTGCCGCTGTTGATCAAGTCCGGTAAAGTCTCGATGACGCGGCCGCTCTGCAAGGGCCTCTCCCCTTCGGCGTCCGAGGCCACCGCCTGCGAGGACAGACCTGACCCGTCAGAGGGCGGCTCCCCCGGGGGGTCTTCCTCCTCCGACGAGGAAAGGCTTCCGTTGTCGTCGATGAGCTCGTGGATATTTGACTCAGTGATGTGGATTGGGTTGTTCGAGAGTCCCGGACAGTTGTCTTCATCAGAGGACGGGTCTTCCCGCTCCGAGTCGTCTTCTGGTTTAGTTTTGGAGGCTTTTGCTTCTAGTTCTGCCAGAACCGTGGTGCTGTCGGGTGCAGATTTGATCCTGGGCGAGGACGCCTTCAGCTCCTCTAGTCTGTTCAGGGAGGTGTACACCTGTTCGATAGGGGGTTTGGGTCTCAGCCTCTGGTTGAGGGCCGAGAAGGACTGAGTGTGTTCCATGATCAGCTCGGTCGAAGTCGCAGGCGGAGAGGCAAAGGCAGCTGTACCCTCTGCGGACACCGTCAGGTTGTATATATCCTCGGAGGAGGCTGGGACACAGAACAAACAAGGAGGGACGCTGAAAACACAATGTCACCAAACTCGTTTTTCCTGAATTACTCGCGTGGTCACATGACATGATGTGAGGTCACTGCTGACTGCGGCTTGACGTGGCTCAGCGTGCGTTTTCTCCCTCCTTTGAAGTGGCTTTCAAACAGTGACGTTCAAACATACCTCAGCTGCAGGGGGACAAAGGGAGGAGAACCTTCAGTCACATCGTTCAGGTTTGACCCATATCTGATTTGAAACGTTCACCGAGCACACAGTGACCCGAATAAAAAGAGTTATTCACAGCCAGTGTCAAGAGGAAGCTTTTTTTTTTCAATCTCTGTGTTGTAACTCTTTTTTTCATTTATTTATTTTGGGAATTGAAATGCGTTGTGGAAACCAGCAGTTGAGTCATTCCTCGTGCTAGGAGGGTTTGTTTCTTGTGACAAGCCTCAACACATGAGAAGAAACTAGTTAGAAATAACATAAACACATCCAATTTTACAACTGATTACCTGGTCATGTTTTTGCGTTGGAACAAGGTTTGTGCAAGTGTGAGTTCATTTGAATGTTACACCGAAAGAACAGAACTACCTCACAATTATCTGTTGTGTATAGAAGACAGTGTGATTCTTCTAGAGGATGTTGTTTGGAGGGCCAAATAATGTTCTGCACGTTTTTTAGTCGAGCCACGTTTAAGTAGGTCACATTGTTCACATGGCTGTGTGTATAAAGTCATGTTCTCTAATTCCATTTGAAATGTAATTATAGATATATCTTTTAATTATACCCTAGCAACAGGAAGTAGTTGACGTTTTTTCCCTTCCTCAGTTAAAGTAGCGTGCTAAATTGGATGTGCTGCACATTTTGTACACACTTTCCCAGTATAAGGTCACTGCTTAATCCACCCGCCTTAATAAGTAGGTTAAGGTTTATCTCTTGCTTTTTTCTCCTAATAACATTGTATTTTAAATACGATAAACATAATGCAGTCTCATATTCAGCCTTATTTTGCTTAATTTAATACTGTCTTGCTAGTTGGGTGAGACAGTTCTAATTAAAAAATAAAAACACCAAGATTTGTTTCTGCTGTTGCAGAAATATTCTGGGAAATAAGTTATAAACTATACAGAACAGAAAAATCCCTGCAAGAAAAACGTCTAACAAAAGAGACACATGGCATCCAGATCCTTAAACTACTCATTTATCATGCAGCAGTTTTACATCATGAGACTAATATCAGAGAGTGCAAAAATGTTAAAAAGCCCAATTCAAAGAGGTTTTGCATAATTAGCTTTTTTTTTTACTTAAAAAACTTAAACTACGTGTTTTATTTTTTCTAACACTGTTTTCTAACACAAGTTAAAAAGTGCTCAGCTGGGATTTCCCTGCCGACTAAATATTGTTATCGGGATTGTTCGACCTGCTAGAAAGTCCTTTACACTGAAAGCAAAACTGGAGTTTAGAGAAAATCTTCTGTGGCGTTGGACAGAATGAGTCCAAACATCCGCTCAACGGGGTATTCATAGTGAGAAAGTAAACAAAAGTACAAAGACGGGATTATTGGAGGCGGTGACTAAACAAACGGACCGATTTACTCTCCGGTCACATAAAAACCAACAAAAGACGGATCCCAGCGTGTAGAAGGAAGATCAGCAGTGACAGTCTGTTCTATTTAATTCAGTGACATTAGTCAATGAGACAAAATGTCTCTTCAGTAATTCCTGTACAATGATTTGGATGATATTCTTGTTTTGGTAAAAGTTCTCCACAGGAGAAACATTTTTTTTCCCTCTTAATCATCATCGTCCCACATTCAAATCCATGATTAGTCATTAATACTTGTGCCCGGGATTCCTTTTTCTCTGTCTTTATTTCACTCCGCAGGACATTATTGTCTTTCTCTTGATGTTTTGCTAAAGTTCAGCTTGGGCTTTCTTCTTCCCTTGTTTGTGTCCATCACCGGCCGCACACCTGAATCCCAGGTTGTCCGAGGCAGAGTCCGGAGTGTTGCCCATCCTTCAGGACACACAATCATAACATCCTTCAGGACTTCTGTGCAGGTGCTGTGTGGGACTCAAGAGTCTGAAAATGTAGTGCGTCGTGTTTTTGAATAACTCACCTGGTCGTTATTCGGGCTTTATGATTGGCTGAGCCGTCCACCGTGTCGATCCAGGAGCCCCCCCGCAGCACGAACATGGGTTGAGCTGCTGAAAAAGGCGTGGACGTCCATTCCCACGTGTTTCCCATCATGTCGTACAGTCCTGCGTGGAGTAACAAAGTTGCTTGTATACTGACAGGAAGCACACAAGAAGAGTCCATATATATAATAATATGAGAAGGCCTTAACACTCTTTGGTTTTAACATTTCTGTAACATCTATTTTCTGTCTATTGCTATAACATAAAGTAATTTCTGTTACAAATCACTTTTAATCTCATACCATCTAATTAATGCAGATTCATCCCCCCCAACTTGAACACACAGGCCGTTACCATGACTGTTCTGAGAAGGAAACGCCGTGACAGGGGCAACACCATGGTATCCATCCTCTGCAGTGTCTCCATCCGGAAAGGATCCCTAAATCATAACGAGGACTGAGTTATCGCAAGGCCTGCGTTTCACACGTCACCAGAACAAGCCTGATTTTAAGAGAAAAATAGTACAAAAGGGTAGATCTAATGAAGTTTCATGAGTTTTTCCGCTCCAATTTATATTTTTAGCTCAATCTGCAGAAATCCCGTAAAAATAAAATAAAACACATCTTTGAGTCCTTAGTCAAAGCTGCCTCTGAGGACAATGACCTGTGCTAATGCTTCTGCAACGTGCATTACTGTTGGAGGCTGACCTGCCACAGGTTGGTTCTGTTGCCCTGGAACTTGTTTCCCCACGGATACGTCCTACCTGGAACACACGAGGAGGACAGCAAACAATGACACTCTATAGCTATTGTTCAGGGCTCTGTCTTTGGTCTTTTACTGGTGCAGCCTCCCTGTGAATCAATGCATTGTTGAATGGATGTTAATGAAGAATCAATAGACTAGAATAAACTGCGTACCTTGCAGCCCCCCACGCGCAGCCCACTCCCACTCCTCCTCAGTGGGCAGTCTCTTGCCTTTCCACCGGCAGAAGGCCTGAGCGTCGTTCCAGCTCACCTGAACCACCGGGAAGCTCAGGCGCTCCCGAATGCCCGAACCGGGTCCTGCGGGCTGGACAGCAGAGCGTTTAAAAGAAGTGGAAGGCGGCGCAATGAAAGGCGCGCTACAAGGTGTACGATTGAAAACTGAGAGGGTCGCCCGTGACCTCACCTGTCTCCAGAACGCTCGCTCTATGGGCAGCCACCAAGGAGCGGACTGGATGGGAAAGTAAGAGGCGATAGTTATTCATATATTCTGCTTTCATAATTGACTGATCTATTTATACCTTGAATAATACATGAATTGTTTTGCCTATAAAATGTAAAGGAAAACAAGATGTATTGTTCCAAGCCAAAACTCAAGACCCCGGTACCTCAATCCTCTGGGTGACTTTGCTCTTCAGCTCTTCTGGCACAAAGTCTTGAAACACAAAGCTCCAACCGAATGTCTCAGCCTCGGTTTTGTACTTCTGCGCCCTCACAAAGTCTCTGTGGGGGAAAGGAGGCCACGGCGCGTGACTTCGTTACACAACGTCTTAATTCATTATCAACATAATCGGATGTCACGTGGGTTTACCTGAAGTCGGCATTGGTAACCGGATAGGTGTCGATGTCAAAGGGCTGCAGCCGGACCTCCTGAGTGGGAGCCTCCCCGTCTCTCCCATCGGCTGCACTGGTTCCCATTATCATCCTCCCTCCGGGAATGTGCATCATCTCCTCCGCCGCTGCTGCGGGTTACGAGGACACGTGTTTCCATCACGTTGATGTAATTCATGCTTTGGTATGTTTAGAAATAAAAAAAAAGGTGACGTCTTACCCGACGCTGCCAATAAAAACATCGCGCAGATCAAGGAAAAGGTTTTAAGGATCATTCGTGACGAGCTGGTTTCACCTGACGTGGTTTTCACGTTGAGCATTTTACAATAATCTTACATTCAGTTACAAGTTACGAAATAAACTATCAGCAGAATTTCTCTGTCGGACAGATTTAACGGTCGGAACGGAAATGTGTTCAACCATCAAACCCTTCCGTGTAAAACAGTTTTTAGAAAGTTGTTTTACGAACAAGCGTCCATTTCCTTTATCTTTAATACTAGAACAGAAACATGTGATCAATAATCTGCAGTAAAGTTACGCAAAGAAATTAAACAAAATGTTTGTACAATCTGATATTAACAAAAAATCTGATTATGAATACATAACACTAATCGCTCCCCTTTATAAATATTTGTGCATTGATTGATATCCAGGGTGTAATAATTTATAACTGTAGGTCTAAATGACAGCAGTGTCTCATACAATGTGCCAATAAATAATGAAAACTAACTTTAAACAAATACAGCTACTCTGATGCATGCAGGCTTAGATGAATTGTTGGTTTATGATTAAAGTTTATGAACTTTAATCACCTTATACAGTTGGACAGTTTAGTCCCGAAAAGGGAATATTGTGTACAATATTAATAGGTCAAGTTTGTATTTTAGTACGAAATGTTCATTTCGAAAATAGAAATGCTTAATTATGTCTTTGACCCATTTTCTGCTAAGAATCAACTCTTTAATAACCTGGTGTGGATGTAGTTTAACTATCCAGCCATGAATAGTATATTTTGAGGCTGTGCATCCAGCTTCTTGAATTTTATTAGTACCGTTTTAGTATCTAATTACTCTTCAATGACAAAACTACCAACTTTTTCAAGAGCCAAAAAACCTTTAATGGAAACAGAACTGAGGGGCAGATGCCAGTGCTTTGAACGAAATCTCATAAATAAACCAATCAGATGAGGCATTGACATGAAATCCATGGAAAAAAATAACATGACTAGCATTACGATGGTTCTGACAGACGCTGCGATGGATGCCGTGGGGTTTACAGCTGGTCGTCCATCAGACGGCGGTGCTTCAGACTTCCTAGAGCAGGTCCACGTTGACCGAATTGTCAGGTAAACAACTATCCTTGTGAGTATAACAGCCGCCGCTTCTTTTGGTTCACCTTTAACCTTTGAGAGAAGACATTCCAGCGCGCATAATCTCATCCACCAACAAGATGTTGCTGGCGATGACCGTGCTGTAAAAGGAAAAAAAGAGCCACGTTAATGGCGACAATGGTTGAATATTCAAAATGGTCTTTGACAGTTTAGAAACGTGTGATCTCACCATGAGTGGAGAAGCTGTTTCTTTACGCTGTAATTATCCCAAACGCCTGCATCTCCTGCCACCATGGGTTCCCCTGAAGAACAGGATTTCATTCAAAACAAGCCTGATAAAGTGCAACCAAACTAGAGTTTGGGGATTTAAAAAGGAATCCAGTACGACTCAAACAGCAAAAAAAAAAAATAATAATAATAAAAAAAAACATTTACAGTCTTAGAGCAGAACGATCAATAGAAGGCTCTGCCTCATAGGGTAATCTTACTAAAATAATGTTACTCTGCACCTATTCTGCTTTTATAATTTATTGCCAAATGGACTTTATATTCAGTGTGTTCAAAAGACAATAGTTCAGAATTCCTTCAGTTAACAGTCTTGTTACAGATCTCTGCTTTTGAAAATCCAAAATGGATATTGTGATGTACTGTGGGGGGGTTTGAATTCTACTGTGCGGCACGGCCGTCAGATAAGGGTGTGTTGTGGTTCCTACCCGTGTTGAGGTCCACTCCCACTAGCAGACCACTGTCTTTGTACTCCGTCTGAAGTTTCAGCAGAGTCTCCTGAGGGTCGTAACCAGAGTTCTGGGCCAGAACCTAACAAGGAAGATGAGCAATTCGAATTAACCACGGTTAATACGGTTTCAACATTAAAAAAAACAATAAATCCCGCATAAACTTCGGTAAGAGGAAAGCAAGGGATTTGTGGCATCATATGGATAAACACTGAAAGACCCGGGGGAACAGGAAACACCCTTCACCTTGGGGATGACTAGAAGAGCATCTGCGAATGCTTGGACTCCCAGCTGGGCTCGGCCTTTCACATTGGGCTTGTGTTTCACCAGAGCGTCCGCCACAGCCACCTCGAACGCACCTGCACCGGACACCACGCTTCCTGAGGAGACGCAGCGGAAAAGAGGATGCTCAGAAAACCCAAGCCAAATTGCCTTTGTTCATAAAAGGGCAAGAACCATGCGCAAGGTATCACTGAAGAGTTTGTGCTGATCAGCTAATACATGTAGGAGAGACTGAAACGCTCCCAATGCAGAGGAAAAGACCAGAGTCACTGTAGCACAGACATGAAAGGCCAGGGAGAACCACGATAGCGTCCCTGGGTGTTCGCTGTGCAAATCAGACCAACTGAAGACACCCACAAAAGAAGAACGCAGAGATTACTTTCAAGTGTTCATTTTAATAAAATCCCCATTAGTAGAAAAAAAAAAGAAAAGAAATAAACCTGCGCTAGTGTTTCATTAAGGATCGTTTGGAGAACTTCATGAACTCTGGTAATGAATTTAGTTAACATTTGAGTAACACGTTTCGAGGGCTTTACTTTGACGGTAAAAGAAAACCCTCTGAAGAGTGACAGAAATGACTTCAGGAAAGACGTTCCGTTTTAATTGGTAAAAAAACTATAATATTGCAATTTGAATTCCAGCAGGTAAGGTGATCACCAAGAATATTTCAACCATTCATTTAAATAAATTAAACATTTCAGGAACATTGAACATCCAAATTTGAGCTTCACCTTGGTGGCAAAACAAGACAACATAACACTTTTCCTACCAGATTACTGCCATTAATCATACCCCTATCAAACTACTTCATCGGAGACAAACCAATACTTTTAATAACGATTTGAGGTCCAGTGTCTTACCATCTTCGATCGCGTTCTTGACGGCCCGTAAACCATCCCTGACGGCATCTTTGATCTGCGTCAGCGTGTGTTTGTTGGGTCCCTTCACCAGCAGGGTGACGGAGCGAGGGTTCCCACACTTCTCGATGAACGTGAACTTCTCCTCTCCCTGCAAACAGCAACTCTAAGTCAACAACTTAAGGGAGAACTTGTTTTTCCCACCTGGACCCCATTCTCCCAACTTTTTGTAATGTGGACTTATTTAGCTTATTTTTAAAATCGAGGAAATGGGGTAAAAGGTTAAAAGAAATCTCAAAGTTAACACATAGAAACAAAAATACTTACTAGTGTGTGTTCAAAAATCAACCCAGCATATCCCAAGCACTCAAGTGTGAGGTCGTCAACTGAATTCATGGCAATACCACCGCAAGCCAGGGTGAGCCTGCAGAGAAAAGGTGTATAAATCAGTTCTATGATGCAATTTTTCAGTGGAAGGCAACATCAAAAAGGAAACGGTTTTAAAAACACATTATTTTACATACATAGGGTGAGACGTCGCCTCTCATAATATAGTAAAAGCAACAGTTTTTCTATACTTCTACAATTTGTAGTATTTCTAGAAGCAAATGACAGATTGCTCGGATTGCAGTAAAGTCGCGGTCCCAACCTTTTTTGCCTCACGGAACGGTTTCATGTTAGACAATATTTTGCAGACCCGTCTTGAAGAGAAACAGGATGAGCACTGAGAAGTATGTTCTATGTTGTGAGCCTCCCCATGATAAAATGTCAAATGAAACAATCTTTATTTTATAAAGATTTACTTTTATATGATACATCTTAGATTACACACCCCAAACCCCAGATGCTCAACAATTGAGCTTTTCTTCTTTGTAAACAATGCAGCGGATTGTATTGTAGTAGAAGGTACTAAAAACAGTGACTACAGTCAATTCTACAGAAAAGGCCACTTAAACAAGTTAAATATGTCTCACCTTTCCATATTCCTCCTCTTTGCCCTGCGCAGGGCTACGATGCCCTCCTTGGCGAGGGAATCCAGGGAGAATGGATCAATACCCTACACAACAGAGAAAACGTTTGTTTATATTTTTTTCATGAAATAATGCACTGCGTTTGTCTGTAAGCAAAGTTTATTCTGATCCGTTGAATACATGTAGGAGAGGAAGGGACTCCCCAAATGCAGAGGTACAGATCAGATTTATTGTAGCACAGGTAAAGGAGACCAGGGGGAGCTACGTTAGCACCCTTGGGTGTTCTCTGTGCACTTAAGATGATTAATCTTACATGTGACGCAAATCCCAGAATACCAGGTGTCCATATAGAAAAGTCTTAAATCATGTGTGAATTGACCTGTACTGTGGTGGATATTAGAGCTGTAGAAATGTCTCATGTGAACAATTTTGCATTAATTCAGTAAGGGAAAGTAGTCTGGAGTGGTTATAATTTCAGGACAAATCTTTCCTGTGTTTTGCAGCCATTTATTGTATATCGTCCTCGTTTCTCTATCTATACTTCAGGTATTATGACGATGGAATAAACATACACATCTAAATGATTCAGGGAATTCTAAATGTTAACATTTAGTTTTTTCTAAACACACATTTTCAAAATAAATTATAGTATGCATGCTCATATCTTGCTCCAATTCCTCCCTATTTTACTAGACAGGTCACCACATATGACATTCTTCAGTTTGATTGTCATTCTAAAGCACATTTTGGAATTTAAGGAGACATGGAATGACAGTGCAAGTGCCCTGCAGTACTGCATGCGCCCTTTTCAAGCTTACCTTCTGGTTGATGACGACAAAGCCCTTCTCCCCATTGGGACAGACTTTGTTCTTGAAGCTGATGATCTTCTGCACGCGATCTTCAATGAACTTCCTCTCCGCAGCCACAAGCTTCTCCCTCTCCTCAGCACTCTTGTAGAAGAAGCCAGAGTTGACCTCAGTCTTTTCATACTCCAAAGAGATGTTGCAGGTCAGCACGTAGGCATCCTCCACCCTCTTCTTCATGTCCGGGTGTCGGGCACCGTGGTCCAACACCAAACCTCTGATCAGCCTAAGAAAGAAGAAAAGGACACATTCTTTAGATGTTAAGGACTCCTAGTCATCCACTGCGGTCGGTAAGGTTGTCTCCTGAACAGACTTTGTTTTTATTTGAACTCACTGTGTATCGCAGTCGGTCTTGTGCTTCATCTCCATAATCTCCACCATGTACAGGTCAATGGGCTCATTAGGTTTGTTGATGGCCAGCACAGCATCTACTACAGCCTGCAGACAAACGTATCACAACAACAGTTGGTTGTGGTAACTTAAGAGGGTTATTTGTCATTTGATAATTTACAGGCAAAGGGGATACATTTTACCCTACACATTAGAGGAAAGGGTTGTTTATCTTCATTTTTTCCCCATGAAATAATGCACCGGGTTTGTCTGTGCGCAATGTTTATTCTGATCCGCTGAATACATGTAGGAGAGAAAGGGACTCCCCAAATGCAGAGGTACAGATCAGATTTACTGTAGCACAGATACAAGAGACCAGGGGGAGCTACGTTAGCACCCTTGGGTGTTCTCTGTGCTTTTAAGATGCAGAAATGTCTCATGTGAACGATTTGGCATTGATTCAGTAAGAGAAAATAATCTGGATGGACAATAGAATAAACATGTACACATGATCTAAATGATTCAGGGAACTCTAAATGTTAACTTTTTTTTTAAACACCACATACCAAACAAATCAAATATTTTTTTAAGCTTTAAGGTTAATTGCAGACCCTCAGCAGTTGGTACACTGAGCTCTTTTCCCTTATGTCTCACCTCAGTGAGCAGGTCTGCCAGCTCGGAGTACACCTTGGTTCTGAGGGAGGTACGCGCTACGTTGATGAGCGTCTCTCGGTCCATTTCCCGAGTCACCTTCAACTCCTCCAGAACAGCCAACGCTTTCTCTTTAGCCGACTCAAAGCCCTCAGCAATGATTCTTGGATGAAGACCCTGCAAGACAAAATCAAAAAGGGAAAATATCTCTGAATTTTCTGGGGGGGGAAAAAAAAGGAAACTTGTACGCCACTCGCGCATCTCTTTCTCACCTCTGACACATAGAGGTCAGCTTGCTTCAGCAGTTCACCAATGATGAGGACATTTGACGTGGTTCCGTCTCCAGTTATGTCGTCCTGCGCCGTGGCAACCTTTGCAATGAGCGACGCCGTCGGGTGCTGAATTTGCTGCGCGGTGCAAAATAAAAGTCCTCAGTAAATAAAAGGGCAACAGGGCTAGAACTAACAATTATTTGCATTATTGGTTATCACCAATAACAGAGCCCGAGGGGTCTTCAGCATTTCTAGGAAATTCTTGATACTTGACAAAGAGGTACGAGGGTGCTTAACTTAGTGCTGCTCACTTACGGCCCAAATTAGATAGCAAAATGACTTATTCATCCACTCAAATATAAATCACAAGTCCCCAAAAATATACAACTTATATTTAACAGAAAAGGTCGACATCCTCAAATATTTAATATTCTCCAAATATAAGAGCACAAATTGTGTTTTCAGCCTCCAAGTGGCACGCACATACATTCGGGGTGTGGTCGCGCCAAATGACGGAAGCCGAATAAACAACGTGACATTTGGACATTTGGTCCGTTTTCCAGATCAGCACTTTCTTACCATCTCGTGCAACAAGACGTTGCCATCTTTGGTCAGCTTAATGTCTCCGGCACCAGACACCAGCCTGCGGACCCCAGAAAAAAAGGGCAGGGAAGCGTTAACGGGATCCGGTTCGGTACCGGACACACAGCTCTCATACGCAGTTGTAATTCGGACAGAACCACGTCCGGGTTCTGCGTACCGAGTTACCCTGACAACGCCTCAGCAGCTGTAGCGCAGTCTGACTGAAACTTTCTGAAAAGTTCATCCTCCATGAGTCATTCAATCCGACCTGTTAAAACGTCCGTTCCCGGCAAAGCAAAAAACAAAATACACCTTGTGCTTCCGCTCCGTGAAATACATTAACGTAGGTACGTTTTACCGTTATGTCCATCGGCTAACAGGTCGACACAGACATGCTAATGTTAGCTTGGTGGTGATCAAAAACGGACCCCGGCGATGACTGCGCACGACAACGTGCGCTGGAACGCTCCCGTTTAGCCAGCGGAGGCCCAAACTCACCAGAATTGAGTTAGAATTTTGTGGCGCAGGATAGCAGATTCGCGCACTGCGGACGATTAATCGTTTCTAGAGATATTCAGAATAAATGTGCGGATCATCTCCCGTGCTAACGTGGACTGTACGTGCACAGGCAGCCGAACTGCCGGTGAATCGCGGCTAACGTCAGCTAACGTTAGCAACGTTAGCTTGGTACGCGTGCTGCACAAAGGGCTGCGCAGGCACTCACATTTTCATGGTCCCCTTCGGTCCCAGGTTACTTTTCAGCACATCCTGGAGCCCCCGGGCGGCACTGATGTTAACCGCGAGCGCGGCTTGAGCTCTGGCCACCTCGGCTTTTGGGTTCAGAGCTTTTATGGCAGACATGGCGACGCAGCTCAACCAGCGATGTAAAAGTAAAAAAGTAACGCCGGTGGAGGGTCCGCACTGCTGGGTTCAGACGCTCTCGAAAGGAGGGACGCTTTCTAGAAGGCTCCAACACGTGCTCTCGTGGTGCATTTGCTTACCCAGTACGGGCTCGGACAATACGGTGTTTGTGAGATCTTAAAACTCCAATTGAACCAAATAATATGAATGTGGCATTATAGAGTATCCAGCAATATAAAAAGCCACGCGGGCGAAAGGTTGGGGTGAAATATTTATATTGTAGTTAGTTTTCCTAATCACAATGACTGGGAGATAAAAAGGCTAAATATTAAACCACTCCTGCTACATATGCTTTAGAAAAGTTATGCAAATGCGGGCCCATTTTTTATTTTAAAAAATATTTTATAAAACTGTGTTGCATCCCCTGCGCCCAGCAATGTTTTACAATAACGACTACAATCTCAGGGGCCCAACAACGTTAGGAGGGTTATAAGATTCCCCGACACACAGTGAAGGCAGCACAAGTCACACCCTTGACGAATCGCAGACTACAAAGTCTATGGGTGGTGCTAAAGTACCATCCTTTCATTACAGACAATACCATACATGAAATGATCCCAACACGTTATCGGTTTGTATCAGGCGTTTAATTCAATATGTACAACTAAAATTATTGAACCACTATGATTCGCATTTACCAAATATGAATATTCCTCTTCTACCATTGTTATGATAGTTTAGAATATCCCACTTCATTAACCGATTGTTTACCATGAATCTGGATATATCAATAAACCCACTATGTATATCTACAATCTGACCATTCATTTTTAGTTAGTGCACACAATCCGGTTGGCATTTACGTCTTGACAAAGCGGTAAGTCAAACCAGTTAGCGTACAGCATTTAGATTAGTTCAATGTTGTTGCGCATTTCAGCTGGTGTGACATGGATGTGCACTACATCACAGTCTGGCATGTCTTCTGACTAGTCGGACTCTTGTGGTGCATTGGTGAACTTTAATTGCTCGGTCTTCATATTGGTGGTGTTATGAGTCCTTTTTTAAACGAATAACTGATACACGCTATTATCAGTTGACTGGAACAAATCCACATAGTTTTCTTGATGAGTAGACCTGGTCAAACTTTACGAATATAAAGCTAAAGTCCATATGTGGCCCTATAATAGACCTGTGACATCTTAACAAGCTTATTCTATTCATTCGAACTCTGAGCTCTGGAGGCAGTGACTTTTGTTTGATTCGTTATCAATGCCAGTGCCACAGATTTTATAAGTCACATTTCTGAGACCTTCAGACATTATCAGGTCGTATTCCAAGTCTTTTCCTGGTATCGCACTCTTACACTGATGTTATTAAATTATCAAAACCTTCCAAAATCAGACAATTTTAAAATATTGACATAGAAATAGAAGAGCAGGTGCATGTGAGATGATATTTTGTTTCCACAAAGCACATTAACAGATCAGTAACAGCTCTGGTTTTGATAATAAATGTTTTAAGCGCATCTGAAATAAGATTTTTGGCCCACAAAGAAAAGTGGATGAAAAAAAGATAAAGGAAATAAAAATTGAAACATGATGTTGCTGCATATTTTCCTGGCAGTGCACCGACCGATGGTTGGTTAACGCTCCACGGATCAGTGTGACAGTTGAGGTTCCTCTGTGTACGTGGTTACTTCAAGGGCGAATTCTTCATGGGAATCATTATTCTAGATTCCATGTGCTGAATCAGGGGGACTGTTGAATGGGGAAGAAAAAGTATAATTAGAAACAGATTTCTGTGTCCGTAGCATGTCCACAATATATGTGTGTGTATATATTTATTAGGAACAAGAAGAATATATTTCTGATCATGATAATATCAATAAGTGGCAAATACAAGATGTAATAACACAAAAAGAGAAAGTCGGCATAATGGTATGAGTGAACTACTAAAATGTAACTGTTTTTAAAATAAATCATTTTCTGCTTGTTGACATGTGCATCTGTGGGTTTAATAAACCTCAATAAAACATTACACAATGAATTGTAGGACAAACTCCAGTGACATATTTTGCTGAATGGCAAAGGAGAAGAGAAACAAGACAGCAAACTGACGCTTACCTGTGTAATAAACAACCTCATCCCAGCCGTCATGCTGCCAGGCTGAATTCCTCGTGTCTTCTCTGGACTGAAGGTCTTTGTAAGCTGAAATTAAAAAAATAAAAAGATAGTCCTCAATAAAGAACCCTTAACCACATATACAGGATAAATCCTTAGAAAAAGGTTGAATTATTTCTGAAATATTTTAACAACCAGGAAACACTGCTCACCCCATAAGTGGTGAACCGTGTACAGACTTCCAATCTGTGAGAAAAAGCCTCCCACGGCCTCGTGATTCTGCTGCCGAAAGTTGATGGCACGCGCCCTGCAAAATGTTTCGTTACGTTAAAAAACACCAAAAGCTTGCAATCGAAAGATCCTTGTGAATATGTACGATTCAAAGTACAAATAAAACCCAACATTTAAAGATGTCCCAATAATTTATTTCAAATCAAAACCTCAAATTTTTATGTCCACCTCAGAATTATTTAAAAGCATGTTTTTGTTTTATTATATTAACAGGCACATTTCTCCAAATCATCATTGTCAATTTATTCGGATACGAACATATATTAAATATAGGGTTAATAGGTCAATTATGCTTGAAATTGACAAATAGTATGCAAAACGTCTTTCGTCATGCGTCGGAGTCATGCATAGATTGTGTAGCCAAAAAGTACCGTTGGCTGATATTCATCTCCTACAATCTGCAAAACCAATAAAGCAGTAGTGAATAAGGTGCATAATAAAAGGTACCTTTACAAATGTAGCATCATGGAGAGAAAGCGGATGAGCTTCTGCCATTAGCAAAATGAGTCTAATTTGATGACTTTCCGATAAAGAAGGAGAAACATCCAGGAAGTTATGCCTTACCAGTAGTTCCCCCACTCGATCATCGTCCCTGGCTGAAATAAAGATGTGAAGAGTGAAAAGTTGTCTGACGTTATACACACACACACACATGTACCATATTTATGCATAATGATGTATATTTTCATGGGAGTTACCCTGAGTTGGTATGATCGGAGTTCATAGATGTTGGGTCCTGGACGGGGGACAGGTTCGTTCCAGAAGCTGAACTCTAGCAGCAGCTGGTTCCTACGAGACAGCAGCATCGTCCCCCTCTGCTTCCTGTAGTCTGTAAACCTCTACAGCAACGACAGACAACAGCAACACACTACTCTGTAAATCTGCCTCCTAAAAACATCTGTAAAGATATTAACCTCTGGTCAGTACATGCACAAGTGTCGGTCACATGTGCATGTACGAAATTTGCCAACTGGCAATAAACTGAACTAACGCCAGCACCAGTTACCTCATTCTGCCGGAGTTTGTTCATGACTTCAGTGAGAGCCGGGTATCCTCCCCGATATCTCCACAGGTGAACTAGAAAGGAGCAGAGGTACCAAAAATTATTCAGCTCTTGAATATATCTTGATGTGTCTATATTTCTCTGGGCAATTTGTTTTTACTAAAGCTTGTTGCTTCATGCAGTTTATTAGTTGGTAGTCAATTATTATTCTGCTTTATTTTTTATAATATAATAATAATAATAAGCCATATAATAAGCCATTGTGCAAGTATTGTGGATCGGTTTCTCATGACTCAACATGAAACCTCTAATATGTGTGTGTTGTGTGTCCAACCATCACTTAAAAACGCAGAAATATTGAATTTACAATATCAGATTAGAAAGAAGCCGCAAATGCTCACATTTAACAAGCTGGTTGAATGACTTACAAGAGTCATTTGTTTAATGGTGACCATCACACCCAGAACTCGTTGATGCGCTCACCTGCCTGATCCTGCTCTCCGTACCAGGTGTTCCAGGTGCCCACAAGCTCACAGGGATATTCAGGGTCAGCATGAATGGAAGGAAAGATGTCCGCACTAAGGATTCACACAGACACAAATCTGTAAACAAATCCGCAGTTTCTAAAACCGGTTCCTTGATGAGAACCTGAATGAGGTCGGCTCAGGGACAGGGACTTCCTACCAAAGATCATTGTAGGCATCAAGGCACTCCGGCTTGACATTGTGAACTGCGAGGGAACAACAAAACATGAGTGGATGACACACAATCAGACCACAAAAGACAATCTTAAAAACGATACAACACATGCATTCAGGGTGATGAGTTTCAATGTGCCCCCAGGTCACCGACAACACATACACTGTATTTTGTACAGATTGTTGTCTTCCTTCTTGGCGAGCAGATGAGAGTGAGCGTCTTTTCGGGGGTCAACCTTTCTAACAAACAGAGACTTGAACCAGCTGTCTTCCCGCTGAGCTGAGAGGCTTCTGAGGTAAAACAAAAACACACAAGTTGTATAGGACACTACACAATGAGGAAACTAAGTTCCCCAAGATAACAGAAAAGCTCTGCATACAGTCAGCAAACACTTTTTGTGCTCGTACTCTACTACAAAGTCTCTAAAGCCGTTAATGGTGTTAAACGTCTGGCCTGCTCATATACTGCTGTCCAGCCAGATACCTCAGGCCATCAGCTGGTGGTTATCTGCGGGTCAAAGGTGATGCCAAATCCTGCAGCATTAAGCCTCTACAGCCCGCTCTGCTTGCGTTGGTCACAGTTGTTTATTAAGAGGAAAATGAATAAAAGGAATATCAGGTTTGTTTGTTAAAAACCTGCACTGTCCCAAATATTGCTACATTATATTTTAAACCTCTGTGTTTCGATTTCTGTCACAAAAACAACTATATATTTCTATATCATTGACTCACCATCACATATCAGTACATTAGTTATACGTAGATAATGGTTTTGTGTTAGTGTATCATTGCAGCATTGCGGTTGTCGAGATGTGTGCACAGCTCACGTCTGGACGCACACACCTGCCGCAGCGACACAGAAACCGGGTCACTCGCGTATCACAACAAGTTGGTGCCGCGCGGCGATTCGCAGCCCGCTGACCTTCAAGTTTTCGACGGACAGAAACTCAGTGAGGATTTTGTACCAACTTCTACATCTAAAAGTCTACCGACGAACTCACGCAGCTCGCGTGGACAAGTGGTCACACAAGCTGGCTCCCAACTTCATAATGAGGACCGGGCGATGATTAGCATTAGCAGCGAGTTACCCGGTGAGCTGCGCGTGACGTTAGCCGACGTGCGTACGTTAGCCTGAAGTTTAGCGTTAGCTTAGCCAACTAGCCTACACGACTTTGTCACCGGTGTCAACTCCACGGGAGATTAAAAAAAAAAACACACACACATTTCAAGTAGCATCGCCCCACAGCACTGGCAAATGTAATGCCCCCCCCAAAAAAAGTTCTAACCTCACGACAACCGTGACCTGTCCGTTCTCCCGAAGCCCATTTCTCGTCCGGTTGAGGCCTTTGGCCACCCTGCCGAGGACTCGCGCCGCCATCTTTCCGCTGGAAGCTGCCAGCTGGATGTGGTTTGAGGCTGCAGGTCCGGCGCGTTCCCGGTGGAGCTGACGTTGGCGTGTGTTGCAGAGCAATTCACCGCCAGAACAATAGGTGGAGTAACGTGTTTTTTGTCGAAGACGACCTAGAGAGTCACGTCTTTGTGTGTGGAAGTCGTTGGTTTGTTTATTTATTTATCAGACTTTATTGCCCCGTGCATCGCCACTGCTCCTTTTCATCGCGGGCACATTTGTCCCGTACTTTCCTCCACAACTTTGTTCACCCCTCGCCCGGCAAACCAACGTTTGCGGAGATCTCCCTCCATGAATCATATTTACGCATTTCTTCCAACAAAACTTCTTCAATCTGATCTGTTCTCTCGTAAACATTGTTGTTTTAATAATGGCGGTATTGCGCTATGAAAACGAAATGTGAGACTCCGTAAAGGATGTAGTTATGAGACCAATCGCAGCCCGGCTTGCATAGCCTAGTTTATGCTTCTTTTGTTGCGCAGGTCGCTCTGAAAACGCAGAAGCAAAATCTAGGCCTACGCCTTTGTAGTAGCAGAATGTATGCATTTCATAATTTTTTCATAATCACTGATTAGGTTTCACTAGTTCTTCGGTCCGTTTCTGAGTTTTACATGAGTGACAGCTGAAGGGCTAGAGTGTGGGGCAGCGTCAGAATCTGGTTAAAAAAATATGGAACTTCTGTCCTTCCAGCCAAAGTATACACTTTTGAGGGTTCATTTCTTTGGATTAATGATGGCATGGTTGTGCTGATTGGATTAATGTGTTCATGGAATCCCAGAGTTCTTTAGTTTTGGCTTAAGGAGTGTTACAGTGACACAACCTCTGCCAAAAGCCCCATAGGCTCCAATACAAATCTGCTGATATATTTCTAAAAAAATCCAGAAGGTACACGTTTTGCAAACAGCTATAAGAGCCGTATTTATTACCAGACAGGCGTCAAAACCATCTCGTTGCGTTTGGTAGAGTCTTGGGTCTCGCACAAATTTTTTCAGATAGCTGTTATAGTTTTGCGCTAGAGGACACTTGTTTGAGGTGTGGATTCTGTGTAACTCGCTGTCCTGTCTCTGCCCTGTTCAGCAGCTCGTTAATGGCAGGTCGGTCCGTGTACGTTTTGATAGTCCCTTTTACCGTAAAAACCAGAAAACGAAAACACTCGTTATCTCGTTTTTCGTTTTAAATCCAAAACGGTAAGACGGAAGTGGACAGTCGTTTTCTCGTTTAGAACCAAAAAACGAGTCAAACTCACAACTTTTTACTCCGTTAATCCCTTTTAGGGTTTTGCCCATAAAACGAAAATACTTTTCACAGTAAGAGTCAACGCAATAGAACCGGTGTATGCTAGAAATCCAATTTCAACAATTATATTGTCACAATCTACAGCACACAGAAATACAATGCATACATTCTGCTACTACAAAACAGGTTTATTGTTTAACTGTGTATTGTGTGACTTTTTAAAAATTAATGTAAGTTATATTGAGGCTTGAAGTTATGTATAATCGGACTGTACCAGGTCGCAAACTCCTAGCTGTCTGTCTGTTCAGCTGCATTACAAACCAATGGAAATACCAGACGGCGAACTAACTTAAAGCACGCGTTGAATAACCGGATCACAAACGTGACCTGGACCCCATCATACAGTACGTCGGCTCAGCGAACCAAGTGGCGGATGAATATCGTTAACCAGCGAGACGATGAACGTGTGTCGACTTTTGGTTAGTTTAGGTTAGTTTAATGCAGTTGTTCCAATATGGCAAATAGTACCGTGTTAAAGTAGCGTTAGCTAATATAGCGTTAGTTTTCAACCTTTGAGCCGTAAATCCCGATAACCGCCCGTCGGCAGTCGGGCTCATCAACAGAGCCCGGTCCCCCACTGATTGACTATGACATTCCACCGGTCACTCCCCTTCATACTGCACATGTCACTTTAACTGTAATTTTTCACTTTGTCGTCACTCGTCACTTTGTCACTTGTTGGCTAGTGCACTTTATGCTTAATATTTTTTAACTTTTTTAATATTTTAAATGTTTAACTTTAACTTTATTCTCTTGTTTTATACTAGCCCATAGCCTTATTCTACTAACCCATTGCATTAGCATTTCTTTTTACTTGCTGCTGCTGTCTTGTTGTCTATTGTTACACTGTCTACTGTCACGCACCAACCACCAAGACAAATTCCTTGTATGTTTGACATATTCTGGCAATAAATGTTTCCTGATTCCTGATTCCTGATCCTGATCTGTCTTGAAACCAGATCACTAAAAAGGTAACACTCTGTTTTCACTTGATCCTAGCTCTAGAAGACCTCCTCCATGCCCATGTTTACTCTCATGATATATTACTGTAGACTGTAGAAACAGCTGGCCACGCCAGCAACTCACCACACCTGCGAGGAACAGACTGGAACAAAGACATGGGGAGGAGAAAACACAAACAGAGCAGCCAGACGTAACAGTGTTGGCGTCATGTAATCTTTGATGGCAGAGCTGATGCAGTTTTTTACTGCGACGTCCCCTAATTTAAAGAAAAGCAGCACCATTTCTTCATTGACAATCATCTTAGACAGCTTCTTGAGAATAGTGTTGTTGAGGTCATTGACGTTTTTTTGTTCTCTGTCTTCCTTCTCGAATTGTGAATTTCAGCTTTGTTGTAAACCTTTTTATCATTTTTGTGGCATGATTAAGCATTTGGTTGAGTCTTGTAGGTGGAGTGATGTCCCCAGACAGTAAGGCATTAGAGGTGTTAGAATTGACTCTGACTCTACTCGTCATTGATCATGCTAGTAAACATTTCTGAGCTATGATCCTTGATCTGGCCTTCGACTTGCATCACAGTGTCACCCACAACAACCTTGACTTCAGACATGTTTCTGGTCCTTAGATTGTTGAGCATGGCTTTTGTGAAGACCGTGACCATTTTTACACACAAACTGAGCAGCCGGACGTAACTGTGCACCTTTGCTATATGTTGCACTCGGTAAACGAGATTGGAGGTTTTTGTTTTTTTCAATGGGCGAACCGGAGAACCTGGAGAAAACCCGAAACCAATTACCATGAGCGCTTACCTTAGTTTAAGCGTGTCACTGTTTTCTAGAGACGTTAATGTCTGAGCGCATGCAGCAGACTACCTGGCGCATGCAGCCGACCAACCGGCGCATGCAGCTTCTTCTTCTCTCTGTTGGTGTCATGTAATCTTTGTTGGCAGAGATGATGCAGTTTTCTCATTTCTCCTTGGTCCTGAGACGTGCTTGGGCGGCAACATGCCCACAATCCGTTGGAAGAGCATGTTGGTCAGCTCCCGTGTGATGACCAGGGTTTTGCTTCTTGGAATTCCCTTCAACATTGGAGGCATACGCTTCTGTTTTCCAAATTGTGCTTCGTCATCATCCAATGTCAGCAGCTTGGGGAGGATGTGCTCTATGTCCTTCATCAATACAGGGCTGCATTCCATGTCCTTCCTGAATTTTCTCTTCATTTGATCCAATATGCGATTTAGCCATGTTTTACTTAAGTGCAGTGTAAAAAAGCCCTTGACACTGCTTCCTTGTGCTTTCTTGTCTGTCCCCGCCGATTCCTGCAGTTCTTCGAGAACTCCCCGAGGAACAGTTGTTTCCAAGGGGTTGTCGACATGCAAGTTCTGAAAGTCAGCGTCTAACATGTCGTCCAAGAAAGGAAGCATGGTCTCATTCACCTCCCTCACAATTACTGCTTCCGGAGATTGAATACTTTCCGTATCAGTCTGGCCGCCTGATGGGACATTCTTGTGGTTGTCAACAGCTTCTGAGGTTTCTGATGACTCTCTGAAAGTGGTTCTCTCTCTTCCTTCTCAAATTGTGAATTTCAGCTTTGTTGTAAACCTTTTCATCATTTTTGTGGCATGATTAAGCATTTGGTTGAGTCTTGTAGGTGGAGTGATGTCCCCAGACAGTAAAGCATTAGAGGTGTCAGAATTGACTCTGACTCTAACCTCGTCATTGATCATGCTAGTAAACATTTCTGCGCTATGATCCTTGATCTGGCCTTTGACTTCCAGGACATCTTTGAAGCCTTGCACCACAGTGTCACCCACAACGGCCCTGACTTCAGACATGTTTCTGGTCCTTAAATTGTTGAGCCTGGCTTCTGTGAAGACCGTGACCATTTTTAATATCATGTCGTCCAACAGCACTTTGGTGGTGCTGTCTGGGGAGCCATTTCGCAACAGTTCAAACTGTACTGGTGTCAAACTGTTGAAAAAGGACTCAATAAATGGCTTCACACTGTATTCTGAGTCCTCCATCTTCCCTGTCTGTGATGTTTCTACTTGATTTCTTCTTGGTGTCAACCTGTTTACCAAAGCACTTCTCATCCTCTGAGCCAGTGGGTCGACCTGAGTTTTCAGCCACCACCGCAACAGCCCCATGAAGTTCCACACGCTGTACCATATCTCATCGTACATGTGAGCATTTGCCCAAGATGCGCTCATGGTGCCGTCAGAACCCTCATTTCTCCTTGGTTCTGAGACGTCCTTGGGCGGCAAACTGCCCATCATCCGTTGGAAGAGCACGTTGGTCAGCTCCCGTGTGATGACCAGGGATTTGCTTTTTGGAATTACCTTCAACATTGGAGGCATACACTTCTGTTTTCCAAATTGTGCTTCGTCATCATCCAATGTCAGCAGCTTGGGGAGGATGTGCTCTATGTCCTTCATCAATACAGGGCTGCATTCCATGTCCTTCCTGAATTTTCTTTTCATTTGATTCAGTATGTGATTTAGCCATGTTTTACTAAAGTGCAGTGTAAAAAAGCCCTTGACACTGCTTCCTTGTGCTTTCTTGTCTGTCCCCTCCGATTCCTGCAGTTCTTCGAGAACTCCCCGAGGAACAGTTGTTTCCAAGGGGCTGTTGAAATGCAAGTTCTGAAAGTCAGCGTCTGACATGTTGTCCAGGAAAGGAAGCATGGTCTCATTCACCTCCCTCACAATTACTGCTTCCGGAGATTGAATGCTTTCCGTATCAGTCTGGCCGCCCGATGGGACATTCTTGTGTTTCTCAACAGCGTCTGAGGTTCCTAGAGACTCGTCATCTCTCCCACTCAGGTCCGACACCAGCCTGTCTCTGAAAGTGGTTCTCTGTCTTCGTTCTGGAATTGTGAATTTCCGATTCATCTTTGCTGTAAAACTTTTCATCATTTTTGCGGCATGATTAATCATTTGGTTTAGTCTTGTGGGTGGAGCAATGTCCCCAAACAGCAAGGCAATAGAGGTGTTAGAATTGACTCTGACTCTAACCTCGTCATTGATCATGCTACTAAACATTTTTGCGCTACGATCCTTAATCTTGCCTTTGACTTCCAGGACATCTTTGAAGCCTTGAATCACAGCGTCACCCACAACAGCCTTGACTTTAGGCATTTTTCTGTTCCTTGGATTCTTGAGCATGGCTTTTGTGAAGACCGTGACCATGTCTGCGTGATGATCCTTGATCTCGCCTTCAACTTCCAGGACATCTTTGAAGCCTTGCATCACAGTGTCACCCACAACGGCCTTGACTTCAGGCACGTTTGGATAGTTGAGCATGGCTTTTGTGAAGACCGTGACTATTTTTAATATCATGTCGACCAACAGCACTTTGGTGGTGCTGTCTGGGGAGCCATTTCGCAACAGTTCAAACTGTACTAGTGTCAAACTGTTGAAAAAGGACTCAATAAATGGCTTCACGCTGTATTCTGAGTCCTCCATCTTCCCTGTCTGTGATGTTCCTACTTGATTCCTGCTTCTTTGCATATTTTGACAGACTTTCCACATTTTTGGAGCTATCAGAAATTACGACCTGCTCTCACGAGACCAAGTTATTATCTGACGATCTCTTTGATGGACAGGCAACGGTTTCTAGGCAACGACTGCGTCACCGACTGACAGCTGATATACTGTCAGAGCGATTATCGTCGTTACAAAATGCGTCACAACTAAAGAAGTTCAATGGAGCGGACTTTTTCTCAGCTGTGAAAGAAGGTGCAATCTGGACATCGCTATTCGTCGCTGACGATGTACTTTGTGTGTGTTCGAATGGACTAGAGGACGTCAGCTAACGTTAGCATCACCGCCAGCGGTCTAATTAAAAAACAAAACTAGACCAAAACATAGCAATCAAACGTGACGTTGAATTGTTAAGTAGCTGTATGAGGTCTGTGTTTAATCAATGCATGCATTCTTTACCTAACGTCATAAAACAAAATACGAAGCGCAGCAGTTAAATCGGAAGTACGCACGTTAGATTTTCATAGTAAAAGCAGAGGCAACAACGTTAATATGATAGAAATTCGTCTATGATGCAAGCGTAACATTAGAAGAAAAGGTATTTTATGAATATAAATAAATCATTTGTGGCCAATGAGGCAATAAATATGAAATACATTCAATTATTTCATGGTACTTTTATTACATTTAATTATTTCATGGTACTTTTATTTCATAATGCCACTTTTCATTTGATAAGAAATTCCTCCATGGGGCTTTTATTTTGAAATTATTGGATTAGGTGGGGTGGGGGGGGGGTGTAGATAGAGGGAGGGAGAGTGAGGAAGGGAGGGGTGTTGAGGAAGAGATAGAGAGGGGAGGAGAATTAGACATACTGAGTAATTTCATCTTTTCTTATGCCTGTATTAACAGCAATGTTTTAATATTCATTTCTGCTGAAATTCAGTTCAGCTTTCAGCTTTTTGCATTCCAACGCATTTTCAGCAGGAAATGCATTTTCTAGTTAAGATTTGCAGATTTTCACTCGGATTCTGCGTTCAACCACGTGCTGCGTAAAAGACCACCGAAAAGGTTAGACCAATTTCTGAATACATAATAACAGCAATACCTGATTTGGACCAGCAAAAAAAAGAATTATATTTGATTGAAATGTCTGTAATGTGTTTCAATCATCTGAAACTAAAGGAGTATGAATAACATGTACAAATGTTTATGAATGAACCCATGCGTTTTCATTGTCATTTTATTGTAAATTCATCAGAAATGTGTCTTAAATTCAAAACTACCAAAGCAGGAAGAAAACGAATCTGCATTCTGTCCATGAATTGCTAATGTGTATGACTGGTTCATAAATGGATATTTAAGTGAACAGCTGAAACAGAAATGTAGCTGCAGACTGACATTTCAGCAAACCTTAATGCATATAAAAGAATGCAGTTTTCTATCATGAAGCGGGAGTTTGTGCTGGTGGAGAATCCACGTCACTGGAGGTGGCAGAGATATTGAGCTCCTGCAGTTTTTCTGATAACGTGGAGTCCTCTTTCAGGGTGAGTGGGAGGTCAGTCAGAGGCTCCACAAACTCCGTTCCTTCCACCCTCTTTCCAGTTAGCGGGTCGACCACCCGGCCCACTTTATACACTATCTCAGAGAGTTCGTGCTTCACGTGTTTGGACCTGGGCTCAGGCAGAGCCTTGAGAAGGACGGTATCTCCCACAGTGCACTGTCGCAAAGCATCATGGGCAAAGTAGGTCTTCCTCTTATTATAGTACTATGGGGAAGAAAAGACATGTTTAGACTTATTTGAATACCGGTACATTGTTATTGTACGGCAATGCATCACTGAAAGTGTTCATCTTTGATTGTATACAATAAAGTTCGCCAAAATTGTCAATTTTTTATTTGCGTAGAGTTATAATTACTTGCAATTTTAGATCTTCTCTCTTAACTTTAACAACTGATTGGTGTGACTAATGATTTCAATCAAATAATGGCAAATAGAAATCACAAGTTACTGCAGCTGACCTTGCAAGTCAAGCCAAATAACCTAATGTTTTACATTTTGTGAATATAAAAAAATATGAGGTTTTTAATATAAAAAGTCATGAATGTGTTATATTGAGGGTCAGAAAACTACAAGATGAGACACGAGTATCAGTATTAGTGGTATTCACAGTAACGGTGGCTGCAGCTACCTTTATTGATATATAATACAATCATGTGCAATAATAGGTTTAGTGTTGTAAAGTAGTTTGTGTATCATCCACCTGTCTTTCCTGTATCAGCAGTGGATGAACATGCTCACCTTAAGCAGGTATGGGTCCAGCACCAACCTTGTGACTCTCACTTTGGCAGTTTTGTACATCTTGGTTCCTATTACTCTGCCGATGATCCATTTTGCATGGACTGACACGTGTTTGGCCGACATCCTGGAAATCTGAATTCAAACCTGTAATACAGAATATCAAGAAATGCTGACATTACGAACACCTGCAGTCATTCTCATTTATTGGGGATTTCGTGAAAGGTAGCAGTCATACATTTAGCATATCTCCAATTTGTGCTAAACTATTCTTTACATTTGGTTATATTTTGAATGAGTCATTTATTTGCCATTGCCTGAGCTTGCAGCAGTGAAGAAAACGGGCTATCGTTGCGTGACATGCGAACACAAACAGGGGCTACATTTAGCTAGTTAGCCTTAATGCAGCTAACGTTAGCTTTAACTTAAAAAAAATGAATGAAGGAAATGAAAAACCACGCTAACTTGAACACAGATGTACCCTGAAGGAAGCACGTGAAGAATCAACTCACCGGAACTATTTCAAATGTATAAATATAGAAGGTCAAAAAAGCTAAAGAGAGGGTTCATCCATGCTGTTCAGGTCGGCTTGTTTTGATGACGCAATCTACGGCAAGCAACGAGGCCGCGGAGCCGATTGAAACAAAATCAGAAACCTTCATCTGTCAGGTATGTTGGACATACGAGGAGATTGTCAGGGTGTGTAGTGTATACATGGAACAAAGGATAATAATGTACAACAATACAAAAAGTCTCAATGCCTCAGCAAAAAAACAAAGCTTTTGTTTCCTCAAGTTTCTTTTGTCTGTTTAATGGAGTTTTAACATTGGCCACAAGATGGTAGCAAACATCACTTGCTGACATTGAGTAGAAAGTAAAAGATCTGTAAAAAAAAAGAGAAAAGAAATAGAAGGTAAACTACGCGGTTCTGCTCAAACCCACCTGTTGACATAATGTTTGCAACCAGGACTGCAGATGAGGGCCTCCATAATAATGATGCATGATGATCAACAACACAGTGTCAAAACTCATAATGAAAAATTAAAGCAGGTATGAAAAATATGTGTTTGTAGCATGGAAGTTGTAAGCAACCTTTCTTGAATTTTATCTCAAGAGGAAGCGTAATTCTCTGGTAATCCCCGGTTAAGGTTAAGTTACGGTTGACTAAACTTTTCCGTAGATAAAGGTATTTGTTATCTCAAGATAGCGATACATAGTTGGATCATGTTAAATTGCGTTGTGTGTTGGCTAACACAGCAACTGATAAACCATAACCATAGGTTATCCATCAAGTATTTAGAAATTAGGGGATCGGCAAATTTGATTCTGTAGAGACCATAAATGTCTGTACAGAATGTCATGCCAACCCATCCAAAACCTACGTGACATTTCACGTATGGATTTAATTGGTTTGACTGAAATTGCCATCTCTAAAGCCGAGAGCATCAGTAGGATGGCTAAAAGTAAGGCTTTCCCAGTAAGGCTCTTTACCTTGAGTGCCCGAGACCGATTTTAATTAAATTATAAAATAATCATGTTATCTTTGGATAATATGCATAACAAGATGGTTATCTTGACAAAAAATACTTTTCTTAACCAATCATCACAAGAGAACATCTCCTGATCTTTAGAGAGCGAGCTAGAGGAAGAGAAAATTGCGCCTTTCAACATTCCAATAGTGGAATACTTGTTTCTCTGTGTGAGTCACGTACGAGATTTCCAATATAACTTTACGGCCCTGTATACAAATATCAATGAAAGCTGATCAGAATCTGAATTATTTAAGATACTTACTATAAGTATCTAAGTACTATACTTAGATTTTTGTAAAAGGAATACAAAATTGCCAATTACCTAACCAGCCATTTGGCAATGACGTACGCTCATCTGAATCTCCACATAAGCAGATATAAGAGGCTAAAATGGGGGAGAGATTAACATTGATGTATTCAAACCATAACGTTAACAGTCCTGTGCCTGAGTAGTACTTGGCTGTGGCTCAGAACCAACCACAGGCAGACCGATCTGGTCTTAATCAGAGCCATGTTGTAGTAAAGCACAGGTCTGCGTCTCTGTTACCCATTTAAGGCAGTGGAGCATTGATAAACCTCTGCCAGAATTACAGAATTAGCCCCCTTTAGCCTTCTTCATACAAGAACACTGAGACAATTCACATTTCACCAACTGTGTTCTGACGGTTCTCCGTTAAAAATGACAAATAACGTAAGACTAAAATAATGTTGCGCAGCATTCCTCAAAACAGAGGTTTTCCGTACATTGAATGTCACCATCATGCAAAATATATTTGTGGGATTAAACAATAGATAGATAAACCTGTTTTTTTAAAAGGGAAAAAGAAAGCACAGAAACAACCTCTTATCAAATCTGTGGGTAAGTGCAGATCGCACGGTATCAATGGCCAAATTACAATATTTATAACCAAAGATAATCGCATACATAACTAATTGCAATTGCAGCCAATGTTTTTATACATAAGACAGCTGAGACGGTCGGTTATCGGCTCTAAGTCATGTGAGACCGCGGCTGCCGTGACATAAAACAGAGGCCTGCGAGCACATAGACTGTGTGATTACACATGTATGTTTTCTATGATAACATCGTGACCTCTGGAGTTTTATTTTTTCATGCTTGATTAACATGCTGGAATAATGTTGGCCTAGATCCCCTTGTGTAAATTAGTGCTCTCCAGATATGACGTTTTTCAATAGATTAGACACGAAAATATTTCTGTATGAGTCTTTCAGTGAATTAAAATGAGCCCGTAGGACCTGTGCACGGGGTCCTCTCGGCGCTGGGAAACGTTTAGCTATCGTCTTTTGGAAATACTGTGAAGATTTGGTGATGAGGGAATGTTTTGTAATTTTCTCCACGGAATGAGACACACGGATATATGAGTTTCTTTTTCTTGAAATGTGTTTCCCAAACAGCACTGCTACTCGGACGCCCCCCCCCCCCCCCACCCCCCACTGACCCCCAACCAAGGGCCGGGGTTAGGAATCCTCATGGCAGCATTAAACCGCCTCCTTGATCTCTCCCTCTGTGTTATGTGTGTGTGTATAGTCAACACTTTCTTTGCCTTTCCTGATGGCCTTCATTAAGTTGCACATGCTTATGCTCATAAAAACTGTGTGTGTGTGAAGTGTGAAGGATGACAAAAGACTTTAAGGATCGTCTGTGCAGCTTACGATTAAAGTGGGTTGACTTGTTGCACGCAGCCTTTCCTCTTCTAATGTCAGAAAACAATGTTTAAACAAGCTGACAGCCACTTTAGTGAAAGCACTCTGAGGCCTTGAGGGTTGGCTGATGCTGGTGGACAAAAAGTAGTATTGACAAAAATCAATAAGTGTGATGCTGGATATCATTATTGTGCAGTTTCTGAAAACGAAAAGGTCAGTAAGTCGGCTCCATCTGGCTTCCAGCACTGAGGGTTAAAAGTTGAAAGCGAGGCAGCGCAGGGCGTACAGGGAAAAGTTCGGCAGCGCTAACATCCTTGGTCAAATTGAAAGGGCGGTGAGTCACAGAATGGTTGGCGAGTGGGTTTGTTTTCACGGTGGATTGACTTTAGGCTTAATGAAAGTGTTCCACTTTTGGGCAGCAGCCAACATTTAAGGAGAGCTGGTGATGATTGAAGGGAGGCGGTCGCCCTCGAGGCCCCGCGCGTCTCCAACTATCCGCACGCTTTCTCTCGTCGCTTGTTCTCCTCCACAGTTACGGTGTTGGTTTAACCTTTAGTTACCGAGGACTCGTCTTTAGTCATTAGTCAGTTTTCCGGGCCGAGAGTTCACAAAGGCGCACAGCTAAAATAACAAGCTGGTTGCGGTTGTGCAATTATTGTTACAAAAGGTTTGCGCTGCTCTGCAACCGTCAGGCTTTCTACGGTAAATAACATATAGGCTGCATTTGGTTATATGGCCTTGATCTTTGTAACTTGCCTTGAGTCCCGTACGTTAAACACAACCAGTAGATAAATATGTTCTTATCTAACAAAAATTCAAAAACTACCTACTTGAATGAAGTAAAACTTGAAGCACTGCTTCCCAAACACCACTACGATGTGCTGCACATGTGTAAATCCCAACTCACCACGATCTTCTGCCTCGTACCCGTAGACTTGGATTAACTCCGACAATAATTAACAGACACAAAGAAGTGGAAGTTTATGATGCGTCAGTACGAGAAGATCTGAGAGCGTCATCCAGAGTCCCGAGGGAACAGATTATTCTAATTGACCTTTTCTGGCCATGAAGTCAGGACTGTGTTTTACCATCCATCCATCGTCAAACCGCTTATCCTGCACACAGGGTACATCCTGGACTGGTCGGCAGCCAATCGCAGGGCTACACAGAGACATACAACCATTCACACACCTACGGGCAATTTAAAGTCCCCAATTAACCTGATCCCCAGAGCATGTCTTTGGACTGTGGGAGGAAGCCGGAGAACCCGGAGAGAACCCACGCAGACACGGGGAGAACATGCAGACTCCACACAGAAAGCCCACTGGGCGGAATCAAACCCAGGACCTTCTTGCTGTGAGGCAACAGTGCTAACCACCACGCCACCGTGCCGCCCTACTGTGCTTTACCTCCATTTTTAATTTTTATTTAGCTGTACTTCTCAATACTTAACATAAAGACGTTTTGCGTGTAGCGTTTGCTTGTGTCCAGACAAGTCAGAGGTGAAGGTTTTTTAAATAATGTCACTGAGCTCATTGACGGCGTGATGCTGTCACAACACATGACATCCCGTCTTTTCCTTGGCCTTCACACCACACTTCCATCGTGAAGTATTACAAATGGCAGTTGTAATATGTTCTCACTCTCCTGCCTCTACAAACATTTGTTGCCACGGACGTGAAATAAAGGCCGGCTGTTTATTTCATACTTTGCATGTGAGTGAATGTGTCACCATGCTCTGTTTATACGGCTGTGGACGGGCCGCTCTGTCTGTGCGTGAAGTAAAGGCATCAACATGGAGCTCACGGCCCGGTGCGTGTGCGTGTCCGTGTGTGTATATGCCAAAATAACAATCAGCGTTTCTGGATTAAATGTGGAGAAAAGCATCACACTCTCTGTCTCTATAAATCTGTCTGTTGTATTCACTGCAACGATGGGAGAGACATTGATGGAGCGTGTTTCATTTTCAGGTATTTATGAAAGCATGACCCCTTGCAGTGGACGTAGGTGTTAATGTACCTGTCTTGACTCCTAGCATGTTTTTTATTTTAATATTCGTTTTCTATTACAATAAGTACATGTGATCATTTCTAATGCATAACGGTTTAGCAACACATTAGCAGTTAATCCAATTGGATCAAACTACTCTTCATGGCTGGATAGCTTTATTTAAAATGATCAAGGTTGTTTTTTTAAAGTAGATCATTAGAATAGAAGTTAGATTAAAAAACAAAAAACATACAATATTTCCATTTCTGTTAAATGTAAAAAAATCATTCAAGAACATTTGTATATTCATTCAATCACAAGTTACATACAGTGTATATTTAAACAGTTGTTTGAGAGGAAGGTTTGACACCAGCTTTAGTTATGTCGCCCTGCATGTAGAGGCACCAGTGTTCAGTGACATACGCTTGCATTAAACTCACATTAAACATTAAAGTAGG